GGTTGTTTCCATTCTGTCGGTGGTCCAGGGAATGAGTGTAGCGAGTTGTCGTCGGCGATTGGGCTTCCCTTTGGTTCGACGACCCGGACAATTACTCCATCCCGCACCATAAACCCGAGGTGGACCGCTTCGGGATCATCCCGAATGGGGTCCTTCCCGCTTGATTCTGCTTGGTCTGGGGGAGGTTGTCCGCCGAGGAGCCGGCTTCCTCTGCCGGTCCAGGGATTCTGGGTTTGGGGAGCCTGCCATGCCGGTCGGTTCCTGGTTCGAATAAGCCGTGATGCCATACTTCGGATTGACGGGCTATCTTCGGCCCGACTCCGAATGGAGGGGGCGATATAGACGGCCCGTTTCGGTTGAACGGGGGGAGTATGTGGCATTGGTGCCGGTGCTGTTGATTCGTTGACAGGCCGATATGGGGGTAGCGGCACGAGCAGATCCTCTGGATGCCACCGCCCATATTCTTTCCATGCGTATTCCGTTGCGGCATACTGTAAAACCTTTTCTTTTTCAGTTCCTCCCGCGTACCTATATTCAAGTCCTAGGGGCATCGCATACCAGCACACGTCCCGCCATAAGTAATTCCTCCCCTGCTCGTATAACTCCTGGTATTCCCTGTTCCTGGCTCTTTCAATCTCCTCCCGCAGTGCTTCTTCATCAGTATCTTCCCCTGCTCGCTCCAGTCGTCGTTGATATGGATCATCACTGTCCTCGCTGTCCTCCTCGTCGCCCTTGTCCCTGCTGTCCCCTTCCTTGAGGAGGGAACTGACGGGCTGGTCGTAAATGGACGGCACGGCTGGTCGAAGGGTCGTCAGGGACCCTCCCGTTGACTTGGGTGCTTGGCCCGTCATCTCCTCGGTCACTTGTTCGAGCAATGGGAGGACTCCTAAGTCGGCTATAGCGCGTTCCGCCGCGCACTCTTGTCTCCTCCAGTTCTCGGCTATAGACACTGAAGAGTCGCTGGAACTCGGGATTGAGGAACTGCTGAGTGATCCTGCTACCCAGGAATCACTGGAGAGCCCTGTCGGAGATGTGGGCATTGTCGGGTACTCGGAGCCCATAGGCTCCGAGAACGGAGTCGGCATCTGAGGAGATAGTGTCGGTATGGGCGGGATATTCGAGGATGACAGGTCGGGACCTTTCAGCATTTCCTCGCCTGATTGCTTCGTCCCAGCTGACGATGCTGGCGGGTCCCGTCCATGGGTCGTCGTCTGAGCTGGGTTCTCTAAAGGGAGATCCGTTGTCGGAACGGAGCTCATACTCCCTAGGAGAAGCTGACCCCATCCTCTCGATCTCCTCTCTCCTTCTTCGTTCCCTTCCCTGTCTGTCATACTCTGCGGCCTCATATTGCTCTCGGGCCTCTTCTCGGACATAGTCGGCGAGCTCCTCCTGGGTTCGCCTGATTTCTTCTTCTCGGTTCTGATTCTGCTGCTGCTGCTGCCATACTGCTTCGTCGTAATTGAAGAGAACGGCAAGGTCCCACTCTGGGAATATTCACTGGATAATTCTTCTTGTCGTGGCTCTTCCCCTTTCGCTAGCAGTCCCGACCTCGGGCTCGCTTCCCACGTGGAGGTGCCGGTAGGGATCCCCCGCTGCCGAGATGGCAATATCCGCATTGTCATAGTCGGGGTGTATTGCCCTTCCTTGGGGGTCGTCGACCCCCAGCCTACTGACGGATGGACTGGGGTCGGAGTTGGGCTCGGTGGGGGTTTCGGGGGGGTTCTGAGGGGTGTGGGGACCTCGGCGGGATCCCGTAGCCATCCGAGCGGCATCAAGGGAGTCCCGAGCACGGTTTCCAATCCCTGAGGGAATTGGGGAGGCGGAATGCTCGGGGGAGCTGGCCGGAGTGATGTAGTTGGAGACCTCGGCGGGCTCCTGAGCAACGTTCGTCGTCCACGGATTCCGGAACCCTGTGAGCGCAGGGTGGCGGTCTCCGCTGTATTGTCGGGGTCGTTCGGGTCCTTCTTCCTCATGAAGGCTCCTCTGATCCGGGTCGCTAGTCCCGGTTTCTGGTACGGGTCCCCCTTGCGGGAAGAAGGACGCTTTGGCGGAGGGGGGGATGTCATGGAAAGGGAGATCGAGGGTTACGTTTCGTAGAATTTGTTGAATATGCTGGAACGCTTGATAGTGCCTGACTATCCAAGCTGCTACTGATTGTCGTCCGCGGCAAAGGGTGATGATGGCTAAGAGACCGAGCAATGTTCCGATGATGGAAGCTATTAGCTCGAAGAAGTCGTGATTTAGGTCTGCGGTTGTTACTGGCGGCATTTGGTTTCTCAGCACAATTGGGCTTGAGAAAGGGGATGTGAAAGCTTCGAGCTAATTGTTAAGCCCAAGCGACACGTGACAAGACAACACGTGATAGACAGATGTCCCTTCGCACTTCGAGGGATCACCTGAATCCACTTATGATGTTATCAACTCGGTGTGTCACAAGGCCACTGAATGGCTCGAGAGTAGGATGGTATGAATATAAACTTTAGCTCGAAGCTGGGGTATACCAGTGAGAGCTGTCGGTCTTAAATACTGTACAGGTAATGCTAATAATATGACTACTTATTGTGTCAACCTGTGTCCATGGTGCTCGTCACCCTTGAGCATCGTTGTTGTGCATAAAAGGGTAATTGTGCATTGTCAAGCATCATTGTATCTAGGCGGCTCAGTTGTGCTTACTAAGCCCTTCCCATGGTCTCGTGTTCTGACTAAGCCTAAATAGGGGTGAAAAAGGGAAAGAAAAAGGAAAAATCGTAACATTAAGATTCACCATCAGCAATGCAGATGAGGCTGTTTTTTACTAGATCAAATCAGAGACCAAATATACTATTGTCACAGTTGCCACAGATGATTTCACCATCATTGCAGACTCCCAAAATGAATCAGACTGATTCAAATGAGAAATAGGCTCACATTTTGAGCTAGTTGATCTCAGACTCATACATTGGCTCTTGGGGATGCATATCACTCAGGACTGGGAAAGGTGCACCATCAGCATTGGACAGCCAGCCTACATTGACCAGATCACAAAACAATTTGGAGTTCAGGACATGGCACCATTTGCAATGCCAATAGAAGTGAATCTTGATCTAAATCTAGATTCACCCTCCATATCCATGGAATCTGTTATGCCACACAAAAAAGCACTCTATTGTGAGCTGCTAGAGTCCCTTATATATGTTGCAGTTGGATCTCACTCTGAAATCAGCTATCTGGTATCAGCATTATCACAATTTGTGGAAGACCCACATTTAACTCACCTAAAAGCAGGATTTCAAGTCCTCTGTTATCTCAAGGGTACATGCAATCAACAGCTCATAATCAGTGATCCTGACATCAGTCCTAAGGGCTATCATGATGCAGCATACACCAACCAGCCTGAGCAAAAGTCTATGTCTGGATTTATCCTATTCATGGGTCAAGACACTGTTATGTGGACATTGAAAAAGCAACCAATTGTTACTGTCTCCACCAGTGAATCAGAATATATTGGACTCACACCAGCATTGAAGAACATGATATAGCTTCACAAACTTCTCTCAGAGCTCTCTATCTTTGTTGCAAATCCTTCTATTTACCTAACAAACCCTACTATCCTCTTCTCTGATAGTCAAAATGCACTTTCTATTGCCAAGGATTCAGTATTCCATGAACAAACAAAACATATTAGAGTTCAATACCATTTCATTCACCAAACCATCAAGCAAGGCCACATCAGACTGATGTACTGCCCAACTGATAACATGGTTGCCAACATTCTCATGAAACCATTGGCTCATCCAAAATTCAAGAAGTTTGCAGAGGCACTGGGCATCATGTAAGCAAACCATTTACATTTCAAGGGAGAGTGTTAGATATAGGAATAGTATGATACACACATGTTCACTTACCTATTTGATATTCCTTTCTTTTTCAGCATGTCACACCATTCTGCACATCTCAGCTTTCAACCATAACACTGAGATGTGAGTACCTTCTATACATATCTATCCTTGATCATATTTACTTATCACCTATGTAGTAATGTTATGATGTTTTATCCTAGGTAAATAACAAAGCTTTCAACCATAATGCTGAGATTAATGTTATGACATTTTATCCTAGCATCAGTTCTCTTCTGAAACTTTTTTCCTCATTCACCATGTCCACACTCCTACCTCATTAACTCCAACACAGCTGCATTACTGGCCTGTCTGACTGGATCACCCTTCAACAACTCTAATGATTGGGGCATGAGCTGTGTATTGAAGGCTTGTTTTGTTAAATTCAAGATTTGGTCTTTGGAAAGAGTGTCAGTGAGAGTACTCCAATCCTTAAAGCTGCTGACAGCAATGATCTTGATCTGTGTCTTATCAAGCAAGATGTGCTAACAAATCTTATGATGTGCATCTTTATACCAGTTATAATAATGATGGTTGTTGTATCCAGTATAAAGATGCACACTATAAGATTTATCAGTGTATCTTGCTTGATAAGGCATGGACCAAGATCATCACTGCCAGCAGCTTTAAGAATTGGACTACTCTCACCAACACTCTTCTCAAGGATCAAATCTTGGATTTAGCAAAACAAGCCTTCAGTATACAGCTCATGCTCCAATCATTAGAGTTGTTATTGAAGAGTGGTCCAATCAGGCAGGCCAGTAATACAGCTGTGAATGAAGCACTGAGGAGTGTATCTTTGATACAGTCAATAGTACTGACCTGGAGTATCTGCTTATGATGTAGAATATCTATGACTGGGTTTTCTCTAGAACAATTTGATTATTTGACAAGTACTTATGTATTACTATGGATTGTTGATAATAAGCTATGAGATCCTCATTGTCTTGTGAGCTTGGAGGTGCTTGTTGAATAATGAGGAGGAAACTGGCAAGGGCAATAGATGACACTTTGGATAATTATCACTCTGACAGGCAGCATTGTCATGGGCACCACCTTTGCTCTCTGGTTCTGGTGAGAGACAATCAGCTCCTCAGTATTTGGCAAAAAAGGAATGCCTTGGGTATGTACTCAAAATAATTAAGCATCTGATAATTTACACACTCTATTTATCTTCTATTGTTCCCTCCAGACCAGGAGCACTCATCACTTGACTCATCAACCTGTAGCTAGATCCAGGGCTTCCCAAAAATGCAATTGACCTTTTAATTGTACATGTCTCCTCCAAAAATCTAATGCATGTTCTGCAATGCCTCGAGCACCTTTCGCAGCTCCTCCTCCTCCAGCTCTAAACCTTGATCAAATATCTTTTCATCAGTCTTCGGATCTGATATCAGTAGCAGCTCCAAAAAGTCTCCATCCACAAACCCGTACGATGCTTCATCCACGGGTCTCGGCCTTGTATTCTTTGGAGCCCGATAACGAGCATGGCTAACACCCCCCACGCCCGAAATCACCTGCCCCATATCCACTTGAAGGTTCTTCAGCTTTGTCCCAAGCCCCTCGTCACCAACGTCGACTATAACCCCAATACGTCCGGAGCTGGTACAGAATACGTGTGTTGGTTCCAAAGCCAATGTATTGTCATCTTTAGGAGCGATTGAGCCTGGCCGTTTATCATCAGCACATCGTCTGACCAGTAAGACGGTTTGGTTTACCTCGAAGGAACTTAGATACAAGGTCACCAACATGGTAGAACCCGTCGCGTTTAAGAACAGGTCGAGCATGTACCATGTCCAATGAGAACGAAAATAGGTTTAACGCATCCTAAGCAAAACACGTAAAGTAACACTTACCCAGAAAAGAGAAATGCTTACACTGGCCCCGATGATTCCCTTCCCTTCACACGTCTCTACGGCTAATGGCCACAGTGGTTCATAGTCCCTCGCAATCATGTCCAATCGTGACCTGGGTCCCGGCGTGATCTGGAGCAAAGAGACAGACTGTATGCAGTCGCATGCTACGAGGCAATCCTCCCCCCGCGCTACCACGTTGGCTACAATGTAGTTGTGGTTCCAGACAGACAATTTCGATAGGGAGAAAGTAGAAGGCTCTGATTCGTTCTGCGCTAAGCGATAAAGTGATACCTGCCACCAAACTCGTAAGAAAGGAGACGCTACGCAACTTGAAGAAGTAACATACAGAAGAGTTGACCGCGGCAGCTATAAGACCACCTGTGGTCGTCGCTAGCGAATACGGGCAACCGCTTATCTCAACAGATGTAACGAAAGAAAGTGTCGCTTCTGGACCAGATTTATCTGCCGCGAGGACGATCAACCTCCCCCGAGTCGGCCCCCTTTCCCCAGGTTCGTAGATATATGCCCCGAGACAGAAAAATGTCCTCAACTCGTCATTTACGTCCACGCTTCGTGTAGTCATTGAGACCACTGTCTCATTAACTTCGGCGGAGAATTCACACAAAACTGACGTAGATTTAAGCAGCGAAATAGATCGAGGAGCTTAGCACTCACCTTTAAAAGTCGTCTCATCCAGCAATTTGAAGAGACTTCGCGTCGATTCTGCATCACCAATTCGAAAAGGTTCTGTACGAGTACAGACGACACCAAAACACCTAAGCGCTGGAACGTGCGCAATTTTTATGGGGTTGTCAAGCCCGAGAGGTATCTGTCACAGGCCGCATCAATATCAATCCGGAGAACGACACAAAAACAAGCACTGACTGATTGTATATGTAGCTTATCGAGGTCTTTGACTCTTCCTATAGCCAATCCGTTGGCATTGGCAAGAATGAGCGTCGATGGATAATCATCCGAATTCAGCAAAGTAGCCGCGGACACATCCTGCGGAACAGTATCAGTCTTCTCCTATGATCTCGGTGAGCTGAGAGAAACGGACCCGGAGGATGATATGCGAATATTGTAGTCGTCCCCTCGGGCATGAAATGACCATCGTTTTGTCCGCAACCGCCAGTACCCCACGCGTCCCGTCTCCGATTCTATTGGGAGATAGTTCCACCGGGCCGCTTCCCAACGCGACAAGCTTCATCTCGGTAAATTGGTTCCCTGACCACACGAACGACACCACAGTCCCATTAGCCAGGCCAGCTAGGAGGTATGGCCTATAGTCATCCCCGTTCTTCTCTGTAGTACCAAAGTTGTAAAAGAGGATGGATCGGACGGTGGCAGGAAGCTGGGGGGTTTCATACTGGAAAGTGAATCCTGACGATGCAATGTTGTATATTTTGATCTGGTTGGTGTGCCAGAACGCGGCGGCCACCTGAATGGAGAAGTACTTGGACTCATTCATAGGAATGCAAGAAACACAGGATATCTCCGTTGGTAACCAGGGTGGATAGGTATCGGGGCCATGCCTAGTTTTGCATTGTCAGTTCATAAGTGACTATAAGTAATCGTTAAGACTGACTTCGGTTGCGGGGGTATCGCATTCTGAGCAAAATATAGCTTGCTTTGTCTTATGTGTGAAAACAGTGGTCAACTAAAGGCAATAAACCCAATGTGGACACTTACACGACCTGTACCAGCTTTTTGTTGTCGACCTTGAGCGTAAGTAACTGGCCTCCTGCGAGCGCCAAGAGAACCTGGCTGGCGTTTACACTGGCAGCAACGATCTCGACACCACCTATCGGCTTCCAGTGGTCTATTTGTAGAAATTTGTCCAGTAGAAAAACGCCGCGCGGTGCAACTTGCACAATCATCGAAGAACTGTTATAAGATGAAGTGCCGACTTCTCTTGCTGTTATATTATAGACACAAAGCGTGGGTGTATCGGTGACAAAACCGTTCAGGGCAGAATTCTCCAGGACAAGCGTCGAAAAAGAATCGAACCTCAAGAAATGAGTCTCTTCCAAGGTCGAAACAACTATTCCAGTGTGCAAGGTTTCTTTGTATTCATCCCGGACAGACCATATCTTGACCACATTCGTGAGACCAACGATTGAAGCGAGTTCCTGGAAATCCAGGCCTGTTCTGACGATATTGACTGAACCCGTATTTTGACCGCCAGAACATGTCACAACTTGGCACTACAAAGAGGGTGAGAGGACAGGAGTGAGCTATGAGCGAGCACTAACATGACCACTGTCATACAGGTCCACTAGGACTGCATCCACGATAGGCGCAATGTTTTTGAAGGATGAAAGCAATTCGAGGTAAGACCCTTCGCTCTTGATCACCTTCCCTTTCTCTTTAGGTAGCTCATCGCCGGTGGCCTTTTGTTTCCCTTTACTTGAGGTGACAAGCGTAGACGTAGATATCGTCGGGATGTTGCATGCGATATTTATGGAGGATGAAGACACTGGTGAATTATGGATTTTAAGAAGCTGGGAGTCGCCTTTGAAAGACCCCAAGTAGACAATCTGGTTGGTGATGTATGTAAGTGTCCTTGGAGATGATGTCTAAAAAGCCTTAGTACGGAGGGATTACTAGGTAACGTCATCAGGACTAACCTCTCCGAGGGGAATGAGAACAAGGCCATGCTCATCGAATGTTGCCAGGGACAGTAAACATAGACGTCCGAAAGAGTCACCGATTAAGAATTTGAGTGCATCGTCTCCAATTGACGAGACCCTAAAGCACACGTTATCATACGGACGTCCCAAGCCCAAGTGAAAGAATCCCTACGCAGTGACAGCGCCAAACGGCCACAAAACCGTCCCTTTCGCTTGTCTGATCCTATCGTTCCTTTCTTTATCCTTGGCAATGGCCTCCTGTATTTGGTCTTCGTTCCCACTCTGCTTCATAGCGGCTGATTTTCGCCTCTTCTGTTCAACCTTCTTCTGAGCTTGTACGTTATTCAACGCGTAGAAGATAATCTTTCTTCCGCCAACAACGAGAATGCCGTCATTTATATCAGTGCCTTCAGGAGTCGAGACTGGAATTAGCTGTGGAATGTCGTCCTCTGGATAAGGAAACGCCTCTGATGAAATGATAGTCTGGTGCAACACGACAGATGGGTCTTGAGATAGATCAGGTATACTGCTCCAGTCAGTCAGGTCCCGTGCCAAGAGCTGAAGTCGACGATGATTATCCAAATGAAGTATTGCCAGCGCGAATTCTTCATCTGGCAAGGGAAGAAGTGTAAAACTAAGAACGTTGTTCTCGGGTATTCTGGTTCCAAGTAAGCGAATGAACACTAACAAGAATTCTTAGATACGCACGAGACATCGACGTCTTTTACATAGGACCCATTCTCAAGCGTCAAGACCTTGAGCTTCCCTTGATAGCAACTGACAACCGCTAACTGACCCGATGGGTCGACAAGGATATCCGAGAAGAACTCGGCTGGTCTAACACTCGGACTTCGTTCGGACAGTGACAACTGCTTATCCAGCTTCAGATTTTGCTCCCTCTCGGAGAACGATAAGAACAACAATTCTGGTTCCGGCTGATCAAGCAAGACTACAATATTTGACCGAGCCGAATCCTATAAAGAAGGTCAATAGAGGAGATAAAGCTACATTGGTAGAACGTACGGTTATCGGTACCGCCTTCACTGACAAAACCTTGCCCCAGATCTGAAGCGTACACACATGCTTCAATCCCCTGCTCTCAGTGGAATGGACCTCGATGGCATTGAGCTTGGCTACGACGAGATGCTCAGCAGTAGAAGAAAGTCGGCACTTGCAGGAAGAAACGACGGCGGAGGGTTGATGAAAAGTCGATACGATTCTTGTTGGGCTCATCGTCGCCTCCGTTCAGCTTGCAAGTGTTCGACGGAACCGGCACGATCATGAATTCGCCTGACAAATGTCTATGACGTACTCAGCACATGATGCGAACTTGAACGCAGCGATCGGGGAACTCGGTGCACCCAGCGTCTTTCTTCCATCATGGGCTGTGGATACACTTGATCTTGTGTGCCATGGCGAGAGAAAAAAGTACCCAGCAGTCTCCTGGCATTAAGAGGAATACGACGACCAGCTCTAGGGGGACTCCGAGCCACAGGCCTCAGGCTTGGCTCTTGTGGTCTCTGATATTTCTTGTCATTGCTGTCTTCCTTGCTCTCGTATACAATGTTTATTTTAATCAAAGAAACAGCCCTCCATTCGAGGTAGTTGATCTACCTGGGAGGGGTAAAGGTGTAATCGCCTCTCGGGATATCCAGGTCTGTCTAGAGAAGTTTTTAGCGGTGCAAAGGGTTAATTGACGCCCACAGCGAGGTGAACTGGTCATTCAAGAAAAGCCCCTGTTCATTGTGCCCTATTCCAGTCCGTATCTCTTTCCTCCGCCCCGAGTGGTGCCAGTATCTGAAGATCATATTCAGCTTCTGATTCACCTACTGCTCTGATTTCGCATCGTGTCCAGTCGTTGAATGACCTGGACTATCACGCATTTTTCAATCTCTCTTATGTCAACTTTCCCAAGAGCATGGATCCCGAGGTATTTCGGGACGAGGTGGCGATGGCTATATTCCAGACCAATGCCGTTGCAGTTGGACAGGGTGTCGGTATATTCCCTCGCATGGCGAGGCTGAACCACGGATGCTCCAGTGCATTTAATGTCGTTTACTCTTGGCGTCAAGAAAAAGGCGAAATTGTTGTACATGCCTTGCAAAATATTTCCAGGGGCCAGGTTCGTAACAAGTTCCTTTGCTAACTAGCAGATATTTTTTAAATCAATGAATCACGCATGCAGGAGCTTTTAACGACGTATACGGATACAAAGCGACCCAGGAAAGAACGAAGGTACACCTTCCAAGCTCTTAAGTGACTGCTGCAATGGAGCTAAGCCCGTGTTAGGGAGTATCTTTCAAAGCACTATGGGTTTCACTGCATGTGTTCCGTCTGTTCTCTCCCTCCCTTCCAATCTCAAGCATCAGACGAGCGGTTGAACTCAATCTCCGAGTTGTACAGCCTATTTTCAACATGGGGGACACACAGTATCCGCGGTACAGAAGCGATCGACGTTGTACGGCGCATCTGGACCTCGACAAATGAAGAAGGGTATTACAGCGAGCGTGGGCAATTATTTGCTGATGCTGCCCTGGTGTCACTGTCACACTCTGAGTAAGTCAACAGCAAAGTGGGATACTTTCTCGGGGTAGAAGTTTAACCCGTTTCATTGTAGTGTCTCCGCTGCGCGAGCATGGGCTACGGTTGCTGCCGAATGGTATGGGTACGAGCTGGGACAGGATTCTGAACAAGTGGCTAACATGGGTGCTATAATTGCAAGACCTGAAGCGCATTACGCTTGGGGAACGAGAGAGCACCTGATAGTCGGAGGTCCATGATGGAAATTTGCTACCCTCCACGACGTTGTAACATGTGAACATTTAGTTTCAGAGCATACGATGGTATGGTAGATTATGATGCATTACCGACTGAAGCAAAGCCAACCAAAAGCTGCTGCAGCAAATGCGCCAACCGCGCCCGAGACGATTGCCTGGTCCCAATACAGAGGACGTGGCTCGACGACCTTCGTGGTCATACGCTCCCGTTTAGAGGCCTCTTCTCTCTCCTTCTCCAATCTAAGTGTATTCTCTGCAAGCACTGTCAAAACCCTGACCTGCTCCTCCAACTCCTTCCTAATCTCTGCCAACCCCACTTCTGTGGCCTCCCTCGCCTCCTTACTCAACTCCTCCGTCTTCTTCTCGAACGTCTGTGCCAGCCGCCGTCTCTTCCACGGTTCGACAAACAGAATGGCCATGATAAACACCAACAAGTTGAGCGCTAAAACCGTGAGCTGCCCGTATGTCGATGCACTTCGGATTTTATCGGACCAAACCTGCTCTTCGTGGTATCTTCCCAGAATCGCCCGCATGAGCTCGCTAAACTCCCTGTCTAGGGCCGCCTCCGAGTCGTCTACAGCGGCTTTTGCTCGGGCCTCCTCATGCTCAATCGTGTGGTCCTCCCTAACAACAGCAGTAAACCGGAGGACGTCGTTGTCGTTCCACGTATGTTTACGCTGTAGCATGTCGTTGACTTCTCGTTGGGAATTGGATCGCTGTGCCACGGCTTTGTCATAGGCAAGTTTTGCGTCCCGACGTGCCTGTCGCGTAGCTTTTATTCGTGCCTCTAAAGGAATACCAGTTAGCTAACGCGGCAGAGATATTGAGCAGAGCTTGCGCACGACTTACACGCACCTTGTTCTACCACCTGACGTTTAAGCACCTCAATCTCTTCATATCCAGTGACTTTGTTCAACTGTGCGCCCAACTGAGAAAAGTTAGATTTCGTTGTTTCGGTGAAATCGTCGGCCTTCGTGCGCAGTATGATAGCAGCCTGATCTGCCCATTCAAGAAGACGATTTTTAACTTGTTGCAGGGCAATGGGAGGTTCCGATTTCGATGACGACGGGTCCGAAGGTTGTTTGGCTGCTTCGGAGGATTCGGGTTCATGACGAGGTGGCGTGCTATCTGACGACGGCGGTCGGGCTGATTTCCATGACGGCGTGGTCGAGAAGGAGCGAAGGGGAAATGTCCTCGGTGCACGAGATGCCGCACGGAGCATGAAGGTGAAGGGAGGAAGTAAGCAAAGCGTACTAAACACCACGGGCCGAATTCGCGTCGAATTTCGTATAAGCAGTTCGTATAGAATATAATATTCTATTCCATTCTATGTAGTCAATGCATCCAAGGCATCCCAATAATAAGTGGAATGTACAATAATGAGTTTCAGAATGTCGTCGTTAGAAAAGAATAATGCAGGCATCGCGGGCCATAAATGACTATGAAATTAACACAACCTCTGCCTGTGTACCATTAGCCGTTTAACTCCAGACATCTAACAAGAGTCTTGACCGCTCTTTCAGCATCTTTACTTCCGCCGTACCTTCGACTTCAGCCAATCCACCCTTGGCCTCACCCAAAATTTTGGCCAGAACCTCCTCGACAGCCTTGCTCATGTTCTTCGCCTCACCGCAGATATACACGTATCCCTTTCCATTGATGATAGAATCAGCGATGTTCTGGCGGTCTTCCCAGATAAGGTCCTGCACGTAAATTTTGCTGCCGTCGGGCCTGTATTTCTCTCGCGAGAAGGAACAGTGAAGCGTGAATTTGCCCTTCAGTTCTTCTTGGTACTGCGGCCATTCTTCCTTGTATAGGAAGTCCTCGGTCGATTTACGGCATCCATAGAACAGCGTAATCCTACCCCAGTCAGCGAGAGCATCCGGCCCGTTTTTCTCAAGAGTACGGCGAGCAAGAGCAACACGTTCCTGCACGAAACCACGGAATGGAGCGACACCCTGCCAAAGAAAGTGCGCATTAGAAACGGCCGGACGATGGTAGTTGAATACTTACAGTTCCAGGACCAATCATGATGACGGGGCTCTTGGGATTGGTTGGCAAACGGAACGTAGACCGACGAACGTGTATCGGTGATTTGTAGATGGTCTCCTGGTGATAAGCACCACGGGGGCCATTGATAGCATAAGCAGGGAGAGCCGCATTGGCGATACCGGTACTCGAAACCAACGGAACTGTCTCCCCGTTCGCGGCGTATTTGAGGTTCAACAAGAAATTGGAACCAACACCATACACCCAGCGAGTAGGGACTTTGTCACCCTCCGACGTGTACTTCAGAGTAACGCAAGTAACGTGGATGGAGTTGGGGTTGATCTTGGGGCTAGAAGAAATAGAGTAGTACCGGGGTTGCAGGCGAGGAATGGAGGACACGATCAAGTCGAAAGGAATGTTCCAAACGGAAGTATTGCTCGTAGAGGGAATTGCGGTAATGTCGTTTCCAGCGGCAGTCTGGAGAATTTCTCCAACCTTCAGGCATCCCTTGCCGACGACGTCCGCGTAAGTCTCCTTGTTAGAGTTGACTTCCTTTAAGAAAGCTTCTGCCTCAGGAGTGGGAGCGAACTTTGAGAGGGAACCGAGAATCTGACGACCGGCCATGGCGCTGATATCAATGTAGTGACGAAGGACAGTGGCGTACGTAGTCGGAACAGGGAAAGGAACCTTGGCGAGGGCAGGGTCGAGGGATTCTATGCCAATGACAGTGTCCTTCTTGTCGTGAAGACCAAGAGTGCAAAGAAGACGGTCGACTTCGATTTCGGCGTTGGTGGGCCATACACCGACATGATCTCCATGCTGATAGGTAATGCCTGAACCCTCGATGTTTAGCTCAACATGAACGCAGTTTCTTTCACCAGTTACTGAGAAAAGCTCGCGTGCAACAGCGACTGGAGCGGCGTAAGGGTTCTTGGCGTCATGAATGCCCTTGGTCTTAGTGAGGGCGCGTGCGGAAAGCTCGCCTGAGGAACCTGTCAGTGCGGAAGCGACTAATGGAGAATAAGGTCCATACCGAGGTAAACCTTCTCCTCTGGATGAGATGCCAGTTCCGAGACTGCAAAGTCGGCGGTATCACCACCTTGGCCCTCCTCGACGCCTAGGGCTTTGGCAAATGCTTCCCACATACCGTCCTTCCACTCAAGGTAGTCCTCCTCCATGCTCTTGTCGTCATCACCCTCACCGCGCTCGCCAATACGAGTGGCGCCCATGCCAGTCAAGTATTGGTCAACCTGTCTCGCGACCAAGTTGTAGTGCTCGTATGTCTTGTTACCCAACCCGAAAAGAACGTATTTGAGATTGTCCAACCTGTGAGAACCCTGGCTGAACTCGAAAGAATCCTCGCTCAGGTTCTGCAAGAGAGTGACGGCGTTATCTGTGGGTTCACCCTCGCCATAGCTAGCCATGACGAAGATAGCGGCTGCGCCTTCCGGAAGACTGTCTAGTGTTTCAAAGTCGTATTCCTCAGGGTCACAGACCAGAGAGGTGAGACCGAACTTGGCTTTTGCTTCTTTGGCTAGACGGATGGCATACTCTTCAGCTGTACCGGTTTGTGAGCCGTAGAAGATGACCAGGCGCTTGTTCTAGAGTGATTGAGGTGATACATCATGTAAGAGAAGAGCCAATGACCACATACCCCCGCCTTCATTTTGGCAGCGAAATCCCTAGGATTGACATCACCAGCTTGGGGAGATGTTGGCACTACAACTTTTTTCGGTTTGGCTACGGCGAAGAGCTGATCACGAAAGAGATAGGCCGCAGCGAGGACGACACCAATAACGAGGATGAAGACGTCGGATGAAGACGCCGAAGACATGCTAGCGGCCAGGAAGTACGGCACTGCAGAGCGGGCTGTAGTGTTGAGTTGGACGTCCATGGCGGCAGAGATACAAGGACGAGATTGACGTTACCTGAGTAGATATAGTCCCAGGAAGAGCCGTGGGTGCAGCGGTGATGGAAGTCAAAAAGAAAGAGGCCCAGGAATGCCCCACGCTTCGACGTGGCTCCGAATTTACCAAATGGCGTGTTGTTTGCTCAGTGTCCTTTCCTTTTCGGTTTGCCTTCAGGGTCAGATCCATCATTATTCACTTCACTGTGGACACGCTCCCGTCGCTCCCAAATTTCTTGGCCCTTCCTTCGAAACATTCTAGATTTTTCTCACTTTCCTTGTAGCTCATGCTACGGGCCCTTAGGAAATGGCTTACTACCGTATAGCATCGTAAGATAATTCCTCTGTGATCGCAAACCGGACATCGCCTTTCGGTATTACGCTACTCTGCTCCCGTTATCTGTCCCGAGATCCACTTTTGATTCCTTTGCATGCTGTGTCAGATATCTTCTCGGCTTGTTTCGCCTGTTTCGGTGCCCTTATCCTTGACGCCCGTTCATCTCCAACTCGTAGCCAGAGTATGACAGCCGCAGATGGCCCCCCTTAACGATTTTATCATATGGTCTGTCCAGCGACTCGCCGTCTCTCAGTCAAACCCGTCGATGGAGCGGACGTCGCGGACAGGTATCCTCTGTCTTGTGATTTCGTGGTGCTCATCGTCTTCCCACACCTTCCGAGTTGGTCGCAGGACTTTGCTGTGCGCGGACTTGTCGGAGGGCATTCCACGTATTGAGAGCGATTCCAGACCTTTGGGCGCATCAGCTTCTAGATCTTTTACCAGTCCTGGCCGACATTCAAAGTAATATTCTCAAACATTTGCGTGTTCGAACTTGTGTCTCGTACGAGTTTCTTGTATAATGGACTTTCATTCAATTTCTGTTATGTACAATTCGCCAAAAGATGATAGAAGCCTATTCATACAACATTCATGCTCGCGTATCGATCAAGGAGTATAAAAGATTTAAGCTTAGCGAGCTCTCAGTTTAACTTTAAAGATCGAACACATGACCACGAAACCTTGACTGCCTTCGAAAGTTTGCATTCTTCCTCCCTCTACCATGACCTCTTTCCTTATCAAAGCACACGTCGACAGAAAGCCCTCAGCTTGGCATACGGACCCTGAATGCGCTTTCTGTCGCATCATCAGTGGTGAAGCTCCGTCCAGACGCGTATACGAAGATGATAAGATTATCGCCATCCTAGGTTCTTATCGCAGATCCAGTCTTTACACAGGACTATTCTAAGGCTTCCATTTCCCTAAGATATCCTTCCCCTACGCAAGGGCCACACTCTAGTTATTCCAAAGGTGCATTATGCGCGCATATCGGAACTCCCCCCAGAATTTGCCGCCGCACTGGGCGCGGGCGTAACCAAAGTCGCTCATGCTTTGACACAAGGTATGGAACTGAATCAAAACAGGTTCGAATTTCGCCCTTACAATTTCAATGGAAGCTCTAAACAACACCGCTTTGAATGCAGTGTGCAATCAGGAATATGCACAAGCAGTCCCACATGTGAGTGGATACACCTCATGGATCATGATGTGGCAGCTCTCTAACCAAGAATAGGTACACTACCATATAATTCCGGCCCCCACTTTCTCTACGGAGTCTAAACCGCCGAATACCATACACGAACCTCCTTTAACGAGGCGCCAGATGCATCAAATGGAGTTCGAATCTCGACAAGAGTTGGATGATGACGATGCTGCGTCTCTTCTGCAACTTTTAAGAGCAAAGCTATAGATGCACTCAGGAGAGGCGGAGACAGTATACAGCCAATAGATATCTCACCATCTACATTTTGACCAGATCATTGATTTTTACCAGTTGCTGTCTGAATCGGAGGTCCACGACGAAGAGTCTTCTTCTTCTGAAGGTCCGGCTGACAAATACGCTTCATCAACGTCAACTTCGCTGCTGACATGCTCGATGATCAGCCCCTCCTCCTGCTCTTTCTTCAGTCTAGCAGTAACATTCTGGATCAAGGAGTCGTTCCCGTGTTCTGGCGAAAGAAATCGAACTACACGCAGGCAATTTATACCACCTTTCAGCGTCTGCACATCATCTAGACGTCGAGACTCGATGATGTTGACAATCAGATTGACGTATTTCGAAATGATTTCGGCCGTAGAATGATATTCGAATTCTAGTGGCCTGACGTCGAGAGTGAGGACCTCCAACTTCGGGACTAAAGGCGAGGAGGTATTAGAACACACAAGACAGTTCAAGTTTCCATTTGCGATGGTCCGTGACGTTACGGTGAGATGCGTCAAACGGCTGGTTAAGTTAAGTATAGGTGTCACCTCCCGGCTGTTAACTTCCAGCGATGTAAGGGAGCATTGAGAACGACGAATTAATGATACGACAGCCTCGGCAATGCTGTGGTAATGTGAAAATGCATGGAATGCAAACGAAGTCAATGAAGGGAGAGTAAGATGGCCGAGGAAGTGAGAGTAGTCTTTATTGGAAACATCAAAATCTTTTGGTTCGCGCACAGTGAGACTCAACAGGTGAGGAAGTGTGGCATCTGTTGAGGGAGGAAGACCTAAAATACCCTGTTGGTCGTCAAACGACAGAGTGCAATGGGTCAAGGTAGAAGCGACAGCATTGAGCTGACGAACCACATCACCCCAGTTATTGCCCAGACACAACACCGTCAGGTGTGTCAAAGCATGAAACTTGAACATGCTCCTACTCTCGGTGCGTATTGTAGCAGCTGTGAGCAACGGGGCATGTTGGAAGACGTCGACCTCAGAGGTCAAATCGTCAGAATCTTCGTCCGGTTCATCCATGATGGTTACTGTACGAAGCAAGGGAAAGTTCGCCGCCGGTGGTAAGTCGTCTAGCATATACGACATGAGCGGTATAGTAGCTGTGTGCCATCGCATTCCTTGAGATATAAGGATATCGAGGAAGGGTACATCCGCAGACTCCATAGAGATGTGGAGAGGACACTGTCCTGAGAGTCGCAGAAATTCACCCACGATTTCCAACTGACGGCTCTCTTTGTACCTGTAGCAATCCCTGTCCACAACACGGAAAAATCGCCACAGCGTGGGAGTCGAGCGAACAAGGGACCGCCAATGACTGCAGACGCGAGTCAAGAGCCAGGGCATGCTATTGAGGTCAAGGGCAGTACTTCGCGCCTCTACACATCCATGCTCAAATATTTTGAGAAGAACATCTTCAGGCAGGAGGCGGATGGGGGTTAATAGGGATCGATGAAAGTCCAGATACTGGGCAAACTTGGCACGGACAGTGGCGGTTTGCTGGTCAAAGGCCCGAAGTGCTTCTTCGGCATCAGCAATCAAGCTGAGAATAGTGGGCCTATCCGAGCCGGAGGGCAACGCGTTCGAGAATAAGAGAGGCGCCACGGGTGAGGAATAGGTTCGAAGACTTTTCCCTTGAATGGTATGCATGGTGTAATGTCTGTCTTCCCTGAATGAGCAAGTATACTTGCGAAGATTGCCAAAGAAACTGACGCGATGTAGAACAGATGTGAGGGCGTCCGGGCGTCTGTTGTGCTGTGTCGTGTGCGGAGACTACTCTGAGTCGGAAATGTCCGAATCACACGCGTCCAATCGTTCTCCCTACTAGTTCATTACGGTCATCAAAAGCTTTGCCAGACACGTACGTCCCCAAAATGGCGCAAAAGAAACGCGCCGCGGTCTAGACAGATTTGCTGCACAAGTACTGTACTTATATCTTGCGCCCTATGATCACAGACGTACCCAGTATCGGAGCATCTCCTCTAGCACACGAACCAGATATTAACTATCGCAAAATATCTCTCTCAAATGGCCGGTCTTCTTCTATACTTTCTGCTTCATACATCACGGTTGAAAGGTGGTCTTGGTGTGCCCTGCTATGTAGCCGTCTCCCGATCCCCAACCATCACCACGGCCCATCTTAAGGAGGCATACGACTTGACAGAGGCCTGCGCAAGCCCATACACGCCCGACGAAATCCTGGATTTTTTAAACAGTCAATGGCCTCTCCGAACTGTTTTTTCTTTGGATATCGAAAGTTCTTCGAAGAAGGAATAGCATGTCGCATTGTTTACGGACTGCCAATGACCCGATACTTACCACCGTCCAGTAAGGATGACTACTTACTCTCTATCCAGCACGAGCGTCAACTCCTCTACGTATACGACTCCACCACTCCCATAGTTAATGCCCTGTGGGTCCAAGCCTATTGTTCTGTTTTATTCCGATACATCTTCTGGAAGTACAGTAGTTTGAAATAGAACGTATTCCATTCTACATTATTATCAAGTTTCAAAATAGAAGAAGAAAATTAAAGAAAATTAGTCGTATGCGTGAGTATCCCGATGCGTCGTGGAGAGATCAAAGGCCGTATTAAGGAATTGCTCAATTTCCTTCTTATGTTGGGTCTAATAATCCGTGAGCAAAACACTCGCTTTACGTCACAATAGAAAACTTACCTTGCTTCCAGTAGCTACAGAGCTAGTAGGATCCCTGCCGGCATACAACGGATATTTTCCTTTGTGGTTCTCGGTCTTGCTGGCAGCGGTGTAGATCCTAGGACCAACATAGCTCCAAGCACCGTTATTCAAGGGTTCCTCCTATGAAACAGTCAGGCACGCTGTTGAACGTCACAAACAATACGTACCTGACACCACAAGAGAGTGGCGTTGGGATATTTGTCGAGATGAGGGGTCAACTAGAGAGCTCCATCAGCTAAAACCCCCCTCCGAAGATTGCGAAAACAAACCATATCGTAGGGGAATGGCGAAATCTGCTCGATTCTGCTAATGGCAATGTCGGTGATACCTCGCTCCTCTCTTGCAGCCACCAAAGTTTGGTAAACTTGGCCTATTATATAAAGAATGATCAAATGACATCTCATGCGAGAAAATAGGGGAAATCGTACCAGTACACAAGATATGCCTCCTGATATGCTCAGGCGCAACTAAACAGTCTGGGTGGCTGTCGGGGATATATCTCTGGAAGTTAGTTTCGCCAATCATTTCGGCCAAATCAGAGCGAGCTTTAGGGTGACGGAGAAGGTTTTTAGAGAAGAACACGATGAGCTGGAGAAGGATTAAATGAATTATACACGATGTGTAAACAAGGAGACTTACAGGCTTGCGGAAATCCCGGTGAATCTGGCGACGAAGGACATGGAACTGTACATTCATGAGCATCAGTATACGAAGTCGGATCAAGATATACGCACGTAGTTGGCAGGAGTTCTATGGGAAATAGGGCTTAGTGATAATCTACCGAAGATAGTGGAGAGGACATACGTTGGGTAGACAACTTGCATGTTACAATCCTGATGCTGCCTTTCAATCTTCTCCTTTGAAGGGAAAACATTCGGATGGTCATCGCAGAGCTGCAAGAACCGCTCAATCCTTCCACTAGAGTGTTCAGGTCCCTGACCATCATATCCATGAGGCAAACTCATAACCAAACCAGTCCTTTGCAACCACTTTCTCTCACCAGCAGCAATGAACTGATCGATAATGCACTGCGCATTGTTGGCAAAGTCACCGAACTGTGCCTCCCACATGGTTAATGCATCGGGTGAAACCAACGAGTAACCGAGCTCGAATCCAAGGCAACCGTATTCGGATAAGGACGAGTTGCAGACGACAAATCGAGCCTGGGATGAACCAAGATCGTTGAGAGGAATGTACTGTGACTCATTGACCTGATCATGGATGACAGCATGCCTCTGTGAGAATGTACCGCGTTCAACATCTTGTCCAGAAACTCTGACGTGAATCTTCTCCAGAGCCAATGAACCGAAAGCCAATGCCTCGGCGGTAGACCAATCGATGTTCGTACCTTCCTCGACGGTCTTTCCTCGGGTGGCAAGGATACGTGCGAGGTTGCGATGAGGAGTGAAACCAGCAGGGTAGGTCGAAATAGCTTTGCCAATGCGTTTCAGGGTAGCCTCGTCGGAGCCGGTCACGCGGGTAGGCAAAGTCTGGTCCGCCAACTGTTTGGGGGATGGGAATCCTTGCCATGACGCGGACAGCCACTCCTTACTCGTAGGCACGTAGTCCTTCGCGCCTGACCAGGACTTCTCCAGCATGCCCCATACCCACTTCTTGTGTTCCTCAATGTCCTTCTCGGTGAACGTTCCACGGCCAACAAGGAATTTGGTGTACACGGTGAGAGGAGACGGGTGTTCCTGGATCGCTTTGTACATCCGTGGCTGGGTGAACATCGGTTGGTCAGTCTCGTTGTGTCCATAACGCCTGTAGCAGACAATGTCAATGACAACATCCTTCTTGTACTTGGCTCGGTAGTCAGCAGCGAGTTGGCAAACGAAAGTTACTGCCTCCACATTGTCACCGTTCACGTGAAAGATGGGGGCATCGATGGATTTAGCGATATCAGACGGGTAAGGAGTAGAGCGGGCGAATCGAGGGTCAGTGGTGAAACCGATTTGGTTGTTGACGATCAAGTGGATGGTTCCACCGGTACCGTACCAAGGGAGGTTGTGCATGCCCATAGTTTCGTAAACCACGCCTTGACCGGCAAACGCGGCGTCTCCGTGAAGAAGAACACCCATAGCAGTGGTGTGAGTAGTCTCATCTCCTTCGAAGTGCTGAATAGCGCGTGTTTTGCCAAGAACAACGGGATCCTCAGCCTCCAAATGCGAAGGGTTGGCAACCAGGGATAACGATACTTTCTTTCCAGAGGGAGTAGGCCTGACGTAGTTTGCTCCAAGATGGTATTTGACATCTCCAGCTGGCGAGTCATCATCCTCCGTACCACTGAATTCGTTCAAAATAGCCTCGATGGGTTTCCGAATGACATTAGCCAAGACGTTCAATCTTCCACGGTGAGGCATACCAAGCGTGACGTGCTTCACACCGTGGTCCACTGACCGATCTATGAGAGCCTTCATACCGGGAATAAGAGCCTCGCATCCCTCCAGACCGAATCGCTTCTCGTTGGGATATTTAGACGCGATGAACTTTTCAAATGATTCTGACCAGATAAGACGGTCTAGGATCATTCGCTTCTCCTCAACGGTGTAATTCCATGGTTTGGGTATTTCTACGCGTTCACGAATCCAGTCACAATTTTCTTTGTCCGGAATGTGCACATACTGGATGCCGACGGCACCGCCTGCAGAGAAAAATCTGTCGCTGAGAAGTGCGCGACTAGAGAAAAAAACGCACAGTATATCCGCTTCAAAAGTTTTATAATCTCATCCAACTTCATCGTTTTCCGGTCCTCGGTAGCGAAATGAGGGAGAATACCGGGTCCAAGAGTGATGTCCTTGTCCAGATCGCGCTCTGTGAAACCATATCTACTGAGCTCTAGTTCAGGAGGGTGAACGTCCGCCAGATCAGCATCGAGAATTCCGAGGGGATCCAGTTCAGCCACATGGTGACCCCGCACTTGGTAGGCACGAACGAGCAATTGAACCTAATATGAAGCATCAGAAACACAATCTTTGCACGTGTCTAACTGCCACGTACCTTGAGATGGTCGTCAAGCTCTGCCGCGCCGCCAGCATACAGCGCAGGTGCTCCATCAGCTGGAGCAGCCACCAGACTGGGAGGCGGATGGAAGGCTTGTGCGCTCGTCAGACCCTTGTCCATGCCGGAAAAATACGCGTCCCAGGATGCATGTACAGACTTCGGGTCCTGCCTCCAATGCTTGTACATTTCGTCGGCATAATACGAATTGGTGCCGTTGGCAAAGGGGTCATTGGTTGAGGGCGATGGAGTCGCATAGTCACGCCTTTGGGCAACCGAGGAGGGATGGTAATGATAAAAAGGAAGAACAGATGGGCGACAGGCCCGCAAGCGACGGAGCGCTTGCCTGGAGAGCATTGCGAGACTGCCTAGTCTTCCGCGATGCTCGTCGTCGAGGTCGAGGCAAACGAGGATGAAGTAAACAGTTAAGTTGCAACGTCATTCATATGTGGCCCGAATATCGCCGACCGGCCGGCTATTTTAAGGCTCACTTTTACTCCGCGCCTGAACCGGGCAGGCTACCTCTGTTCAGATGCTTGCAAGCCCATTTATCCGAAGAGTACGATTTGTATACTGCTGTAATGTCTTTTGAGTAACCAGGAGTAACCCCACTTCATGATTAGCGGGGAATAGTCGTTGGCACCAAGGCCAATCATGTCTCTTCAATTCTCAACTCGTGCGTTTAAAAGTTATTACGCGTGTCATCTTAGCCAGCGCTTCATCTCTTTTGAATAATTATGCCGATAAATACTCGAAATACATCTAAACTATAATGTACAGTCCGTATTATATATATCTGCTACTATTCTCTTCAAGGTACACCGTCTTATATCTGCTTCTTGAAATCCTTCCTTTCAAGACGTCTATCAAGTGCGTCTTGCCTCACTTCCATTGCTCGTCCTATCTGGGCCCTCCGCATAGCATCGAGTCTCGTAGTCATCGGATCGCTATCATGATCAAGGTCGCCCCCTTCTACATCCTTCGGCAGTGAGGCGGAAGAGTGAGAAGCCGGTTTGATCATACTAGGCGACGCAGGCAACTCTGAACCGTCATCAAGTTGCCGTACTTCGCTGAGCTCAATGTGCACTGTGATCTGTCCATGCGACGTCGTCGTCTTGGGGCCATTACTAGTGCTGCCTGACGTGTTATCCGTTTTCCCCCGCGCGTGCCTCCACAAGGACTTGATAGCCCGTATTAATGACTGCGTAGGCTTAATCAGCAGGTGGCCAGGTGAAGGAGTAGAATTACTTACCGGATCCGTAGCTGCTAGTACTGCATATACTATCGCTCGTCCACCATAACAAAAGTCGTCTGCGGATGCACTGCACTAAGTTTCGGTGCAGTGACCACGAGTTTGCTGGACTCACTAAGTAAAAGTACATTGTATGCCTGTTATCGCCAATGAATGTTATTCATGACAAGGAAAATACCCTGGACTTACTCTCTGGGATGTTGGTGTGCTGTGTGAAGTCGACGCATATAAATCACACGCTACAGTTGCAGTGTTTATGATGAGAGACGCGAGGGGGTAAAGCGCTGCAACTTGAGATCAGCCTGAAATTGCAGACCCTCAAAGGACAATGACTAACATATACGGATAATTACGGTCTGGTATGTCTTGGCATGATTTGCTGGTACCCTAATAGTAGTCGTGCTTATTGAATGGGCACGGGACCTTGTGCCTGTGGAATGTGAACGACTTCTGACCGCATTACCATGAAGAACCTTGATACATTATGAATATCAAGGCCAGACAATGCTGGAGAGTGCTTCACCTGGTGTCGAAGCATATACCCGAGTACGACGAAAAATGTCAAAAACTCTCCGACCACACTAGCTAAGCTCCAGAATATCTGTGTGCCAACCTGCAGATTTTGTGAGTCTTCGCCTGTTTGGAAGGAGAATGAAAATATAATGTGTACCTGCCAACGAAGACGAACGGCGATATTATCGCTTGTGTACCAACACGCATCGTTTATTGGATCCCATCTATAAAATCTATTGGCATTTCGTCTGACATAGACGGAAAATTACATACCCATACTGTTTCGTCGCGAATGGGGGAACGGTGATGGCGACTGCGGCCGTGATGCTCCCAATGATATAGTATTTCTCCATCACCTGACCACGAACGCCGTGAACGAGAACTAGTCTATCAGAGTATAAATAAACATGATGATCGCGAAGCTCAGAAAATACGTACTGGAGATTCAAGGCAATGCAGAACAGCAGGAAAGTCGACAGTTCCAGTGTCAACTGCGTGTATGAATCAGTCATGGGATGGAATGTTCGCTGGATTGAAATTATCCACTCACCATCAGCAGCCACATCGCAACGTTGCACGTTTCGCTATCATAGGTCTGTAGTCCGCTGACCGTAGATGCAATTCCAAAGACCATACTATATCCGTACATGTCAGAAAACTGCGTATTTCATTGATGGAGAGGACTCTAAAGACTCACTTGGCAATTAGTGCGTAGATCATTATCCTGAAGCTGACACGGTCAAGCTGATGTCTAGACACTGGGTGAATCATAACGACGGCTATGACCAATAGCACCAGAAAGCAGAGTCCAGCACCCAAGCTAGAGGTCACTGCCCATAGCAGGTTTCTAGAGGGAATGAAGATCAAGAACGAATAAAAGGGAAAACGAAGCGTGCACGCACGATATACGGTTATCAGCATCTGTGAACACAAAACCGTCGTCTGACTGTCCCATTTTTAGAGACAGAGCAGTATATGGAGACGAGGGGGTTGTTGCGGGAAGAGGGAGGGAGCCACCGTAAATTCATATAGATTTAGTTATAAAAGCCGACGCGTAAAACGGAGTATGTATACATGTACATTCGTAGGGCGGGTCGATCACAGCTGTCAACTGGTTGTCGCGGCCTCGCATGGATGTTATTTCCAAAAACCTAGGAACGCGCCGATCCAGTAACCTTAACTTTGCTTCCACAAGGCTGTCACAGATATGGGAACGAGAGGGATCTAACCAGAAGAGAGAGACAGCGCCATGCGAACGAGATTGAACGGAGAGAAAACCAAAAGTCCATGATACCGACCAGTTGCAGCAGTGCCCATGCAGAAAAGCGGGACTGCTCTGCCCCCTATAACAAGGAGCATCTACAATTTTAGCACACGGCTCGGAAGGCACACAAGGGCACAGCACCAGTTAAGAAGATGCGCAGAAGCCAGAGTCGCAGACTAGGTCCCAAAAGCAGAGCATGCGATTGGTGCGATATCTTATCTCAGAAAGTGGCGTCGTGGTTGAAATTCCATGTTCCATCTAGCGTTGACGAGACTCGTGAAAGTGCAGGGAAGAGGACTTAGTGAGGATCACGGGTGAAAGAGGCAACTCCGAAAGTTGAAATAATCGCAGTCGACATGTGGCCATATGTCGGGATCCTTCGGACCGACACGACATGCTTGCCCGCAAGTTATTCGCAAGTCGTCGCTGTACACGTTCCGGAGTGCGTTTCCTACAAACACAGCAGCGTAATGCAGGGGGAATGCCAGCGCCGCTCAAGGGTATTAAGATCCTTGACCTGACAAGGGTGCTTGCCGGCCCCACAGCGACCATGCTGCTTGCAGACTTAGGGGCAGATGTGATCAAGGTTGAACAGTGTGGAAAAGGCGACGACACGAGTAAATATTAATGTTTCTTGAAATTTCTTTCGCCGCAATGACGGGTTCCTGGCCTCCCCTTTCCCCCTTCCAAGGAACGTGGAACCCTCCTTCAGCCCCTCTTCTTTCCACGGCTAATCAAACCCTTCCTCCCGAATCCGCCTACTTTCTAGCGGTCAATCGTAACAAACGTTCCATCACGATCAATTTCAAGTCGGAAGAGGGCATCGCCATCTTGCATAAGCTCGTCGCCCAGTCTGATGTGCTTGTGGAAAACTTCATTTCTGGAAAACTCGCGGAAATGAAGTTGGGGTGGGAGGATTGCAGGGAGATTAATCCACAGTTGGTTTATGCTTCAATCACTGGTGGGTGGCTGTTTCGGCAGGCCTTAGTCGGCGCCCTGATTGCCCTTTAGGATATGGACAGACCGGTCCGTATAGAAAAGCGGCGGGTTATGATGTTATCATTGAAGGTGAAGCGGGGCTGATGCACATGTACGTTATTTTTACTGTTGTGTCTGGTTCACTTTTGAGTTTGCGTCCAGAACAGGTGAACCCAACCGTCCGCCGTCCAAAGTAGGCGTAGCAGCCACCGATATCGCTACCGGTCTTTATGCACATGGTGCAATTATGGCCGCACTATTATCTCGCCAGCAAACCGGAAAGGGCGTCTGGATAGATTGCAACTTGTTCGAGACCCAGGTCAGAATTGTTCACAAGTACCACCGATCGATTACCTTCCACTAACCGGTAACTGCGTGAAAATAGATCGCAGGGCTGGCAAACATAGCATCCAACTACTTGATCGCCAACAAGGAAGCCTCTAGGCACGGTACTGCACATCCATCGATAGTCCCATACCAGGTGTTCCCATGCAAAGATGGCTTCATCATGATAGGTGCTGGGAACGACAGGCAGGCACGTAACTCTGGCAAATAATTTACTTTTGAGCTAAACTTCTTACTACAGTTCACGTCGTTTTGTACCAAGATTCTCTCCCGGCCCGATCTTGCTCAAGATCGTAGGTTCTCATCCAACATCGTTCGCGTTCAGAATAGAGAAGAACTTGTGAGGATAATCACTGATATCCTCATGACGAAGAATCGCGACGAATGGCTGGCAATGTTCGAAGGGATCGGGTATAACGGAAAATGACAGCTTTCACCTTTCTTCTCTGAACTGACAGGGTGTCCTTCCAGTGTTCCGTACGGACCCATCAATAACATTCGCGAGACTTTCGAACATCCGCAGGTATTTGATTCACACGGCACGTTTGTCTCTCTTCTCACATTTGAATTTCATCGCAGGCGATCGCAAGGAAGGTGACAGTGGAGGTAGAAGTGAGTGTCCTTCGTTTCGGCACTATGTATCCTTGTTTTGACGGCGCGAATCATAGCACCCACGCGCAGGTAAGATAAAACTGGTCGCACCGGCCGTATCATACAATGGGGAGAAGATGCCCATTCGCTTGCCACCCCCATGGCTCTCGCAACATACGAACGAGGTGAGTTCTCTCTTGTGTCGTCTACTTTTTCGCCACGAGAAATCATATGCTGGCAGGTCCTGGGAGAGTTGGGGTACTCGGAAAACGAGATCAAGACGCTCAGAGAAAAGGGCATTGTATAGGAACTCCCTCCGTTGACCTGTTTACAGTCAGTAACTGGATACAAATAATAGAACTGAAATCAACCTTTTCAATCAACTCACGGAGAGTATTTGATCCATAAGCGTAGTAGGTAACACGGCAGATGGTAGCTATTGTTGCTCCGGTTCATGTGATTGCATAACAAGAACTTTCCGCGGGCCTGGGTGTAACCGTTCGTGTTCAAAGAGAAAGCCGACTAACACACAGATCTACGTCCGTTCATTCCACTCCTTCATCTCCTTCGATACCCAGCAATCCTTCACCGAAGGATCCTCGTACATCTCGATCTGCTTCCGACCCTGCCTCATAAGATGCTCAATGACACTGACCTGCCTCGGCGAGATGGTCGTCGCGTTTCGGTGAAAGCTGTACCGGACGAAGAGGAGAAACTTTGCTCGCGTTGACGGGGGCTTGGTTCGTACCATTCGGAGGGCCCTAGAAGCTATGGCATGAGACTGAAATTTTGCAGAGAATAATTCGTGGAGCATACCGTCTGTAGAGGCTGAGGACTTCCCTTTGAAGCCCTGACCTCGGTGACATGGAAGTGGTTAATAGAACATAAAAGACTTAGTCAGCAGTCCCTGCGTGTTCGGTCCGCCGTCCCGAATGTCATCCTCCTTTCCCCCACACTAGGTTGTTATTCTGATAGATAGATATGGCTATGCACGTTGTATTATATCCTTCGTTGCCTTATCAGTAGTTGTATGAGCCAGCATGCCATAACACGGAACTGCGATTCATAAATGCGGCGAAGCTTGTTATCACACACCTCATATGTAGTGAACCAGGTGGAAAGCGCGTCCTGAATAATTGGTACACAGTTGAAATGAGTCGTAGACGAGGAGGGATGATGGACGAAAATTACAACAACACGATAGCTGACAGCGAGAAAGAGAAGACCAAGATAAAAAATGACAACAAGCCTCGGCTCGAAGAGCTTGATGGCAGGAACTGGGAGAATACGCGTTCATGTCATTGGACCGGAATAGTATTGCCGACCTCATCCCGCATATGTGTAGAACAATAAAATCCTCCCATCATCCTCCGAAAATTCGTCTTGCGAACGGTCGGGGCGTTGCATGTACATGTAAAGCGTATGTTCATCTCCTTTTTCCATTTCCTAGGTAAAAAATGGTAATGGTGTCCTTTCCGTCACCTCTACGTACCTCTCCCAACCCCTGTAGAAGGTGAACGTGCTGGAAGGTAGACATTTAATGGGGGCGTACTTGTAATATATGTTAATCATCGGCGGGTGGCCCTTCCACGCCCCTCTCCATATACCAATTCTTGAGCCAGCACTCGGCAGCATCATAGTCACTCTTGACTTGTGCCAAAAGAGCCGTGATCCTGTCGAGTGCTTGCGTATCGGATACATCACCATCATCATGCTCATTGCGAAGCTTGCCGTAATACTGAATCTTCTGGCATGAGACTTCGACGCGGCCGACACCGATCTGACCAGATGAGCCTTTAAGAAAGTGACCAAGAGATGATAGCTCTTGGAGGTCTTTTGCTTGCCTATCACGGATAAGTCAGCGTACTGTCGATGGGAAAAGGGACGCACAAAGCATCGTCCATCTTCTTAAACGTGCTCCGTACTTGGGTAAAGTAAGCCCAGACCATGGAGGAGGAAAAATCGTGCGTTTCATCCTCATCAAGATCAAGAATCTGACGAAAAGTGTCCATATTGATGGTAGCCGGAGATGATGGAGCCTAATGAATATGAACGATAAGAAGCAGAGAAAAGGATAAGTTTAAGATGATATAGGGCACCTCTGGAGCTGGGGTCTCAGCGGAATCGTCGGGTTTTGCAGAGCCGTCGGGCGATGGAGATCCGGCAGTAGACTTATCTGTCTTCTCTGTCGGGCTGCGGTTCTCATCGGACGGCGGCCGTTGGTGCTTCAGGGCAATATCGACTGTAGCATGGTCGACGGGTCTCAGCGATGACGGTGATTTTGAATCTGTCGTGACGGGGGGGATGGGAGAGGGCGAGCGTGGCTCGGTGGCCGAGTTCGTCACCGTGCGGGACATGGGCGAAAGCGGTGAACGGGACGTCGGGCGAGGATTACGGTACGTGGTCGATGATGGCAAACGCTGGGCACCACGAGCAACGTCGGTGACGAAGATAAACGATGAGCGACCCTGTGCGATGTCGTCGAGACCTGCCCTCACTGATAGTCTGATAATATCCGTCTGCAAGAGGCAAGAGCGCTAGGACATCACCCTGTCGGATGCTTCCGTCCACGTCTGACGTCATCCCCCCTCCTCACTCGCCGCAATCATGCGTATGATTCGACATATTGTTATTTAATTTATTGTAATTCGTCCTCGTGTCTCCGCCAAATTTCTTTTTACTTCTCTCCCCGGATCATAGCATCAACTCGTAAAGGCGGCCTCAATTCGCACATGTTCAGTCATAGGACGATGATGGAAAGCATCATCGAGCTCAACATTTCGCCGAAAGTTCGCAAAGTCACCGGTTATTCACCCATGCCGTCAAATAACGCGTTCAGTACATTCGAGGCCCCTTGCCATTGACACACCGTTATTCTAGGTCCCGTAGTCGTGAAAACATTACGAAACACTCGAAACAGCCGGCGCAAAACTTTACTACCCTGAGAAGAGCCCAACTTGAAAGCAGTAGATCGCTGTCTATCAATGTGTCCAGTTCGATGGCCACGGATATTATAGTGGGGTGAACATAGGAGCAGTCAGGCTCGGTACATGCGCAGTCAAAGTTATCTGTAGGCTAGAATTCATTCAATCATCACAGGCACAATGTTGGCAAACGTGTTTTTTTGGGAGAAACATCCGTCAGAAAGCGATTCTGGACCTGCAGCTGACGTTCTAGATACATATTGATGCAAGACATCAGTCAGGAAACGCGAATAGCGCTGTAACGCAGAATGAACACACCCGTCATAACTTATCGCTAACGTTGACGTTACGGTTTGAGCTACTTGCAACTTTTGGCCCTCAGAGAGGCCTGCCGAGGTCAGAAGTCGAATGATTATTGTGATAGTCGATTCGGGCTGAGCTTCCAATGTCATAGTCTTCAGTCAGCGGAAGAAACATTTTACCGATATCTGCACGAGGTGAGGTCTTCATCGAGGCTGACCGGCAGCGAGTTTCAGAACAATAAGGTCTTTATACTCAACTCACCGACAGGTGGATATGCCCGTTTTGAGGATGTTGTTCTCTCGACAGATGAACCACCACTGGCACCGTTGCCACTGTAGACACCGGTTGCAGTACATTGCCAGAAACCCATGGAGATATCTGTCACAGGTTCACAAGTAGAGATATCGACGTAAATTTAGATCCCTCTTGAGCGAACACATTCGCTGTCAATGTGACTGATTTCTGGTTGAGCACACGGGTCGTAGTTCCGTCCAAGGAAGCAGTCGGATTCAGCAGCCAGATTACACCTTGTGGCCAGAACGTCTTCTAATGTGAGATGCTTGTAGAGGTTTCCTCAGCAGTGGTCGTAGCGCTTACCATTGGAGAGACCATGTTTGCGGTTGAGCTCATCAGCCAGCACCATACAACGCGGCGGAGGGTATCCTGGCAGTCGCTGAGCGAGCGAGCAACGAGCAGCCTCATACTCCTGCTCATAGAAGCAGGAGATGGACCATCATGACGGTCGTGACGAGAAGAGCAAAGACGTGGCGAGGGAAGGAAAATTGGCCAATGCTGGCCCAAGAGAAGGACCATGATAACTATTGCCTAATATCGCCCAGTCTTTAAGCTTTATACCCTAAGCTCACCAGAGTCCGCAGCGACAACAATTCTTTCTCGACGCGTACGAGATTGCGGCAAACGCAGGCCTTACACTACCGGGAGTAGATTTTTGGCATGGTCCATTGGCTCCCATCATTTTCTCGCAGCAAGAAGCATCCCTAATACGGCAGCCACAGATACGAGAACATTATGATAAGATATTGGACAGAGCACAGAGAATGTTCAAAGACTCGGAGTTCTGACATACAACTAGAACTGGTGCATTTCTCAGTCTGGTCCTTCAAGTGGCTAAAGCAGGCGGTAGCTCGGGGTCGCAGAGTCCCAATCCTCCCGTGAATCACTTCCATTCTGTCACGACCATGTGCAATCCTAATTGCTTGGCGGAATGCCGTCTCGTTAAGAACAGAAATATAGGGCCTGTAAAATCTGAGAGGGACAGGGATTCTCCTAGACAGACGTTGTGAAGCGGTCATTACACAGCCACAGAGTCGGCAGCTAACAAACCTTTCCCCAAGTTGATTTGTGATTTTCTTAAGACTGTGTCCTTCATTTCCAATCTTTCCCCTGGAGTGACGATGACGGATGCGCTGCGTTCCTGAGGTTATATATCACCTTGTCAACAATACGTGCGCCATCTTCTTCTGTTCCAGGGTGCATCCTCACACTGACAAGAGGATGCATGGGAAAACGCATCACAACATCCAAAGTTCATGAATCAACCACCGAATTAAACGTTCTATGCTACTTTTCTGACAAAATGATTCCAAAGGTGTGATGTGCACATACTCAGGGTGTATACACCATTAAGTCGTCATCGACAATCACCTAATGTAAATGGGAAATATGGTCGTGGTCCGTTCGTTACAAGTCATCATGTAAGTATTGGCAAACGAGAGCAAGGGGAAATAAAAAATCGAATCGAATGAGTTAACGAGACAGGTCAAACCGCCGTCTAATAAATACGTGCTAGGTTCCATGTAAAAGAAAAGTGAAGTCAAATAGTCACAACCACAAATGCAACCAGGATAGGAAATACCATCTGGCATACTGAAGTCCAGTTAAAGATGAAAATTCTTGAATGGTAGTGGAGTCTGCCTGATCATCGGCCTCCCCATCGTGAGGCGCAAAGAAGAACCCAGCAGTGAGAACGAGATAACTAGGTACGTTTGTTAGTATCTGTCCAATGAGTGTACCAAAAGATACTACCTTAAAATGAGAATGCTTCCTCGGTGGTAGTTACTCTTTGCTTCGATGTATGTATATGTCATCAAAAACATCGAAAGGATGATGGCAATCACATCCCATCGAGGAAAAATAAGTCTACGGACTCATCAGGACTGTCAGGTCTGGGAGGCGGTGGTACTCACGTGAAAGTCTTTGCAACTTCGCCCATTTTATCAGGGGCCCAATAAGCGGAGAACGCAACCATCGCCGGTATTTGTAGAAGGCAGACTTGAAGAGCATACGCTGAGCCGATCTCCATACTGGACGTGGGTGAGTATGCTGTAACATGGCGGAGTACCGGGTACCTACCTGAGGGCAATGTTGCCATTAAGAGCAAACGACATTGCGTTCATGAATTCGGTTGTGTTCGGGACAAGTGCAAATAAAGTTACACCGAGGAACTTCTCATCGATCCCAGAGCCTTGCAGAATGACATCGACAACATCGACAAGGATTTCTAATAAACCGATGTCACCTGTGAATCTTACGTATGAAGATGGTATATACAAACCTGCGATGATAGCATACAACAGAGTACATGCGAGCAAAACGCTAGCACTAGTAGTGCGGCTCCAAGACGGTGCGTCATGCCCTCCATGACCGCCAGATGTAGATTCGTTTTCAGCGCCCGATACGCGTAAACGACCCGGCGATTGAGCAGCATGAGCTTGCTGATGGCGTAGAGCACTAACTGTCGCTACAGCCACAGCCCTAGTAAAGTCATCGGTTGTCATTGCTTCAGGAAGATGCATAGGTTGTAATGCGGTGGTCTTCACGGCTTGATCCACGCTCTCCATGACGGGCGTAAAGTGTACAGGAGGCATAGCAGGAGCGGCGGCGTAAGAGACTCGGCGGGGTAGAACAGGAGAGGGAGGCCCGCGAGAAGTGGATGGGTGAGACGAGGCTTGCGAGGGGGACGCTGCATCTCTACCAAGACTATGAGCGTGACTTTCCTTGCGATGAAGAGAGCCTGGTGCATTGGGATTTACGGTGCCAGTAGACGGAAGACGATGATACAAGGATTGCCGCTGGTGAATGGGGAGTTCCACGGAGTGCATTAGCTGCTGGGGATTTTGCCAGATTTGGCTGGCATGTGTACGGAGAGAGAACCAAAGGCCGACAAGATACGACTATAAATCACGACTCCATTAGTAGGCCGAGAGGGCTATGACCATGGGAACGTACGAAGAGTAAGACGACAGCACAGAAGTACATCAAGCTCTTCACAGTCGATTGATAGAAGGGATCATCGACCGGGTCTGGATGTTTATAGTAGCAGTGATCACAAATCCAAGGCGTGTTGCTACCACCAGGTCCAGGCGCAGATGGACATCCACTGCAGATCAACTGGAACTAGAAAGGGTTAGTTGACCTCGAAGCATGCAGCGATTGCACACGACGTACATTTCCATAGGTCTGATAGAAAAGAGTGGGTGCTAATGCTCCGATAATGGCCATGATCAACATCATACTGGTGACGCCGGCGCTCTTGGCATTGAATTTCTGCTCCTTTCGCCTGAATGCGGCACTGACCATACTCATGCCAGGCATCAACAGCACACCCGCCAGAATACTACCGACGATAGAACCTTCGACGAGATGCCCTTTGTTCTGGACCAGGGCCATAGAGTACAGTATAATTTCGATGATAGAACCGAAAGTGGCATTGATAACGGCACCCATCCCAATGGAAGACTGTGCGGAGATAGACGCGACAGCCATACCAATGAAATACGACAGAGGAATGACACTCAGCAAACTGAGAATGAAGATGAGGCCCTGCGATGCAATGAAGGCTAGGAAACTGGGGACATGTTTGTGATGCTCTTCGAGCTTTTCGACCATCGGAAGTAAAACCAACCCATCAAAGATAACGAAGAACACGACAGGCATGAGGTTGACAAACAGGATATTGACACCGCCCACAGTGTACTTGTAGTACTGCAATCCGACTGCACGATAAGTGCAAAGTAGCACCTTGGATGAACCGGACGGCGCAACTTGTCCTGGAGCAATGCGAGGATGCTTGACTGAAAACTGAGTACGACTGGCCTCAGGGGAAGATGCTGAATCCTCAGCATTGGTTGGCCCTACTTGCTCAGAAACTACCACGGCAGGAGGTGCCGCACAGAATCGTATGGTATCGGGTTGAGTAAAGATGTGCGTGAGAAGAGCCCAATTGAGCTTAGCCATCGGTATAGTGACGATGAGACCCCAACAGATGAGGCAAACGACGAGCATGAGTGGGGCAATGATGGAGATCATTCCAAGCCAGAAGCAGATTTTGCCAAGTGTGGCCCCTTTCGGACTTTCTTTAGCCGCACCGATGGATGACTCTGAAGAAGCGGTGGATAAAGTTGCTCCATATGATTTGGAAGGCGGCGGTGAGTGCATTTCCGACACCGTCTGGAGGAGAGAAGTGTGTTCTTCCGGTATGATAACAGAATTCCAAGACATTGTTTGAACATGTTGCGCTGTCGTCGAATGGTCAGCAGCAACGCCTCGGATGGTGCTGGAGGACTGATCATCGGAATCAGGTGCCCTGACTGTGTGCGAAGAATCACCACTCCAATGGCGTTCGTGTGAGGTTGCATCCTCATCCTCATCTTCATCGTCGTCCTCCGCCTCTTCATCAAGTGCTTCACCTTCCACGTATTTCCCGAACGGCCACGCAAGATACCATCCCAAACCGAAGACTAACGAGGAATACTGCTTGCCACCTTGAGGAATGAGATAGAGCAGGGCGGAAACGGCAAAGCACGTCAGAGAAAGCCACCAACCAAACACGACAACCCAGAAAATGTTGCCGGGTAAGAGGTGGCGCTCTGCCTGAGCAGAAGGGATGGAGTGCAGTGCTTCGTCAGCGTAGCGAGTGACTGAACGCGATTTTTGGTACAGTGCTGGCTTCCAAATGGGGAGACCAAATGGATGCTCGACGTTAATGAGCGACTGTCGGTCCTTGAGAGTGATGGGGTCTTCCTCTCTATCGGAGCCGGACTCGTCGGCATCATTGGCAGCCTCGTCGTCATTGGCGGCGACGGACTTGCCAACTCGCCTGTCAGTAGGCTCGGAGCTATCACCATCTTCATCTTCCTCGTTGAGATGATCGTCCTCGCGAAAACCTTTACCAGCGGTACTCACGCTTCTGCTGCGAGCTTCACGACGTACGGAATGCGACGAGGAACTGCGAGAGGGGATGGGAGGAGGGGCTTGTCGGAAAGGGGGGGACTGCTGGTAAGAGGTTCCTTGGTTGTGACGTTGAGGTGAATCTGACGCCGACCATTGCGAGCCATGGCTCATCGAGCGGTGAAGATGGCTGAATGGAGTGGGAGTCGACGACACTGTGTCATCCATGTCATCAGACACTGGAGAGGGTAAGTTGGACATGGTCGTCAACGGTGGCGAAGGCTATTCGTCGTTGTTATTGTCGACCAGCGCAACTTGAGACACAAGAAAAGCTGAGAGAAGGCTGCCAAACGACAACCAATCAGAAAAGGAAATAATAATATACAAATCCGTTACGGAAAATCCCGGGGTATCATCAAAATCTAATCGTATCTCTGAATAAACGCCACACTTTTCATCACTTTTTCATCAACTTCTCGTGTAACTGAGCCCCCTTCAGCTTGGCCCGCAGATACTCGAGACGTGCCTCATACCGCATACTCACTTCCTCGCGTCGCCGCCGTATATCCTCCATTTTCTGCTCCATCTCATCCTCCATCTCATCCATCTCCTTCTTGCCAGATCTGCCAGGCGTAGATTTACCATCGACGGACCTGATTTCGTCTTCCGGCACCGAATACATGGATGGAGGACCTGGGCTCCTTGTTAAGTTAATATTAGAGCCACTAGCATTGTATCCCTGGTTGAGTGACATCCCCATGGGCAAAGACGGCACAGGTGGTGGTGCCAGTCCACCGCCAGCAGCAGCAGCAGCCCTCCCTGATGACACGCTTGAAACGGAGTTCTTTCTATGCAACGATCCAGGTCTTGATGGTGTTGCGAGGCTCGAAGTCGTCTTCTGACGCACGACTCTCCTTCCTGTGTACGTCGTGTTGATAGATGTACCCGACCGTATTGATGTAACATCGCTATCGGCGCTACCCATAGCCATCCGCCTTTGGCTCCGTGAATCAGGTATCAAGGTCCATGTTGACACGTCCCCGCCACTACTATCTTCATAGATCTTTCCTTGTCTTTGATGGTGTTTCTTGGTTAATGCGGTTACCTCAAGCCCATGAAACGCATCCATCAGACGCATTCGCTCCGACTCAACAGCTGAAATCTCTTGTTTTATCTCCTCAGAAGATTTGAGGTCACCTTCGTCGAGGACATCGTTCATGGTCCCGGAATACTTGGGGTCGGTTGCAAGCGCTCTTGCACCAGGAAATGCGGAGGGCGGGGTAATGTATCGTCTGATACTTGACGTGGTGGAACGAGAGGAGGGAAGGTGGGGCATGCTAGGATGATCGTGCCGTTCGAGGGCGCTTAACCCCGTCCGGCGAGAAGACAGTGAAATCGTGTCTGTCGGTCGAGATGCTTCCGTCTGTGTGGACGTCACCGACGACGCACTCGACTTCTTGATGAGCCGGGGAAGCTTGAAAATATTGGAACTACTAGATGCTGAAGAGAAAATGCTGGATGTCTCGTTGACATCTTTCGACCCAGACTGTGTTCGAGCAACTGCAGATTTTCGGAACAGACCCGTCATGCCTGAGGCCACTGAGTTGCGCGACCGTACTGAAGGGGAACGGGGAACGTCGACCACAAAATTAGAAGGCCGTGAGCTTGATGACACTTGTAAATTGCAAATATATATGAGCATGCATGACCAGACGTATTAAGGCCACCTACGTCTTTTACTACTCTCACTTCCACGTGCTTGATGCCGGTTGACGGGAACAACAGGTTCCTCAGAAGGCACAGCCGAGCTGCTCGCAAACCTCTCAAATAGACTCTGCCGCAGCATTCGGTATTCATCATCGCTAGAAGGAGGGATATGGGTCAAGCGGCAAACAGGTGGGAAATAAATTACTACACACTTCAGCAAGCCGTCTGAATTTGCCACTGCCAACTCGTTCAGCCGTTGCGCCAGCGTCGCCCTGTGTTTGCGTTAATTCGATATCACGAAAATAGAGAAATTTATATAGAACATGGTTTTTCTCGCTGAAAAAACTGCAGTGGTACTATCGTCCTTTGTGTCCTTCCGTAGTGGCGACGACGATGGCATGTTGGTAGCAGATTTTGCAGCAGCGGACCCTGGTTGGCCATGAACACTGTTTCGTGCGCGAGGTCCCGTCTTTTTATGCAACGAGGTCGCCACAGCGTCAGTTCCATTTGTATGTATCGGAGACGGCTGAGCCAAGGCTTGTGCCGCCGACTTGCCCGTATCGACAAAGGTAGGATTGGCATCTTCGCGTTCCTTTCCCTTGTTTCTGCCGTACTAAGTGACCCGAATTAGACGTAAACATTAATTTCGGGGAAACGGATGAGAACAAAAGGTTATTTCGGAATCTTGTCAATATTCGTGGAGAGAAGTACGCACAAAACGTGAGCGGATGACATGGACAACGGATTTGTCGGTGACAACGTAGTCATCGTGGGGCTTCCTTGACGAGAAGAACCCCATGCCTGCATTACTACGCAGTCGAAAAACACCTTCTGGATGGTATATTGAAGCCTGCAACAGTAGATATAGAAGAGAGAAGGAGGGTACACCGTACAGCGCAGAAGAGGGATAGGCACGGGAATTAACCGCCGGCATTTCCTTCTCATGATTTGCAGTCACTGATGGCATGACATTGCACTTGTTCGTTTATTTTCATATCCTAGACAGATTGTCTGCATGGACTTTATCGACAGCACTATCTTACATATAGCTTATGCCGTCCTAGAATTTCTGGGGCTGACTAGTACATACTAATTTTGGACCTTTTTATTTCTAAAGAAAACACCCATTTCTTTCATGGCTGATCCAAATGTCTGGGCAACCTTCATCTCTGATCCGATCCACTTCGGCAACTTATTGCGAATATTCGGTGATGCATAGCGTCTATCAAGGAGAATCAGGGACGCCCAATCCCCACGGTGTCTTATTGCACGTCCTGTGGCGCTTGTATATAAGCAAAAAAATTTCATCGACACGCGACAACGCACCTATACTCTGGTTGACAGCATTCATACACATGTTTTCATACAGCTCCGCTGCGGCATCTTTCTGGCCTTGCGCTTTCTTTAGCTGACCTTTGTCCTCTAGCCGCTTTACATATTTCATCCTCTCGCGAAGCTCTGGGGACGCTAGGTTCGCGTAAGGAAGCCCGACAATGACTACCGCTCGAGCTAAATCATCGGTAAAATTCAGGCCCTCAGATAGCTTTGCCCCAATAACTGCGAAGAGCAATGCGCCTTTCTTATTGTCGACCTAGTTTTCATCCAATGAATCAACCCTATTCACGCAACGAGCGACTTACTGGATTATGGACTGCAAATGAGAATCCTTGCAGGATCTCATCGACATCTTTGGCTTCATCTGGCTCAAAGAACACCTATCCGCATCATTCAGACAAAATCAGTTTGCGGTGTCAGAACTATTTACTGACTTTCTTTTTCGCGTTGAACTTTTCTATAACACCACTTGTTTTCCAAGCATCTTTGCTCGTGTGCAAGAATCTATAAGACGGAAAGAACACGATCATCCCACCGGGAACGATGTTGGTCAAATTTAGGATGATCTGTCCCAACTCTCCGATCTTGCACATGTCCATTATTCAAAAGTTTGTTCATGGCAAATGTATTCGACTTACCACAGCTTTGTCTGCTTGCTTTTCAGCTTTATATTGGAGGTCTCCGCCACGTGGCCCCTTGGAAATTGTCATTGGCAACAGATTCCAAGGCGGGATGACATGACCGCAAGAGAAACTTGTCAACCTTTCACTTGGTAGATTCGGGAACAGTTGGTTCATGACATCAGATATCTGCCAACAATGTAAGATGCTATATCTTTATTGCTATCCAAAACGCCGCATACAGGTGACATGGTTCCGCCTGCAAGAATAATGGATCGTGCTTCTTCGATTACGTCCAAAAATGGCGGGGCTGGATTAAGGAGCTGGTATTTGATTTCAACATCTTCATGACCGGGGTTTCCCACAAGGGAAAGACTTATTCTGCCATCTGCGAAGAGAACGGATAATGTCTTGGCACAAAGCACGCGTAAATGTACGTACCTTCGCTTGTCGCTGTCAGCGAGCGCATCAAGTCTTCAACTGCATGTAAGGGTGGAACCGCCCCTTTCGGGGTCTGCTTAATCTTTGCCGAATCTACAAAATGACACTTAAACAAAGAGGATACACGATGTCAAAACACTCACCCATTCTTTTTTCATCCTGCTTTTCAGAATAAGCCGCAATCTTTCTTGCAACCTAAGAAAAACAAATTGTTAGCTGACGACGCAATGTAAAAATTAGCAGGGCGTTCTGACTTTACTTGTTTTCAAATATCCCGTAATCTCTAATAAATTAATCCCCGCTACCTTGTTTCCAAGCCGTTCTAGGAGCTCAGATACAGAAAGCATATCAACCTTCTGATTTTGACGTACATCGTCCTCCTTCCAGGATAGGGTATATTTCGTCAATGCATCGAGAAATGCGACTAGACGCTTCAAGTGTAACATGTTTACGGGAGAAAGGCGATTGCGAAACTTTGAATTGTAAATGCACACTTGTTTAAAAGATATTTCCAGGGTAGAGAGAGACAACTTGTGCGTCGACAACGCCAGGAGTGTTGGGATAAGGTCTACATCAAAGCCGTTAGCGAAATAAGGAATAATACATGTAATATGTAATTCACTGTGAGCTTCGTCAATGATAACGATTTGATCCTTTAGATCAATCCCGAGGGCTTCACGCGCCGACTTCTGCAACAGCAGGTTATAAGGTAAGGTCACGAGCTGCATATCGTTAGGAAGGTCATCTATTTGGTATAAGACTTACTTCTGCTTGAGATATGGCGCGCCTAGAGCCAAAATATGGGCATAAATTAACTATTCGACCAGCGGTGGCAAGGTCTTCAATATCTTTTGGCGAGGCCTAAGGTTAAGATGAGTGAAGCTTCGTAGAAGAAACTATGGCGGCATACCAGGATTTGATCTCGAAATTCAACCATACGGTAATCATCGCCTATAGGTGACAAAAATTGACAGCGTTTATCCCCCTTCTCTAGAAGCACGCTGAGTTTGAAGATACCGTGACATTGACACGGATAACCCACCGTTTAACAGTTCGCGACACGCCTCGTCAAGGTCTGCCTTCTTTGAACGAAGTTCGTCATTGACACAAAGCTGTTTTCGCGAGCCAAGCGACACTGTGCGTGAATAAGAGATTGTAGTGTCCGTGTCCACTTCATCGTCCGATTCTTCAGCAACACGTTTTCGGGGCAACGCGATCGAAGAGCAGGTCGACCGATTATCAACCGGAAAGAGCTTTAATCTCTTCATTTCTGGTATGATTTGGGTCAACTGAGAATGCGTGCGTGACGCGTAGTATATCTTGGTGCATGTAAGTTCTTCGTCGTCCAGCAAGTCCTGCCTAGAACCTTTCTCTAGCCTGGAGAAAGTATTAACATTGGATAGGGATAACGAAATGCAGAACAAACTACTTTTCCATCAATGTCTTGACCGCCGGCGATATATTATCGTTCTCAGCTGCTTCAGTTTCCGGAAGGAACACGTCGTCATTTTCTTCGTCGTTAATGGGGTTGGATTTCTCCTTCATCCTCTGAGAAAATATCAGGATATAAAAGGAAGATTCCATTCAGTGGGACTCACGGGTTTCTTCGAGGTGCGCGCCCTTGCCATTTTCCTCATCTCCGCTTCTTTCTTTCTGGCCTTAGCCAACCGCTGCTCATATTCACTTTCCTGATCTTCCAAGTCTCTTCTCAAACGCTCCCTGGTCTGCCCAGCTACCCAGTCATTGTCTGGTTGTGAAGTGAGCGTTAACACATTATTCTTGAGCATGTCGCCCTACCGTCTGCATCAGCCATCCCCAATGCCGCCAGTTTGCCTTTCCTCGCGCGATTCTTCTCATCCGTTAACCAAGTCAAGCTGGCACATAAAAGACTGAGTGTTTTTCCCTTCAAGCGCGTCAGTGAACCGTCTGGTTGGCAGAAATGAAGAATTATACTGTGCCAGTTGGACTCTCGATGATAGTGACCTTTCTTCCCTCGATAGACGTATAAAGATGGCGCATAAGCTCCACCTGTATCGGATAAGGAGAGAACGGAAAAGCTGGAAAGTCATCGGGAGTTGGTAGGCTCAGCGACATGACTGGTAACAGACGCGTCGAGGGAGTAACTTCAATTCAAATTGACACGATGATGACAAGCACGTGAGTTTCCGCTCCAATGCCGATCGGAAAAGTTTCGGATATTTAAATTAGACAAGCCTTCTTTGCTCTCACAATGATGTTGTCGCATATCTTTACTAGAACGCAGTGGTCAGCCTGGCTTGTAAAAAATTCCCGTCGTTCTATGTCCAATCTTAACCGTCCTTCTCCTCCGCCTCTTCCACGAGAACTTCAAAGAGAGTTCGAGGAACTTCAGCGCCAGGCCCAAGCACCTCTATCTTCGGGCACCCCGTTATCTGATGTGGAAGCAGAACTGGCAATGCACCCCGATGCGCGGAAACCCGTCAAGCCGGCCTTTGACGGGGATGTGAATCCAGTGACGGGAGAGCAAGGTGGTCCCAAGCAGGAACCCGTCAAACAATGGGGAACAGAAGATGGCGGGGATTGGAGCTTCAAGGGCCGCGTGTCAGATTTTTGATATCTAGTGGGAAGATTGGTATGATATTTCTCATACTACCTGGTCTGGGGTGCTGTTTCTTATTCATTCCCCCCAGGGATTCATAATGATATATTACTGCTTCTTGTACGCCGTCGGCTGTAATGCTGCTGCCTTCCTCCATGGCGTACGACGTCTCGCTTGCCAACTTGTGCATACTTGTATGATCGCAAGGGCCTGTCCATCTCTCGGAGTCTTCACTACTAGTCACTAGTCAATCGTGGCCACCTGGGTCTCCTTGGTAGACTGGAAGCAGTAATTATTTGATCGAAACAAGCACCCTACTTCGGGTTCCAGGCTTACTTTGTCCAGTTGACTTGGTTGTAAGAAGACCGTGTACGAGCCTCGCTATATGCCCACTGGTGTATAAAGATAGTGAATATCCACATGCAATTCCATGATATTCTCAAATGCCTCCCGTAAACTCTACTCCCGTCACACCCATGTAGATGATCTCAACCGGTCCCTGGGTCCCAGGAGTACTTTTTTGAGCATCTGCGCTCTGATGGCGCAACCATTCGGGAAATACATTCTACGCACATCATTTCTACTCGGGCCACAAGTACAAGTCAATACCGGCGCTTCCGAAAGTCTGCTTTTAAGTTATGGAGTGGTCTTACAATGAGTCCAGGCGATTCCCAAATAACGTACAGTTGACTATACCAGGTTCGACCAGAAGAACATCTGGACGGGCCGACAGCGTTACGAGTCTTACGATTGCTATGCGGAAAAATATCTGGCCTACGGGACACATATAGTTGGCCCTAGTTGAGGTATGTGCCTGCGTCACAAGATGGCTTCGAGAAGACAGGGATCCCTGTGTATTTGTACCTAACAGGGATTCTCAGAAGCATGGATAAAGTTCACGTATATGTTGAGTTGGCATAAAACGCCAGGATGTCAAGCTGGAAATTACGGATATAATGGCGTACTTGAACTGCTTCGAGTCGAAATAGTACAAAATTCAATCATTGATTATCTTCATCTGTCGATGTGTATCCATGGAGATTGTGACAAACAGCGGCGAAACGTAACATTGCCGGCTCATTCTTCCCTCACGTGTATTCTCTCCGAAAAAAAAACTGTCCACTCGTTGGTATCGTCTTTACGCTCGTCATTCTTTTCCCTTCATTCATTTGATAGCCCTTGCTGCATATTCACTCCTTGAACTTCTTTCTGCTGGACACTCTTACGTGATTAAATCGTTCGCTGCTGTGCAATTTTCCCGTGTTTTGTGACGTTGTATCCACTACACGTGTGGTCCCAATTAACCCTCGACAAATTTGATTGGTGAATACCATTCCTCTTGCGTCCTAGTACTAATAAATCATGTGCGTACCGTCCTTTTCAATCCTTTCCCCGGACTAACCATGTTGCCCAAGCTATCAGCACTCCTTTGATTCCAGCTATAGACTCTACTTTCGATGTATAACTTTCTCGCTTGCTCCTGACTCTATGCTTATTCGACTAGTTTCTCATCCCATGTCGTTTGCGGAATCTAATACCTATCCTCGACGACCTACTGCCAATCCATCAGATACGCTAACGTCATCTCGACGGAACGCTCACACCACCGTAGTTACTGCTTCATCATCGACTCCATCAACTACTTTGGAGAACGGCAGCCGTGACATAATTGCAAACGCGTCTAATAATACTCCACTCCTGCGTAGCCGGCCAAGTGAACCAAGAAATACATCCGAATCCGTGCCTATCCTTACAAAACCTACCATCAACTCTCATCTACTTAATCGTTCGGATTTTGGCACCAGGACGCTACTTACTTCCTCAGCTGGTTCATCCGGACTACGACGGCCTGCTGCCTCACCAATAACCCCAACATCTTTTGAGGAGGAACCGAGGGGATGGTGGACTGATCGCCGTGCTACACCTGTTCAAACGACTGACGCTCGACAAGGTAGTGGCTCAGTCCCAGCCTTTCCTGTTGGATTTGCGCCATCATCCAGGCACTCAATCGAAAAGATAAATCAGTTTACGCCAGTTCCTCAAGGTATGCTTGCAGGTTTTGGGGGGTAATTGTTCTTTACTCACATTTGGTCCCAGCCTCATCATCGAGATCGAGCACTAGCATGTTGAGCTCCAGGTCACTGCGTTCCGGTACGCACTGTCTTTCTTCCGTCGGTTATCGTAGTCTCATTTATGCTACGTAGCCGCCGATTTCATCGCTCCAAGAGCCGGTGTGTCAAAGTTACCCCTAAGACACGACAGTCTAATTTAATCTGCTGCAGTAGCATCGTCCTCGCCAGCGTCGCAGCTTCCTGGAGAAACTTCAAGTCCAAGTCACAAATGTATGCGTCTGACTGTTGCTATGGACCGCACCGTCTCATATCCGTTCAGCGTCTAGACGACCTCCCGGCCGACATGAGGAAGTTGCCTCAGGTACGTCACCGTGTTGTTTTTCTCTTGTTATCTCAGACTTTCATCCAGGAATGAAATCAGAGTCATTCAAATCACATAACATGAATGGTATCGTCATTCACTTAATTTGACCGCCCAAGTTCTGATTGCGCGACAGACCCCGTACCTACAACGATAATAACGACCTCTGAATCTCCCTCTAATTCCCGAACGTCATCTGGTGCGTGATTTAACATTCTTAGTACGAACAGATCCTTACAATATTCGCTTCATCAGAGTTGAATCCTACCCCAAATTACAAACCTCCATTGTTACAGCCGTCAATACTACGCCAAGATTCACGTCTGCCTTGTATGTTCGTTTTCTGTGAAATTCGTCTTTTTCTGATTACCAGGAATGATCAGCGTCGACGCCCTCAACTACCATGTCAACCCCTTCTTTGTCTCTACGAATGCCACGCGTTCGCGGCGAAACTTTACCTGAACACAAATCCTCATCACACCCCAATGCATCTACTTTTGGAAAGACGGCCTCCGCAAATATCCTGTCGTCAAGACAAGCTTCTACGCCTAATTCACGATCCCTCTCTCTACCATCCCTGTCTTCGACAACCACGTCTTCTTCACTTGGAGCTTCAGCGCCTTCTCAGACGCCGCCTTCATCATTGCCTTCATCGTCCACTACTAGCTCACCCCACTCCAGGAAAGCATCTGGTGACTTGTTACCTAATCACACCCACGAGTCCCGCACGAAACCGACATCGTCCTCTCCGGCGCTTGATGCTATTCCTCACAAACTTGCATTGGATGACATGAAACGCCTGTTATCCAAACCTGCGTCTATTCTATCAGGATCTGATTCAGACGGCTATCGATCACTGGGCCGCAGTGGAAATAGAACTGTGGTGAGCAGCGATGACGATGTTGGCGGAGGCGGTTATCGCAGCTCTCCGGGACGACTCAATACCCAGGTCAGAGAGCGTCTCGGCGTCAGAGCAGGGGCGACTTCGGAAGGGGACGAAGATCATTCTTTTCTCAGTCTCGGCCATACATTGCCTCTGCCAACTTCGACGGCGGTTACACAGAATTCCTCGACGGATAAACGTGCAAAGAACGTCTTGAGGAGGAGGCCGAGCAATGGCGCCAAGGCACCCAACCCAGCCATATTTCCGGCCTCGTATACAGAGGCCAAACTGAAGCCACGAACTAGAGTGGCATCGAGGTCAAGGTCACTTTCTACTAGTCCTCTACCACGCCATCCCCCCAGCGGAAATGATGTAGATACATCCGGGTTAACACCCGCAAGGGCAGTAGCAATGGCGTATAAGCAGCAACAGTTGGAGGGGCTGAGGAGACAGAAGGAGGAAGAGGAAAAGGTCAAGAAAGAAAGCGATGTGTCTACATCCCCGCCCTCTTCGTCCGGGTCCTCCACTGACCATGCTACACCGAAGGTTAGTAATACCCCGGAAGCAAGTACATCTCATTTGCCGGATAATACCGTATCTTCTTCATCGTCCCCTTCTTTAGCGCCATATTACACTGTCTTTGGTTCAACTTCGGGCAAGGTGATTGCTGTTGGTGGACCGGAGGATTCGTGGTCAGAGTATAGTCTTGGCCCCCAGCTTGTCAACGGGTTGGGTTCGGGCATCGGGCATCGCACCGCAAGTGTGTCCGTCGGTAAGCCCCGTACGTCGAAAAGTCTGAGCAGGTCGCTGTCACGTAAACTGTCGGGAAGGTGGCGGAAAGGCAGCATGGGGGTACCAGACGATGACATGGAGTGGGAGAAGATTGAACTTCCCTCCGTTGATCGCGAACGTGAAAAAGACTTGGAACCAGGGCAGGGCCGTCCCAGTCTGCAGGAGCGGAGAGGGCATCGGAAACCTGTTTTGAACGGTTCCAAGACTGAGGAAACCAAGTATCTCCGAGTGTCAGTGGACACCCAAGCAGGACCCATCGATGAACCCACTATGCCAGCCTCGAAGACGCCTAGGACGGCAACTCCGGCTAAAGACGCCTCCTTTGATTCAGCATTCAACAATGTACTTGGGCCGTGGAAATCTGAAACGAAGTCTGAACCAGGCAGCGGAGGAGGGAAGAAATTGTGGAAGCTGATAAAGCGCATTAGCACAAGTGGCTTACGGGACAAATTCTTGGATTCGCCTTCGGATTCTCCGTCAAGCAGTCCACCACCTGTTCCTGCGCTACCCAAAGATTATGCTTCAATGAACTACGGCCCAAAATCAATGGATGGACATGGAAGTGCTCCTCAGGCTGGAGCATTGTCGAGAATCATGCAAACTCGAACGTCGATTTCCGGTGGTCGGCCATCACAATCGCCTAAAGAAGGCCCCGCGATACGTCCTCTGCATCCCGTCCCTGCCACTTCTTCAAATTCACTTAGAGGTCACAGACCGAGTATCACAACGCGCTCGTCTTCTCCTGGGTCTTCAGATGTCGCGTCTTCAAAGTTTTTCCAGCGAACACAATCCCAGCGATCGTCGTCATCATCATATGGCGATGAAGTTCCACCTCCTGTTCCTGACACTGTTGTCGGTCAACACATCATTCCCCCAAGCGAGCTGTACAAATTGACCAAGAACATGCCTGCTGAAGAGGACGATTCCAAGTTTCGTCATCGAAAGTCGCTAAGCAAGGTTGTCCAGCACTCAGTGCGTACATCCACATCATCACTGGAAAGCTGGGTACCTACTGCTGAAGGGCCTTTACCATCTTTACCGACACCTCCCAGAACTGCATGGAAACCACCAAACGACTCAGTCCGAGCTTCGCCTACAATCCCAGAGTTCTCAACGTCAGCGCCTATCAATGCTTTCATAGGTCGTAGACCATCTGCTGTGGAATCCGCCTCTACTGATATCGCTGCTGATTTGAAATCCACGCCTTCTCGAACTTCTCGTAGTCTGCATAGACTCAGTCCCAGTGCGTCGAAGATATCATCCCCTATCCGAAGGCTGCCTTCCATACCACGCTTGTCCTCACCTCCACCTATTCCCGACACTCCTACTAACCCGAACCGCACATCCACTTCCTCGCATGCAACAGCTCGTCCCCGCTCCTACGCAAGCACCCTTACTACGTCGCCATCACCTACAGCTCAGTTCCGTGACCGAGCAACGATAAAACCTGCTTGGACCGAGCAAGAAAAGACAGATATGTGGAATGATCTGTTGGAGAGGAGTGCTCGAGCAGGAGGAACGCTTCATCTAAGAGGTGATCATGGCCTAGCATCGGATCAGTTGCGATTCTCAGCCGCAACCGTGAGCGATAGTGAGGTTGAATGAAATTTCCGATCTTGGTTTACTGCCTCCACTTTCATTTCACTTTTTACATATTGTATTATCATACCTTCTCAACGCTTTCATTGTTTGAGATACCGTACACCCCCATTTTTGTGTGCGCATATACGCTTTTAAAGCTGCATTCGATATATTTTTAGAGTAGCTCTTCTTTGTATATAGTAGTTGGAGTCCCTTGCTGTCATCATCTACGTTACACATCGCGAGGAACATCACTCCCTCTCATATCATTCAACTGTACAGATACCAACCCCCCTTCACCTATACCCTTTCACTCCCGTATAAAAACCATGTACTCCTGAGAATAATGGTACGCGTTAGGGATGAGAAATTGAATTTCAATCAGATCAGACGCGTTTGTAAGTGATCACGTTCTTGCAGAGTATTTACGTCTCCACGTCACCACCATCTTCTCACCGTATTTCAAGTTCGAACTTGTAGTTCATCCATTCATTCAATCTCATATTCCTATACTATTTATATGGGCCATACTCAAAGCACCATATTTTCCTCTGTATCAGCCGAAACAGCCTTGACTGCTGTCGCAGTCGCAGGTGCTGTGGGTTTTGCCGTGGTCCAAATTTCGAATTCGTCGCAGGCTAAAGCTCAGCCGCCGCCTCCAGAAACGAAAGGGAAGAAGAAGGGGAAGGGAAAGGCAAAAGGCAAAGGGAAGGAAACGTCTGCCTCGCTCCAGGACAGCAGCGCTAGTACTGCGGTTGAGCAGAAGGAGGTACCAGTCGCGAGTTCTGCTGAGGGTATTCCCGGGGACTTCGAGGCTACAAAGGTGCCTCCTGATGTCTCCATAGCATCCAAGGAGTCAATATCCTTGCCGAAGAAGAAGAAGAATAAGGGGAAGAAGAAGAAAGGTGCTGCGGCTAAAGCAGAATCTCAGTCGCCTTCCTCCTCTGCTCAAGTACCACCTTCGTCTCCTCCTCCACCACCTTCAAAGCTGCCAACAATGACAGAAACACCAAAATACCAGGCTGTTCCTACTGCTGAGGTATCCCAAGGACCAGCGACCAGCGGTGAAACCGACAAGTTGCGTACACGTTGACTTTTTGCTTGAGTGACGTGCTTACTTATCATACAGCAGCTCTAACACTGGAGCAACTACACCTACACGGTCTACTACTTCTGAGTCATCTCCAAGAGCAGCCCCTGCTGCAGGCTTCTCGTGGGGCGACTATGAGGATGCACACGATGTGGAAGATGATGATGAAGGTTGGGGGGTTGTGAAGCGGAGCCGTGGATCTCATAATGCCAGTATTGCGAACTTCTCGTCGAACGTGAACAGTGAGTCCTTAGTTCTGTGCTAGCCCAACCACTAACTTTTGGATATCAGAAACCGCATCAACATCTAACCAACCTCAGACAAAGCGTCAGCGGCAGAATGCTGCCCGGAAGGCGGCAGAGAAAGCGGCCAAGGCTGAGGCAGAGAAAGCGAGGCTGGTAGCGCTTGCTAAGCACCACGGAGAGCTAGAAAAGACTCGGATGTCAGAGCTCTCTAGCAGAAGAGGTGGGAATAAAGTTAGTGGAGGGATGACGGCTACTGTTGATGACAACGGGAAGCTAGTGTGGGAGTAGGGCATCTGTTATTTAAGTTCAGCTATTCCCTTTCACGGAACATTCAACAGGATGGATTTTTTGCAATTATTTGTTATCTGTATCAAGAGGAACCATCGTACAGGAAATATTCGTCTCCCGATTCCGAGTGACAATCAGACTCGTCCCAATCAGACTCGTCATCTGGTTCTGGAAGAATGAACTGGGCCGTTAGACCCCTACATATTGCTTCCTTCAGCTGGTTCTTCATATCCTGCTCTTTCGTGTCCTTCTGTGAAGATTGTACCCTCTGTCGATCTAAACGGAAAGAGACCTTCAGCTGGGGATTCGTAGCAAAGCGGCTTTTGATGGTCTGGACGATTCCTTTGAACTGCCCCCCGGCAAAACCAGTCAAGTAGATCTCCAAAGTATCCAGCTTCGGGAGAATAAACTTCTTATCACCTGGAGAATACCCCAGCGGCTTCAGACCTCCGTGCTTCAAAGATATTTGGGTTAATGATAGATGGGTGACGTTGGGGGAATACCGGAGAAGCTTGTACATGTCTCCGCACTCAAATAGCAATGAGCGAATGCTGCATCTGGAGCGATGGATGAGATCCGTAAAGATCTGAACATCTAGCACGACCGAGCCACTGACATGAAGCTCCGTCAATGCAGGAAGTGTCAAAGAGCCTATGAACCTGCGGGCGTGCTGTTTCATGGCGCCTAAGGAAAAATCATCAACGAAAGATATCCGCAGGCTTTGCAGATGAGATAATTGTAGGGAAAGGATTTTGCTGGGTGCCGGTCCATCAAGCTCTCGTATTTCACAGGAAATGAGGGAATGTGCTACCCCCCTGAGGTGTGACGTGATTTGATTCATGGGCATATCCTTGAAGGAGAGTCTGGTCAAGGTCTTTGGAAGCTGGACGACAGTTGTGGGAGGAAGCTCGGAAAGTGAGGCTTTTATTAGCTTGGGTGCGTCGCGGAACGTCCTAACCTTCTCTGTGTATCCGTCATCAAATTCAGCAGAACTGACGAGATCAATGCTTTCGAGGATTGGTAAAGCGACGCTCAGATGCGCGATATCAGATAGCCAGAGACGGGCCTTGAAGGTCTTCCACCGGCCGGAATGAGTAGGCAAAAGTTCAAGTGCGGCATCGGTAAGAACAGTGTCTGCATACTCGTCATTCCGTCCCGAGCCCAGTTCGATGTGAAGTGGGGCGTCCTTTGAGAGCCTGAAATACTCTTCAGCCATGGCCCCTAGCGAGAGATTGCAAGGATCCGCCGATCCAATCTCCTGATCCTTCACCGTCACGTAGCTCCATAGTACTGGTGTGGACCGTGCTAGATTTCTCCACCGTCTGCATACATGTGTGAGTACCCAGGGCGGACTTTCTAGGTCGAAGACGGTGTTCCTCGTGGTCGAAGCAAGGAGGATAAATACGGTGGTTAAGATGTCGACAGGAAGACGACAGATGGGGGTGAGCAAGGCCTTGTGCTGCTCGATGTAATTGACGAGATTTTCACGGATACAACGAACATTGCACTCGAAACGGACCATGTCCTGCTCCGCCTCAAGGACGACTTTCTTTACAAGATCTTTTTGGTGAGGTTCAAGGTCAAATCGCACCGCCAGTGCAAGATCAACCACCGGAGATGAATATATGGTTTGCGGGGCCGCTGTGAAAGAATCCATGCCAACATCTTCCATCTGAGCCACCTTTCAGTTCCATGCGTAGCGACAGTATGCATGTACTGACCTAGGTAAGGACTTGACGCGTGATTCAATTCAAGTAGTGGAGATCGCACCAGGCCCAACGTTGTGTTAAAGTCAGTGGCAGTGCCGACGGGAGAAACAATGGCAAATAATTAACTGAGAAAACCGCCGCAAATTCTTGAATTGGTGTGTTCGTCCGCTTCTTTCGAACTCGAATGTGGTTTTACTCTGTGTCAACGTATATAAATGTTGTTGTCTTCTCTCTATGGGCCTCAGGATAATTCTTGATTGAACACGTACGAATGGACATCAGAATACCCTTGTTCCCACGTGACATATGGGTCTTACATCTCTGGACTCTAAAGCTAACTATATTATTCCAACAAACCCGCTCAACACCAACGACTTGAAAGTGTTGGTCACTGGTTCTCAGTGCTATTCACCCCTTTCCAGCCCAACATGTCTGCTCAACCCACTATGTCCACGCCAATCGTTGGAAATTTTTTTGCAGCAGTTTATGGAGCCTCGAGCTTCGACTACGTATACTGCTTGCTCAAGTGACCCCAAGCATCGTCGCCTTGAGGCGCACTGACTGGTTGGATACTACCTCGTGAATTACCTCATTCAGCCCTGGCTATGGCCATCGTGATTCCAAGATTTCTGCGAATACCACCATCATTTCGTTGTATAGTCGATGATAGGAAGCCCCTGGTTGTGTTTTGGAGCTTGAATAATTCTGGTCCATCTGCCCGGTATTGATTCGTACTGTCGACTGGGGCGGGAAAAATCGTAAAATATTATTTACAGCGCAGATACTGTACATACAATAGTTACAACAACACTGATGCCTCAGCAAACATACCTTGACCGTCAATAAAGCCTCGACAGACGAGTGGCCAGTACTGCAAAATAAATGGGGATCACAATGCGTCACTTAATTCGGGCATTATGAAAAGCGTCGTAAGGGGTGGCGTTATATATGAGATGTGGGAGCAGGTGTAGGAGTACCGGTTGCGTAGACAGCAACAGTAGCAGGAGGGGTGGCAGGCAATGAGGTCTGGGCTGCACAGGCAACCTTGAGACCATTCGAAAAGGCAGTCAAGCCATCCGAACCAAGCTGGTCGGGCACCCCAGCGGGGACGGTGCCCACATAGGCGTTGAAATTGTAGATGCCGCAAATACAGTTTGTGACGATCTGCTTCAAGCTTGTATCGCTGAAGACAATGCTGCCGTTCCGGCTTAGCGCAAAGGCTTGCGCACCAATGCCCATGGGCACGGAAAAGGCGGCTGCACCGGCAGGGGCATCGTAGCTGTAATGCGTACCCCCAGAGTTTACGGTGACGGTACCGGGTGATTTGAGAAGAGACACAACGAAGACGCTGTCACTCAGAGTCTCCCAGCCGTTAGGGCGACCGTTGAAATAATTGCCGCTGGCATTGTTAGCCGGTCCCATTGTTGTATCCGTAGAGTCACAGTCGATGTCTCGTGGGGTAGGACGATACCAATAGATAAGTTTTTCGTCGGTGATATAGTTGGAAACGGATGCAGAACCTGCTTTGTATGCAGCAATGAAAGGCTTCGACATTTCAAGCCAACCCGAATGAGGCCTGTGACCACAGATACCATGAGATACACAGATCATGATGTCATAATAAAGTTGAATCACTGACATGTCATTAACCCATTTAGAGCCACCGTCATCGGTATGAGGGGAGGACAACGGCCCAATATAGTGGGATTCCCCGTAATCGTTCCATGTTTCGATTTCGACATACTGAGGTGCCAACGCGAGAATGTCATTCCAGCGCTGGTACCACAAGAAGTCGCCTGGGAACACCCAATTCTTGCTGTAAGAGACTTCGGCTCCAAAATGAGTCGAGAACCAAGGTGACGCAGCTATATTGGAAGGTCTGAGTCGCGATTGATTGACTATCAGCAGGTAATCGAAACGTACGGGAAACAAGGCTCTTATCGTCAATAGTCGACAAGTAGGAATCATCTCCATCAATGACAGAGATAATGATGCCACCTTCAGGCGCCTTATTTCTGCCATTATTGGGCCACGCCATCCAGTTCAAGGCGCCGTCCAACTTGGAAAAATCTCCTTGTCCAGGATGGAAGTTGGGGGCCATGAAGAGATCCACTCCTGCAGTAGAGCGGACCTGATCTATGTTTAAGCCGTCACCTTATGGGCAGGTTGTCAGACATTGACATGCAAAGCAACTTTGCGCAGCGACATACCCGCAAAAGATGAGACAAATGCTTTCCCGTTAATCTTTAATTGCGCTGATTTCGAAGCATACTGGGCAATTTTTGAGCCAACACCCGTGGCATCGGAGGCGCTCCACCAGTTGAAGTCGAAGGAAATGAAGACCTTCATGTCGTTGTTTGCTGCCGATTCGTACGCATATCCTAGTTGGGTGTCGGTGTAAGGATCGGTACCAATGTTAAGGGCAAATGCATCAATCCCGTAGGATTTGGCACGTTTCATGTCGTCATCAAAGGCAGAGGCACTGGTCCTATCAGATACGATGCCAATCTAACAATCAAGCATGAGCACGCTAGATACACGACGAGATAGGTTTGAATCCACCATGAAATGAGCAAATACAAGCTTTTCTCCAGTCGCCTCGCGTTTGGACAAGCCATGACTCTCAATGGCAGCACCCAGGGCAGCAGACGACGAGGCCAATAAGAATAAGAGGGACTGCAGGGTGCTATGAAGTTGCATCTGTAACCGATGAAGATGCATTCCCTATCTTTCTTCCTAGCCTTTATACGAAGGATAGACCGTGCTGTAGACTTTTTTGGGATGGTAATAATACCACATCAATAATGCACTGCCAAACTCCTCCAGCTTTTCGCACCTGAAAACATGGTCGAGGTAAGGTACTTGGATGAATAGCATAGTAGGATCGGTGCGACACATGGTCCATTTACATTGGTATGACGACGAAGCCTCAGTGTGGCAGGCCTGGGAGTAATACAAGCCCCACATAGCGCAGAGCCATGCTGTAGAATACACTCAGCTGCTGCAAGTAATGTCAAGTTAATCGGTTGGATGAAAGGTATAAATGGACCGCAGAGGCTTACTGACGGGAACTATAGAGTGTAGCTGAGGCCTTTGGTAGCCATTTTACTCAGTGCCTGTGATTTTAGATCCCAGATTGTACGAAGTGCAAGACACTTCATCAACGGAAAGGTTCCGAGATCAAGGAGGGTTGTACAGAAAACGCGAGTGTTGCAGTGTTCAGCTGAAGAAAGCATCTAGTCGCTGACGGATGAATGGGGACGGAAGGACCATATGTTGAACCGAACGGGCCACAGCATGAGGTTTGCTTCGCGATGGTGCCACAACAACTACAAGGTCAAGGCGTGCAACGAGGCTTGACAAGTGATAGAAAGGGTGTACGTTCCTAGTGCGCAATAATTTTCAAGAGTTATGTGATTCTGAGCGTCTTTATCAAAAAAGCTTAAGCTTATAGTTTAAACACAAAATTGGGCATCCCACTGAGAGGTTATTCCAAAGCCGCCATAATATCATTTCTGAAATAACAAGTACAGCCCAGATTCTGAGAGCAAAAATGAGAGAAAGAGCGTGCCAAAAGATAGCCGAGTAAAACAATAGGTGGATATCGAGGACAAGCGCATTTTGGAATAATTGTTTCCAAGGTTGGGACTCGGAAGGTCGGTCCGGTCTTGTAGGGGTTTGCCGCAAAGGCACGTGACGTCACCGACACGCGACAGCCGGCCAATCGCAAACCTTCGAGGACTATTGGCCTTTAAACTTCATCAACATCATTCACGCTTGCTGCTCATGGCCTCTCGTTCCCCTAGTCCAACTGAAAAACCAGCTGAAACAGGTGCTCCTTTCACTGATATGCATGACCATGATCCAAAAGATATCGGCGAAAAGAAAAAGAGGGTCAAAAAATCCCCCCAACCATTCGTTCGCGAAACGGGAAAATCACTGTTTCCCGTATCGAGGGTGCAAAAAATAATTAAGGCGGATAAAGTACGCGTGTATGCTCTCAAAAGTCGCGTTTGAAGGCTCTCATTATGACAGGACATACCTATCATCGCCAAAGAAGCCACGTTTCTAATATCTCTTGCCACCGAAGAGTTTATCAAACGATTATGTGAAGCTGCGCACAAATCTGCTGAGCGTAACAGCAGACAGACGGTGCAGCATAAGGATCTTGGTCCGTTGTCACTTTGAATGCTTTGGCGACTGTCCCTTGACATCACTCCTCAGCCACAATTGTCCGAAAAGCCGACGAATTTTTATTCTTGGAAGGTAAATTTGGAGTTGGAAACCTTTCAAACCTTTGAGATGATTTTAGACATTATACCATGGGCAGTAGCGGATGGTCCAGTTGTAAAACGCAAACCGAAGCAGCCAGGCGCTGATTCCAGCGGTGATGCTGGTCTCACGTTGCTGGATCAGTTTGTAACCAAGAAGGCGGCACCTGTCATTGAAGATGAGCCCGATGAGGATATCACGATGAACGATGACGGTACTATGACGGTTGGCTAGGAAATATGGTACGTCTACATTGTTGCTGTAACTCTTTTCCTTTTCAACTGACGGTCAGGTAATTTAATGTACTTCTAATTGTTGTACTTGTATATTATAAAATGGTCCTTGACGCGTTCTACTTGGGCCATCATTGCCATCACTCTAGCTTTCTATCTACCACACTACTTCGTTACTACAAGGCTTCCCTGTATTCGTAAAACCACAGGCGATTTACCCGGGAACGGAATCGGAGGGTTGTCACCTCGTCTCATTTGAAACCCTCCATGACACCTCGAGGCATCCCCAGAATATTGACTGGAGCGTTTCGTCTTGGTCTGGGTCATGAATCTACTTCGGCGGTTCATGATTATCTCAAGCATAGGTCTGTTTCATTTGTTGACGCCACCTTTGTCCAATAAGTGGATTGTCAGAAGCGCGCGAAGTGCCTCGTTGCTCAAGATTAATGGATATTCAGTCCAATTTCCAATGTTATCGAGGTGAGTTGAGTATTCGAATCCCCCCAGGTGCGCAGGTCCTGTCAAGCCTTGCGTGGCATGGGCGTTGACTTACCTGTGACACCCGAGGCTTACGGTTTTTTTGTATCTTGAGTTCCTCTACGGGCTTCCATACTCGGTGCCAACTGTAGCACAAGTACTACTGCACGCTGCACGCCAAGAAACAGGCTCAGTGTATATATATAGAACACAAGAGCGCGCATTATCGGGAATTTTTTGGCGTCATTCTGACTCTTGGGGACTACGCTCGTTTGAAAACATTGTGATCAATGAAGTTGAAGCTTGGTGAAGCAGCAGTGTAGTGAAGGATAGCTTACGGCAAGACGTTGACGGATAACACGTCTTAGGGCATTCAACAGGGACTCGAAATGAGGAGACACGATCGTGAAGGACTCGGAGACCACATAATCAGTCATGGGGATCACTGAGAAAACCTAAGCGTCCATTGTTGTGTCAGCTTATATCTTGTACGTCGCTCTTGTGTCTGCATAACAAGGAGATAGTTGAGCTTCAGCCCTGTAGAAAAGTGGCAAGGAACCCTTCGAAATGAGGGATGACATGAAACACCATGGTGAGTAGCTCAGCTGCTGGGGAGATCGTAAAACCACCATGTTAAGTATATACCGGTCACGGTCAATTCGTCAATAATGCATATTGGGGTAGCGCCTCCTAAATGTTAAAGGTCGATCGTAGATTGCAATCGGGGATCAACATTTTCGTGAATCAACAATTAATAAATCACCTCTTATTCTGCACTACCTCCTACGTCGACTCCCTTTCGAGGACGCAATCGTCCAGATATCAGTCACAAATTATTGGACTGTCGGGTCGGTTAAAAGATTGTCCATGCCCGTTGTCGTCAAGGAGCTGCGCCCTTGTTGACCGGTATTTATTTGTCGAATTTGTCATCAGCCATAAAAGTTGGACACGAGGCTCTCAGGCTCGAGTTGGTAGGCGAATCTGTAATGGCTGGAATGCAATAAAAAAGAGATATCTGAGACGATTGAGCAAGTACTTGACAAGAAGAAGAGAGAATTGTAGGATACTTATTGCGCAGCAAGCAGGATCAAATTGATCAAAAAGGTTGTTTGGTTTTGTGACGTCGTGACATACCCACTTTGCTCTGCCGCCTCAACTGTGAGGCATCCATTCTCTTATACCTACATTCTTTTCTTTTCTTCCTTCATTCTTTTCTACACATTAATATTGTTCATATGGCCCCTCTCGCTGGCAGGCCTCCTTATGCCACGGATGAACCAGATTCATTCTACGAAACTCCGCAGCCTCAGCGTAGAATTCGTCAACCCCAGCCTGAAAATCCAAATAATAGGTCTTCAGCGTACAATGTGTACGTACAGACCGAGTTTTTGCCGAAAAATGTTATTGACTTCCAGTTACAGGTACGACAACTATCTCGACAAGAAACGTCAATCCGGCACTGGCGCACTTGGGATGGGATTTTTGAATGGTTCCATGGAGGACGATGACGACGACGACGACGATTACTGTGGGCCTTCGTCAGCTGCCGAATCACGTCAAGCAGGTCCATTGCCTTCGAAGCATGCTGCCTTGGCAGCGGCGACAGCTTCAAATGGAAATCGAAGAGGATCACCATCTCCACCCCCACAATATATAGCCTCGCCTCGCCCTGGTTACGCTGCCCCCATCGCTGCTCTCAATAACCTGCCACGACCCGAGCCTGCTGCTGCCCCTGCTCGTCAACATCAGCCCCAGATTAGCGTCAACGCTAAGCCCCCTCGAAGCCAATATCCTTTCGTCCTTCCTATCAACACGGCCTCTTCTTCGCCTGTATCCATCTCTTCGTCTGTTCCCAGCACGCCCCATCCGCTCCAGCCCCCAATGACTCCGATCACACCGGTCTTTGCTCGCCCTACCAAGGGTGTGGATGTCAAGTTCAGGGATGAAAAACCCATCATACGAGGAAATAGCGAAGGGATGACATTACCGAAAAGAGGAGAGCGAGGCGACGAATTTTGGCGTCGTTTCAGCGTCATTGCTAAGGAAGAAAACAGGAAATCTTCAAGGTACGTCTCCTTATACCTTGCCGACGTCCTCTTATCCATGCTATTGTAGCTCCTGGCTCAAGAAGACTCAGAATGGTACGACACGGTTATCTCGATTGGTATGGGTTATTGGGACGATTTTGGCCATCGTACGTTCTGTCCTTTAGTCACGGTTCCGTTTATATCAATGATGGGGTTTTCCGACAGTGTGCGGCGGCTGGTATTGGTATTGGTTTTTGGATCTCACACAACAGTACATCGAGCTCGCAGCCTACCGCTATCGGTGGGTCTGCTGACAATGCTTCTACCGAAATCAACACGGATACGAGCACAAGCGACACTTCGAGTGTTTCCACAAGTCTACATGTCTCCGCAACGAACACGGTGGCCAGACGGTTTGTTGAGCCTAGGTACACAAGCAGTCCCTTACAGCAGGGACACCTGCGTAGAGTAAAACACCTGCATTGAGGTGAGTCCTTCAGTCATGAAGCTGAAATACGGTACTGATATTGAATGATGCTTTTCCTGTGGCTCCCTTTCATACAGAGGGCATCTTGGACCTAACTGGAGTAACATTCCGTTGAGTAAGAAAGGATCAAACATCTGCACCTACATCTGCCCTACAATAACTTATCTTTCTTGCCTTCTATTACTCGCACTGATTCGACCCCTTTTCTAACATTCGTGGGATAACCATTGGCCACTGTGGCTTCCCGTCCGCTCATTAACATTCCCCGTGTACACTCACGCATGTATTTATTGGTCCCCATCAATTCTGATGACCTGGCTTTCACAGATACCCTTCAACTACAGTATTGCACATTTCGATGTACAAGTCTGACTGATTGACCGCTTCGTCTTGATCTTGTTATGCACATAGGAATTTCAACAATTGCATTTTATCATTAAAGGAGTAACTTTTTGCAATATGATTTTATTTCTGCTCTCATGCGATGCAGCTGTCGCCGCCATGACGGGATGAGAATTCGTCGTAAAGGCGGATTCCAAGGGTAGGGAGCGTTTTCGTAGCGCGAATACCCACAATTTCTGTCGATACAGAGCTCCGCTTCATCCACAAAGATGGGCTGCCGGCGCCGTCTCTGTCTCAGTACTGATCTGAGGCTGAGGCTGATTCATGAGAGACATCGGCGTTGGTGTCTCAGCCTCATTGTCACCTTCATCCCGCTCACTGTCATTCAATACCTAACTACTAATCCCAGGCATCGAGGCTCTACCTCTTCTCTGTGTTGTCAGTAATCCTTGTTGCCTGGTGAGGCCCCACCTCCATTCTCACCTTACAAAGGCTCATTCAAACAGTTTTCTGGCCTCACCCCATCTAACCAAACTCCATCTAGTATTACTGTACTGTTATTGTACAAGTCGCTAGCGAGTTTTCTATCTGTGTCACAATCAGATTGAGGGCAGTTTTTAAGGCCCTCGTTGTAGCCAGTCGTGTCTTATTCCTTGAGCAAGCAGCAGAGGCTCCAGGGCACTACCCAAAACGGGATAACTCCAATCTTCCTTGCAACCTCCATCTCCAGATCCTCGACTCTCGGCATGCACTCATCCGGGACGCCCCCACATAAACGCGCACGACGCGATCCTGGCTCGGGTGTCAATGGGAGTGCGTCTTCATCGCTGCCACCGCTGTCTCTGTCCATCCTCGGAGTTGAGCCATTAGATGAATTCATCAAGGAAATAGCAGATTTTATCCACCATATGATCATGACGAAACCAAACATAGCAGGCAATGTCGAGGTGGAGGCCAAGGTGGGGGTGCTGAGGGACAACGACCGTGGTGCGCGGCTCATGCTGCCTGTGCTCGTCGAGACAAGTATGTGATGCTTCCTTGCCGCTACCTAGCAGTTTTCTTTATTTCATTGCCTGCAGTTCTCACGCCTGATGCTGTGGATTGTCGATTTGAATCCAATATGACTGCGGTGCGATACTACAAAAATGGCATTAGATATTCATTCTTATGTGGACTTTGTGAACTTAGCACCAGCACAAGCACTACAATACCCTCCTCAATAACCTGAAGACTTCAACTGCGACGGGCGCCTCAATAGACTACCATCATCTATATTACGTTGACACGTTCTACACGGGGGATAACAAAGAAAAAATCCGTGTCACTCGCGACGAGAAGACAAGGAATGTCGTAGAGTGTATACGGAAAATTAAGCTTGGAACACTCAATATCTATAGTCCCAAGCGTGCGGCGGATTGGCGGGTAACGGTGAATTTAGAGGTGCCGGGTGAGTGTGCGAAAAGTGTAAACTGAAGAAGTCTGAAATTTGCTAGTGACACAGAACCACATCCGCTGGGATCATCAACGATGACGAGGCGGAAGGACCGGATGAACTACACTCATGAGGAGTTCGCCATTGACCTGACGCAGGTCACCAAGTCGAGCGTATCTGGTCCGGTAAGAAAGTTACTCTCTTCCTTGCATGTTGCCTCATGCTTTCCTTTGTTTTAGCCAGAGATCCTGCACGAACTCGAGCTCGAGATTGCCCGCTCAGAGTTTTTGCTGTCAGCGGCTGCCCATCGCGGAGACCCAAACGTTTCGGAATCAGAAAGGTTCGCATTTGACGAGCTGATACGGGCGTTTGTGAATAATGCAAGGATATTGGTCCGGAATTCTATGGCCACCGACGGGTGGCATTAACGACAGAAGTACCAGTCTACAATATATAGTAGTGCACAGAATTCATTCGTGGTATTCAGTAAGACCAAGGAGCCCAATAAATTAGAAAAAGCGAGTAACCAACCCGGATGATCAAGGAACAGAACGATGGATTACAGCCCTCCAACCTCAACCATATCGCCATCCTCCACATCGGCGTCTCCAATTTCAACTTCGTTGCCCATCTTGTCTCCTTCAACGTATATTCGAGGATCCTTGGCTAGCATTCCTCGTTTCTTTGTCGTGCTCGAGGTACCTCCGCTCATGACCATAGGGTACAGATCAGCCAATCCAGCCTTCCTCAGAAACGCCCTGACTATTGCACCACAAGTCGTTGTAGGTCGAACCACAAGTACTATATCTTGTGTCGTTTTGTTGGAACGCAGAGTAAGTTTGAGCTTCTCTCTGTCGTCTTCTTCCTTATCCGTGTCGGGTACTACAGGAGGTGCAGTGAAGAAGGTATCTGGTTCATCATCATCATCCGACGTAAGATTCAGACAACCATCGGTGTCTGAAGTGATTACAATCAGGTCGGGGACTGCCGGGGGCGACTTAGTGATTCTGGACTTCGATGAACGGATATATTCGTATGTTGTCTTGTTACAAGCAACTTTCGTTGGAGTCAGTACCGTAGGTAAATGTTACGACCTGGAGATTCCTACCGAATTCCGCAGAGCTCCATATACGCAGAGTGTTAGGAGTAACAGATGGAAAGAACCTCCTGTTCTGATAGGTCATGACTAGATTATTCGTCAAAAGGCTCTGGCTCTCCGCTATAGCCTCGAAAAGTTCGCGGAAGGTTTCATTCTGAACAGGAGTGTGAGTACAGAAAGGACCAATGACGCGTCAAGAACTGTACCCTATTCATCTTGAAGACTTGAACGTTAGATGAGCCACCTTGGTTCTCGGGATGAGGCTGCCATCTGACAGAAATTTCCAGTATGGCACTAGCGCCAGAACCTTCTGACGTGATTTGAGAGGCAGAGAAACTGGCCTTAGACCGCCGGGCTATGCTGGCAAGTTCAGGATCAAGTATGGGATCCGCAGAAGCATCCAAATCATCGTCAAATAGACCAGGCGAGGCAGGTCGTGGCACGGGAGCAAGAGCTTGCCTGGATCATCATGAGCAAGAATGAAGGAAATCAAGGAACGACCAACCGAATGACGTTCCGTGCATTCTGTAGTTGCTGTATAGGTATAGCAGGGGGAGGTGTAATGGATCGTGAACGACTTCGTTGACGGTTTTCGCGTTTCCGTTTGAGTTTGCCAGGGGTGGTCTCGATACTTTGCAACGCTGAATCATCACCATCAGAGGCATCTTCCGAGAGAAGTCTATCGGAAAGTGTCGTCAAAATTTTATCCGTACGGTGAATTTAAAGACACCAACCTCAACAGGTTCTTATCCCTCTGCCAACGAGGTACTGCATCATTATTCGCCTTTTTCTTTTGTTTTCTACGTTGCGGAGACGCGTCTTCATCGCGGTCACTGTCAGGAGATCTGCTCCTTGGTCTCTTCTCTACCAAAAGGAGAAGATGAACCCTTTGCTCCTCTACGCGGTGAAGGCGACACACCTTTGTTTTTCTGTTCCAGCTTTCGCCATGTGTTCATGTCTCTGGAGCGGTTACGCATGAACATTTCATCGCTATCTTTGACGACAAGCTCTGACAGCTTGGGTATTGAGGAAGTCGAGGAAGTAGGTTCGGCATTCTTGTGCTTGATGATGGGTCGGGGCCTGGGACGGGACATCGTTCTCAGTAAGTGACAGATCGTGGGAAATTCCGAATTTTGCCGTATCACGTGGGCTCTAAATGCCCTTTCTCTTCTACCGTTCTCTCACTCTAAGACTCTACTCATATGTTCAGTAAACGCGTAAAGTCAAAGCCCTTGCAGCGAACAAGACAAACATCGCCCGAAGATGACAACACTGATGGGACACCAGTGACAGGAGACGATTCTCCGGGTACTTTAGTAACCAAACTCAAGAAGAAATCTAATAAACCAAAGTCGCGGCTCAGTTTTGGCGGCGCTGACCATGAGGTTCGCGTTGTCAATTCCTCTCCGAATAGAATGCTAATCGTGGCAAGGAAGGAGGGTGGCGAAGAAGTTTTTCAGGTGAAAAAGTCGAAGCTCAGTAGAAAATTGACGCTTGCGAAACACTCAGCGTATATTCTTCCACCGGCTGTTCATGCTCCACCTGATATATCTCCTGCAGAGGCATACTTCCCAATCTCGATCAAGCCACTATCTCGCCGAATCGTGGACCAAAGTATGACCAAGCCTATCTCAATGAGCTCAAAGCTAGCAACCGGCGAGCACCAGTCTCGGACCCATACGATGCAGACATGTCGATGGATATATCCATGGATACAGGCGACCTCTCTATACAAAGTGTAGATGATGTTGAAGCACTTGGTACGTCTTGCCTGTTCACAACTGAACATCTTTAACCTGTACTTATCATCAGTGGAAACCAGTATACCCTCTGAGTCATCGATCAAGGTGGCCAAGGAGCACCGGGAGCGGCTCAGAGTTACAGGGCAAGAGGATTTCATATCTCTCTCCCTGACGCGGCGGACCGAAGATCTGGGACCACATCCTGAAAGTCGACTGGTGAGGGAAGATGATGAAGTTGGGGAAGGGGATGACGGTAGATATATTTGTTCGATATCTTTGACTGCTGCTAACGAGTATCAGAATTTGCGGAATATACAAGTGCACAAGAAAGGATTGCTCTTGGCAAAAAGTCGCGGAAAGTGGAGGCTAGCAAGCGTCGAGATGCTATGAAGGAAATGATCGCTGACGCGTTCGTACAGTCCAATTTTAATCCTTACTCTATACTGACCGCTGTTCCAGTGAAGAAGAAGACGAAGAAACGATGGAGTGGGAGCAAGAGCAACTGCGCCGTGGAGGAACGACAGCATCAGATCCCTTCCCATCTTCCTCAAAAGTTAGACAGACATATAAAGCGGCTTCAAGTAAGGAGATTTGGTTTTTCATAGTTTTCCAAGCTAATCTCATGTAGTTCCGCCTATGGCTGCTGTACCAATACTTGGCCCTGCTTTAACTCGCCTGACGCAGCAGCTGACTCAGTTGACAACTTCTCATGCCACAAATACTGCAGCTTTAAATTCCCTCGCTCAAGAGAGAGGAGAGCTTGACGACAGAGAGATTGAAATGCGTGGCATGGTCGGGAGAGCCGAAGAAAAGAGGGCTTGGTTTACCTCTTTCAGGGAATGGGTAGAAGGCGTTGCCGCCTTTCTTGACGAAAAGGTATGTAGTCATGTTTTCCGGAATTAATGGGTACTGCGGACTGATTTGATTTCCAGTATCCACTGCTGGAGAAATTGGAAGAAGAACATCTGTCACTACTGCAAGAAAGGAGAGACATGGTTAAGAAGCGCAGAACACAGGACGATGAAGATGACCTTTCAACTTTCTTGGGGAATCTTCCTCTGCCTGCCGAAACAGAGGAGACGGATGATTTTGGCAGAGGTGTGTCGAAGCCAAATTTAGCGACACAGAAGGCGCTTCGACGTGCCGCGCGCATTGCTAGGAGGCATCAGCGCCGAAATGATGAAGAAGCCAAAGAAGGATATTCGACGGACTCGGAGCTTTCGCCTTCAGATGAACAAGCTTATTGCACTGCCGTAGAGTTTCTGGCCACAAAGAAGCAAGACGTTCTTTCTGATGTTCGGGCTCCAGAGTTTCGCGACCCTGGCAAAGGCAGATGGAGTGCGTGGCGGGAACAATATACAGATAGCTATGTCAATGCCTATGGTGGGCTAGGGGTTGTCAGCGTGTGGGAGTTCTGGGCAAGGTTGGAGTGTGTGGGGTGGAATTGCATAGAGGTATGCTTACGCTCAATATTTGCAAGTCATACTCATCTTTTCGGGTAGGAGCCCCGAAGCTTGGATGCTTTCACTTGGTATAAGGGCTTGTACGAATATTCACGGCCAAATAATGCCGAAGGTGGCGAATCAGAACTGGGACCAGACGGTGACTTGGTGGCATCGATGATTACGACAGCCATCTTACCCAGAATGTGCAAGCTCTTGGGAGGTGGAGCCTTGGACGTCTATTCAGCCGGAGACATCAGGAGAATGGTTAATATAACTGAAGAGGTTGAGGCGAGCATCGAACCAGGGAATACCAAGATCCATGTAAGTGTTTCATCACAGAACATTCTACTAGCGCTTTGGCTGAATTGTCGGACTAGATGCTCTTCAAAACGATCTTAACTCTATTTGACGATACCATCGCGGAGACTGAGGCTCTTGTTTCGAAATACAGGTCTCTGGACCAGACCGCAATGACCTTCAACCCAGAGTCAATACCGGCGCGTAGAAGGTTCCTTACGAGACGAATCAAACTGTTACAGAATCTCTCGCGGTGGAGAAGATTTACTGGTGAACGATATGGTATTGGACAGACCATTACAAGGCTCGTTGATGGCACGTTACTACCCGTTGCAGGAGGAGGTTGGGATGCCGGCGGAGAAGAACTCATGCGCAAGGTCAGATTGACTGTTTAATGGCTTTCTTATCCCTTACACTGTTATACTAGGTGTCCAAATTGTTGCCGGACGAGCTTTCGGGGAATCTCAAGAATCGCCTGAGATAAGTGTTTAAGTGTCTCGTGTACTTTGTTATTTGTGTAATGATTCGGGGTTCCATGGTTAAGTTAATGGACTGGTAGATTCGAGGATATTCTCATTCCACGAAATGACAGCACCATGGCTACGGTCATTCTATACTGTCATCTCCAGAATGCCTCGACATATTGAATTGAAGCACTCGTGACCCGCATAACAGAGTTCTGGTCGTGCGAGGCTCGTTCCGCTGTCGAACAACTAATTGTATCGTTTTCGTTGACGGCTGAATACATCTCGTGTTGTTGTCCTAAGGCATGACGTCAACTTTTGATGAACAGAGGGGTTCCTGGTTATTGATGATCACAACTTGGCTTCAATCCTTCAACTTTGCATTTTGCCTTTCGGCCTACTTACAACGTTAATGGCTCATCTAACCAAACCGCCGAAATATGATGTCAAAGATTCTAACATCGCGCTCTTAGGCTCGGACGTATGTTACTTTGCCAAGGATTAAAGATATCTTGTAGTAACCCGCAATTATTCAGTTGGAGGAACGCGTCCGAGAGCATGCTGGTGATACAGAACCCGCATGGAAGAGTGCGGGAGCCAAGCCCGGCGTCGAAGTATGGAGGATTGAACAATTCCAGATCATCCCCAGAGAAGTCAACGGTGAATTCTATGATGGAGATTCATACATCGTGTTGCACGTAAGTAAGTAGTCGGAGTGGCCGTTAGAAGTATTGACATTCCCTTTATCCCGGAATCCAGACTTACAAAAAGAACCTCGATTCCGAAACTTTGTCGTATGATCTTCACTTTTGGCTTGGGGAGGAAACATCTCAGGATGAGGCTGGCACAGCGGCGTACAAGACCGTCGAACTGGATGACCGTAAGTTCATTCAGTAAGAAAATAATACTTCGGAATTGACGTTGGTAGATCTATATGGTGTACCCGTTCAATATCGAGAAGTCCAAGGGTACGAGTCATCCCGTTTTCTCTCATACTTTCGCCATTTCGTTTGTCTACACGGGGGAATAGAAAGTGGCTTCCGACATATCGTTGATCCGCCTTCCCTCGACGTGCGAATTTTATACCACATATCTTTCACTACCAAGAACAATCTGGTTATTCGCCAAGTCCCCGCGCGATCATCTAGTTTGATTCAAGGCGACGTGTATGTTCTGGACATGGGGACGAAGGTGTGGCAGTTCAATACCAAGGACAGCGCCGGGAAAGAAAAGTTCAGAGCAGCTGAATTTGTAAGGAATATAGTTGACAAGAGAGATGGACAGCCCGAGCTTACGGTATACGGTATCTGACTTCTCTTACTATGCGTGTAGGGAGTACTGAGAGGGCGCTGTAGATGAGGGCGGCTCGGGTGCTGGTATATTCCTGAACGAATTCGGAGAAGGAACAACACTTCGGCAACCTGGTCCTAGCAGCGGTGGCCCTCGAGCATTATTCAGGTTATCAGACGCGTCCGGTTCCGTCACATTCGAAGGCGTTGAACCACCTACATCTGCGTCACTATCTTCGTCAGACGCTTTTCTGCTAGATGATTCTTACGGTTTTCATCATCCAGCGGTCTATGTTTGGATTGGCAAGTCTGCGTCGCTAACTGAACGCAAGCTAGCTCCTCAGTACGCGCAGAGATATCTTCACCAAAGACGTTCATCTGCAGCTCATGTGTCCATTGTTAAGATGGGGGAGGAAGAGGAAAGCGACATGTTTCTTCAAGCTGTAAGGGCTTGAACTTACGTCCCTTACTTTTCGACCGATTACCAAATACAATGCTTGCTCAATGCTGACTCTCAAACTCTGTGCCCAGAAAAGTTCATCTTCCTGACGTACTTACTAAAATACATGAATTTTCGACAAAACAAGACAAACAAACAAAGGAGAGGATAAACAGAAAGATCATGCTACCCTTCTTCACAGTGGAAACGAGTCAAATGGCGGCCAAGATCGCGAGTTCCGTAGAATTAAGAGTATCATGATTTCGAGCACTGAGATCTCTCAGGTCCCTCAAACCCCGGTCTGCATGAGAAGGGATAGGAGTGTTGTTCGACGAGCACACAATTCAGACATTGTTCATGTCGTCGACACGGAAACCGAACATAAGAAGTCGGAAACATTATTGTCTTCTGCATCCACTGGCAGGCACTTGTCAGTCAACCAAGAGAGATGATGAGCAAAGATACAACACTATGGTAAAAGGAGGTCGTAGGATAGATGCCGGGTACCGAATACTGTCATCAACACCTCAATCATGAATAAAAGCTGCCAAAGATGTCTAGGTTTAAGTGAAAGAGAATGTGGTGGTTTTCCTCTGTATTCCTTGTGAAGCTACTGACAGATCGAAGTAACAGCCTTAGTAAAGATTAATGCAGCTGAGTTATTTCTTCATAAAGTACTTTGCTGGTGGTCAGTAAGGCTTTTGCACAACAACAATCATGATGTCATGGCCCAATCGAGTGTGATGGCAGTGCAGAGTCTAGATTGTAACATAGCCACAGGCTATTAATAGGAGATCCATGATCAAATGTGCCTGATGATAGCATGCTGAGGTGGGTAATAAGAGGGGATACTGGTAGAATAGCTCATTTTTCTTGGTTCAAGTTATAACAGATTTCAGAAAAGCCCATCCAAGGGACAGAGGCAAAAAATCATGCTTTGAATCTGCAAATTCTGAGTGTACAGAGCCAGAAGGCTCATCACCAGATCTTTCACCTCAAACATCTTACTGAAGAACTGGACATCCTTGTCAATGGTTCAAAACTTGAGAAGATACCATAGTTGTAGATATGGCATCACAATAATGATATGTCCTTCCTGGTCTGGGATGGAGAATGTGTGCAGGATGTATGCAATGATTTTTGATAGTCTGAGGACTTTTCTTCACTTGTAAAGAAGGTCCCAATGACTAGCTCAAATGGATTTTCCTGCTGTCTAATGATCTTCATTGCAACTGAGCATCTGCTTGATATTTCCTTTGCTGAATTGTCAGCTAGAAATTTAGGAACTGATTTGTCCCCTCCTTCATGTGCACATGGTGGCCAGCAGTCCATCAGGTTTGTAAAGAATCAAAAGGCCAAAATCAATGAAGTAGTATTTCGGAGGTCATTCAGTCATGCGCCGCACGACTGGAGAAGTCATATTTCAGATCCCTTTCATGGGGATGGAAACTGTCTGGTCCATGCATCTGGGCAGCATCTACCATGATGTTCGTGAATCCTACATCACTAAAGCAACATCCTGATGAGATGGAAAGGAAGTCTACAAAAGATACTCAGAAGTGAGCAACATTGTTAATATTGTGCATGAATTGGAGTCCCTACAAAGCACATTATGACTCCAGTGCATGAGATTCAGACTGAATAATTCATCTCAAGCAACTCTGCAGTGGCGCCTTTGCGTTTAGTAACATTGTCCGGACCCATTTAAATAGTCTTCAAGTTCTGCAACAGCTTGGGTGTTGACTAGATGGTAGTGAGATTTAAGGTGTGTATTTACCTGTTTCCTTACGTCCGGCGTGTCTGTGATGATACCGTGCCATGTACCAATGATGACATGACATGAGATGGTACTAAACAATAGTGTTTCTGACAAAGAGCATGCAGTATCTGTCTGGCACGTGTCCGGCCCTTCTCGAGAATCTTCGGCCTTAACTATCGTACGCGCATTGACTCAGGACTATGATCTGAAAGGAATACTTGCTTGACTAGTATTCTCATGGTATTGTACCAGTATATGCATTAGCCCAACACCCGAATACCATTCTATTTAGTAACTCTTTAGCTTGACTGATTCGTTGAGTCGACGTCGACGTTCTAAAGAAAGAATCTCGTTTAAGCTTCACCAAACACTTGGGACGAGGGCCAAATATTCACTTTTCCATAGAATTGAAAGACGGTACAACTGTAGTACATTGACTTTGATGACTTTGACTGCTCACAGCTTTCATAATTCATACACGACACGCCCACCGACCCAAGGATAGGGATAATTACGCTGATACCAATTCCTAACGGATCGACGCGATGCTATTCTTGGGATGGTAGCGTACGAACCGCCCAACTGAAACTTTTAATTTCGTTATCCCCGGGAAAAAAAAATCAAATGCACGTACCACAACCTGATGAGCTCCGTCAAAGAAATCCATAGAGTACCTATCGGAATGGATCAGTAGAATTCTCCGCGTGTATGAGCCGTACACACCCCGGGTAGAGAGCAGACGGAACAAATCCGTCGTATTTTTCAAATAGAGTTGAGGTCCATTCCCAAACGCCGCCATTGCTGCCCCGACCACCATCTCTTTCCCCTCCAGTAGTAGCCCTGCCGGAATTTTCAGTCGATGAGCAGTTGCGTGTGAAGAGGAAGCAACCTACGGGATGGGATGCCAATTCCGGAAACCGACATTCGCGCCGCCTTCGTAGCCTGCCTCAAATTTATCGTAAAATAGACGAAGTTCAGGCTCAGTGGGTAAGCGGCCGCCTTTGACAAGAGCGTATCTCGACAGGTCCTTGTACGACGCAATCACAGGCCAGCTGTATGCCACGTTCATCGGAACGGGACCATACAACGTGCGAACCTGGTACCGTGGAGGTCAGTACGATTCAGAGATGTAGAACGCCTTGACCACCAAGGACACACCTGCATAGCCCCAGCGACTTGCACCCAACTGGCGGGCACCTGAACGTCCTTTCCATGTCCTGACATGTAAAATTCATAAAACTCGCCGTTGGTTACGGGCCGCCATTCGATCCGGAACTCGTTAACGTGTACTTGCCGTTTCGGGTGTTCGTTATCCCAGCCGTACTCATGGGTCGCTACATCACTCGCTTGAGCATCTTCTGCTTCCACATCATCGTGACCTAGGGTAACCGTAGCAGGGCCAAGCGTGATGGTAGGGGAGGAGGGCTTGGACTCGGCAGCCCATTTCTCTGACAGAGACTCCCAGTCAGGCGCTGCAAAGCCGGGAGGAGGGAGCGTGCCAGTTCCGGCACGCTGCAATAGCATATAGAGTAGTGTCTCTGCATGTAAGGCTTCATGTTCATAAGTCATGAACAAGACCCGTCCCATTTTTCTGGTTAAAACTTGCTTGCCCGCTTCGACATCTTGGTACAGACTCAACAACCTTGCCCTGACACGATCCTGGAAGAGAAGTATGGAGTTCAGGGTGGGCCAATCCTTGTCTTCGGTAGGAACTTGCGAATGAGGCTGAACAAGCAAAAATCAACTTTCAAAAACTTGGTAAATGAAAAATGAACATACATGGCATACAGACGGATCATCAACGATGGGATCAATTCCGCGCTACAGGCAGTTAGTTGTAAAGAATCGTCAAAAGTAGCGACTCCATTACCTCAAATATGTACTGTGAAATTACATTAGTTGTTGACCGGTGACTTGTAAAAATGCAGGCGTACCTTGAAACCATCAGGCTCAGTATGGGGCTCCTCTAGGAGCCTAGATAGATGGATATCAAGAAAAGTGGGTATATGCCCCAGGTAGAATAAACAGATGTGTCGCAAGTCAATTGGCTTTTGATATAGCATAGAAGGAGGGATCATTTTGCGCGTAATAACATCCCATGACTGCCATAGATATTGCCAATCCTGGGGAGACGGTACACCAAAAGGAGTTGAACATTGCTTCCTGCCGATGGAAGTTGCCTCAGAGCCAGGAGAACTCAACAAGGGGAATATGAATGAAGGTCGTTCCAAAAGCCATAGGGAGTACCGTAAAGGACTGTCGGACCACCGTTGGATGGGGCGGAGATTACTTTCAATGAACAATGTATAGGCATCCCGGTCAGAAAACTAGGAAACGATAAGCGTTAGGCAATATGATAAAAAAAACTAGCACGAGACCTTGAACGACTCTTCGATCTTGACTAATTCATCTTTCAAAAAGAGGAATTCTGCGGTAGTCGCGGGATCGGATACAGTGTGTTCAACTGTACATTTAAAAAACGCCTCGTGTCGACCTATGAATAGATAAGTGACTGTGATGGAAGCAATTGAAGAAGGAAGAAACGCACGTTCCGATTCGTTGTAATTCTAATTGTCGGGGGTGTAAATGATTACAAATGACAGAGAGAATGGCTTACATTCACGTAGGACCACTTTCCGTGATCAAACATGTGCTCATTTCCTAACACCTTTCCCGCTCTTCGCAAACCATTCATGATGAATTTCCTGGTATAGCCCATCCGGTCATTATACGCCTCTTCGATAACTTGCTTGGAATTGTCATGATCCAGACCCAGGAGAAGCGTATCTCCTGAACCGGGACGCAACGGAAGAGATCGCAGAAAGTCCGTGCCCGCACGACGCGAAAAGTTTCCCAAGGACGAACCAAGAAACAGCAAATGCAAGGGCGGCTGAGTGTCATCGGGTGTAGAGGGCGGGGAGTCTGAGTGCATATAGTCCGTTGCGGATGAATCATAGGAAACAGACGAGTTGGGTGAAATGTCTCTGGCGTCAAGCTTCAAGTCTGGAGAGAAACGGCTGTCCATAACGGAAGTATGGGAAGGGAAGGACCTCAGCCCGCCAGCCTCGACATATTTAAGACCATTATCATATGTGCCCCACATGCCTTTGGTCTCCACTTTCCCTTGAAGAAGCATCCCTACATCGGACTCGGCAATTTCTCCAAGTGTACGCTCCAATTCACGCTCTTCGAGATCCAGAGCATAGTACGTGATGGGTGGACGGCTAGCCGGTGGACATCCGTCTTGGACCAATTTGGCGAGTCCTCGCAGAATATGAGACGTTTTACGCAATGCACTAAAAGCCAAGAAGCATGAGCCCAGTATTCAATAGCCCGGAAGGGGCAAGCGTGTTCAAGCCATCAGCAGATGACTGAGCAACAATGTCAAAACGCGACCGCCTGATTCAGAGTACTCACCCAGACCCGAGCTCGAGGACGGCTTCGTCAGGTCGGATGTCACCACCGCCACCGCCATGCATGATACGGACAATATCATCCGCCTTGGTCTTCAGGATCTCCTCCTCGGCGGCAAAGAGGTAGTACTCGGGAACTTTGGTGGTAATGTCGTCGTAGAGTCTCAACCCACGTTCGTCGTACAGGAGCAGGGTAGGCAGCTGCTTTTGCCCTGCAGGTCGGTCAAGGCCATCGACGACGGCCTGCCGAATGGCCTGTACATTGGCGGCCTGACTGTGGACATTGACGATCTTGCTAGATGGCATAATAGGGAATGAAGAAATAGGTAAAACAGTGTGAGCTTTATATAAAGAGAGACCAAGCACGGGATGCTCGCCTTCAAACCGATGCACGTCGATCATTTTATGCAGCCGTTGCCAGCGAATGACATCACTGAGTCTAAAAGTCGGCTGTGTATTTGACTTAGGGGGGAGCCGTCTGCCAGAGAGAATTAAGAATGGATGCCCCGGCGAAACCCTGCCAGAGTATCCGAAGGGACCGCAACTAGAGGGCGGAAGCGACGTCATGGCACCGCGCCCAGGGAGAAAGCGCGGATGCGGGCGGTTTCGGTCCTGCTTTGTAAGTGTGCTTTATAAAACAAAAGTGCGAGAGCACCAGCTGATACTACAAACGCCAGCAACTGTAGTACACGTAACGTTCTGGCCGAGAAACAATCCTGCCGCAGCAATGTTCGTTCGCAGAAATCAGCAAGGTGCCTCATGCCAAAAAAAAAAAATAAGTCCCAAGAAATTCTGTACTACCACTTTCCAGCAAGATGTCCGATGGCCCAAACAAATCCCCCACCACCAACAGGCAACAGAAGAACCCACACACCCATATCCCAAATAATACGCTTCCGTATCTGACGTCGTTGAAGAGAACGCTCCTTCCGCTGCAGAAGTTCATCATGTGATGACGGCGAGCCCTCTCCGCTGCCGTGTCGAGTGCCAGGTGTTGAGGGCATAATGATTGACAAAGGCTGTTTGAAATAATGGATAACGATATGCAAGAATGCTAAATGGACAAGTTATAGCTCAGGGCCAAGTGCGGCTTGAGAATAGACATACCTGGCAATATATATGTGCTACAGAGACAACACGCCAGGAGTACATCGCTTACGACAGCGAACATTGTCGTCGGAACCAGCGACAGAAGTGTGGTGAGTGTGAATATGGCAAGTTTAGACAATGGCACGTTGGTTGACTGCCTGATGCGTTCTGGAATGGGAACAGACGGCGAAGTGACGAGTATCGAAGGGACGCCAAGTAACAGCGTCAACCCGTTCAAGCATATGATGTACGGGTCCAGGGAGTACTCCGACTGTTCCTCCTACAAGTGCATGTCAGTGCGTGAAGACCGGATAGAACAAGCTGACTTCTCACAATCCGCAGCTGGCCCGAAGGCGAGGCAAAAATCATCAGCGGGAATGTCAGGAGAATGGCTATGGCTGCAGAGATAAGTGAAAGAGGCATAAATGAATGTGATATCGGTCTATGAGTTGTCGTGATGGAAGGTATGCCAGCTTTCAAAGAAGCATACAAAGCGAGCGTGCTTGACGACGTAAACGCAAAAGCAATCGTGGCTATACTCTTCATCAACAACCAATCTATGTAAACAGATCTACACAACTCACTGATTCCTTGCCAAAGAGAGCCCATCTTGGTCCAGCCAGAGTTCGTTTTCAGTGTCCCCTTAAAATGCGCGATGGTGACTAGTGAGAGCCAAAGCATGTAGGTGAGAACGGAACATCCGGTGCAGTAAACAATTCGCTTGGAGGCAAGAGACTGAGCGAGGCAGAACGGCAGAACAACAACCGCGATACCAATGCACAAGACGGGTTCGGGAGAAAATGGCAGGCCGGACGGAAGTAAAGGGAGCAGACCCTCAGCAGAATCTGTAGCGCATATCGTGAACACAACGTCCTTGATAAGACTGGTAGAAACGTACCACGTATATACAAAGCAGCAAGGAAAATTCGAAGCGCACCGGTGCCTCCCCGTACCGTACTTCGCAAAACACTGCGGAGCCGTTCCTTCCCTCTGCCCCGTCCCCTCGCAAACGAATCCAAAACAATATCCTCAACGCAGCCCTTCCGAGTATACCGAGTGAGCATATACCATATCCTCCTTGTGAACGCAGCCAAAACTGCGAACAAAAAAATTGCCGGGAGACCCAATTTCAGGGGAAGCTCTGTGCACGGCAAAAGCGTCGCTCCGAGCTTCAAAAACGGTGAAAGTAAGTACAGTAGCACCACAGAAGGTCCCAGTGGCTGGACGAAGGGCCTGCCGATTTCGAAGGGGGCATCTGTGTCGTCGTCGTCGTTGTCGTCGTCGTCGTAACGGAAGTTGTCGTCGTCGTCATGGACGAGGATGAGCGCTGAGGAGGAGTCAAGGGAGGCAAGGACGGGAGAGGACGAGCCCGACGAGCTGATGGATAGATGCCGAATTGACATCGCCCAAGTGCATGTGGTGAACGGAGAGTAAAGAATGAGGTGCTGCGCAGTTTGTGCCGTTTCCTTATATGTAAAGGTGAGAACCTTGAGAAGGTAGCTCTATTATTAGCGATGGATTCCTCGCTAACTCGCTAGAGGGATTCATGGCCCTGACGGATATGAGGGACGGTTTTCTGAGGATAAAATTCTTGATTCTCTTGCTTTCAACAAAATTTGTTTGTTGTTCAACCAAGTCATCAAGCTATTTTCAGCAAATGATCATGATTACTACTTTACACATTCCTTTGGTAAACAAGGCCTGCGTCAAGATTAGCTGCTACGAGCATGATACCGTCCTCACTTCCACCACGACAGGTCCGCCCTATTGATCTATCCGTGTCTTGGTGTCCATTCACCGCGTCTGTCCCAAATAATGCCTGACCAGAACCCTCCCGCCAGCCGCCCATAAGCACATCCCGTCCCGGTTCTCCTCCGTCACCTGCATCGCAACTATCGGCTCTGTCCTCAAATTCCCAAGACCAGGCATATGAAAAGAGGCATCACCGGTACGCAAAGACCATCCTCGGATCTGCCCGTCCCCGCCAGCAGCATACAAAAAGTCTTCGTAAGGATCTATAGCGATACCCTACACCACCATCAGACGCTCATCAGCCGAACCCAGCTTATCGTACTTACCAGTGTCCTGCTGAGGGTGTTCACATGTCCACGGAACTCCATGATTGGTTCTGTCGCTGTTGGGTAGCGAAGATCAAGGGCGCAGAGCTGTAGGTAATTGTTGTCATAGAGAGAAAAGTCACTGGGGTGCTGGACGTACTGTTCCATCCATGTGACTCGCCAGCATCTTCTTGTCGTGGAAACAACTGAGATGCACGACAGAACTTGGAACCCGTCCTTCGAAGATTTTATGGCCGTGAGCCTTCCTTCCAGTGGTTCGTTTGTCAAATCTCAGGATCGAGCCGCTCCGAGTCCCGGTGTATATCAGATTCTTACACGTATGAGACTGTGGCGCACAAAATTGAAACAGAAATCACTTACGTCCTTTTGCTCAATCGCGAAAACATCGCTATCATTCGTATGAAGATGCTCTATGGGTGACGACACTTCTATATCACGCAGCAGAACCGCTCTTTTGTTGGCACCGAGGACAAGGGTGCGATCTCGGAGGTGACTTGTCCAAATGTCGTGCACAGGGTTCAGCGTGAGGAGGGTAGTGCGCCTAGGTACAACCATAATATTATGTTTAGAGTTTTAGAGTTGTTCGTAATACATATAACGTACATGGGCATCCTCAGGTTTTGCACGGCTATTTTTGAGGATGCACCGATGCAAGTAGCACTTGACCGATGAGCCGGGTGTTGGCGATCACGATGAAAAGGTGCTCACATGCAAAATTCTCCAGAGGAGCATATCGAAGATATCTATGAGCAGTCAACAAGAGGCTTAAGCGACATGGATTCGGTTTGTATCACCTCGGAAGAAGGATGCAAGTTGAACTGGGGAGCCCATTCAAGGTCATAGAGATCACGGCTGTAGAGAAATCCTCTATCGTCGCCTAAAAACCGACGAGGCTGGCCATTAAGATTCGTGGACTAGCAGAGATATTTTAGACGGCCAAGCCAAAAAAGCGACCGGGCGTCTTACACAAAAGGCGGTGATTTTACCAACCACAGGCGGCTGGGAGGAAATTATACGCGAAGAGGAAGCAATATTCGATGATAATAGTTGGCTAGCAGCTGCATAAGATATATTAAGAGACGGAATTTTCTGAATACTGACTGTTGTATGCGACTGCTCTCTGCATAAGACGAAGTTCTGCGTAAGGCATCAGTGAGGTCCCATTGAGAAACCTTTCGGTTTCGCGATGTGAAACTTGAAGTTTGTGAAGCAGCTGCAGAAGTATTGATAGGCGCTTTAGGGTGGGTGTCTATACGCGGTTTGGATGAGTTTGGAAAATATCGTTTCCTGTCCTCGTCCCAATAGAAGCCGTTCAGTTCAAGAGGCATCTGATTACGTCATTCTGCCAACTCGGAGAAGTACTTTGACGAGTGAATCACTACTTTAAAAAAAAAATCAGTACGCTAGACTAGACGCGGGGTTGCACAAGGGCTTAAATAAATTTGGCGTGATGTTGTCGTGATTGGTTGATGATGATCAGTTTCAGTTTCATTGCCAGGTTACTTCGATCATGGGACAGCGACATTGTATGGGCGCGTCTCCTTGGATTGTATTCAAGTATTGGCGTGCAACAATTGAAAAAGTGACTAGGATCACACGCTGGTGAATGGCGTGGCAGACAGACCATGTGGGACGCGTCTAAAAAGTTGTCAAAAAGGCTAATCAAAGACTGGTGTATCTGTTGTGCCGGGGCGCGTAGCAATAGTTTTCGGGGCCGGCTGTTTTCCGAAATCATTATGTAGAAGAAAACAATAGTAAACTGAAAGAACCTCGGTAGATACGAAGATATTCAAAGCACGCACCCTCGATCTTACATGGATACGAAATGAATTCAATTAAGCTGCATACCAGGCGCAGAACAGACGTCCTTACCGAAAGGAATGTTGGTAACCCAAGGCATTGCATCATCGCTGAGGAGATATACATCAAAGATGAGCACCGCTCTCGAGGGATCTGTACCTTTATCTTGGACCGAGGTCAAATGTCAGAAGAATGAGACGAACCGAGCTGGCGCGCCGGATGTCTAATGACAAATACAAATGGGGAGGTTACTGCGTCGCGGCGTTGCCTGACAGTGAAGCAACCAATTATGTAGGCAATTTCTGTGGCAACGTCTTAATGGAACCATGTAGATGTAAAATTCTTCCTCCTCTTACAACGACCAACGACCAACGACCTCTCCAAAAAGTGCACAGCAGGGGCTAAATCCTCTGCCAGTGGCCCAAAAAAATCAATCACGAGGGAGGACTAGATTTATTTCACATCAGATTCACTCTGTTCTCAAACCAAACCGGCTATCCGCCTTTTTTTTCCTGCATTCATTCCGCAATACTTGACATGGATACCGCCTTTCTCTTCCATCCACCATTTGGTGAGCCCGACGTTGTGCCTGCGCCACACAAGCCCGTGCTTGCCTGCATTGCCATCGCGGGACCCGTACTGGAGAAAGAGAGGCTGCACGTGTACTTTTCATTCGAACCGGTGAGTACTTGTTGCCCTTTACAGGATTTACGTAGCGTGCCTGGAGTAGCATACGGCAGCAGGATGAAATCATATATGTGTGTTTGATACATGCGATTCCTGGTCTCCCCGTAATCTTTCGCGCGACATGTACTGACCGCCACACAGACGTGCCATTCGTTGCATTCGTATCCTCGCATATCTACCACGTGTCTCTATCCCAATACCATGACCAAGAAACGTCGCTCGTTACAGTCTATCCTACTCCCTTCCTTCCACCCAGCCCCTCCTTCGTCTCGCTCTGCTACCCCGACCGCTTCTTCGTCCGATAGCTACCTCTATCCAGCCAGCTCTCTTGACATCTCTCACTACGCGACTTTTCCCCGTCGTAATTCAAATTCTCCGCTCTCGGACCTGCTCGACGACGACCCTTTTGCCAATCTCTCCTCCCCACTCCGCCAGGCACCTCTTCGTGTCGCACCCCCCAAGTCTTCAGACGCTAATCCTCGCTCCCCGCTCTCGCCAAAGTCCAGTGAGCCTTCCTTCGCCATCCAGCCATCTATCACTAGGGCTTTGTCATCTGGAATCATACACGCTCGCCCGGCCCATCAGAAACCGGCTTTTGCCCCCCGTCCTTCACTTCCATCCTTGCACACGCTCGCCAAAATCAACTTTGTGATATCCAAAAAGGTGTTGCCGTCTCACATAGTCCCGCTTTAACCTAACTTACTCCGTCTTTCTTTCAGGTCCGTAGAGGAAGGGTGGGCGCAACGTTGCCGTTTGAGCCGTGGGATGATCATCCTGATTCTCAGTCATCCGGATCGACTACCCCTTCTCAAGAATCTGTTTCCAAACTATCTACTCCTACATTGACTACTGTCGAAAGCTATTTCCCTCAAAATCAAATCACAGAGTCTCCTCTTACTACTTCTCCTACCCAAATTTCCGATGACGCCAATGCAGACTTTGTCGATTTCTCAGACGAAGACGACTGCGAGCTCTTTGCCGCGTCTCCCGACGACGAGGATATCGACCTGGGCTTTGACCATACAGGCTTGGCTTATCTAGAACCCCCGAATGACGATCTTCTTACTCAACCCGCTCTCGAGCGCACCCTGTCCTCCAGCCTCTCACAGAGCTCCCATTCGCGTTCCACTTCATCTACATCATCCACCTCTTCTCTAGGCGAAGTCTACCCCGAGTCCCGTTTCCGCGATCTCTCGCCTGATGGGAGCCATAGCGATATATGTTTCCCAAGCTCTTCTTCTACTGAGAGCGAGGGCGATGTCCTTCACTCTCCCCCCGACGATTTCATCACTGATGCTTATTCCTGGGAATGCTCCTTAACTCCACACCCATCAATGTATATAAGCGACCCTGACGTAATTATGTTTGAGCCGGGCACATCCGTCGATACGATCACACACCACGACCACCGATCTACTATCATGCAGCGTGACTACGATTGGGCTCATGAAATGGTAGATGGCGATGACTGGGATCACAGAGGACGCGAATCAACGCGCCATAATGATTTCTCTAACTGGACGCCAAGCGGTAACGGAAACGGCGGAGACCATGATGAAAAGGGTCGCGGCTATGGAAATTATAATGGGGGTTGGGGCGGCTCGGGGGACGACGGCCGAGGAGGCGATAGGAGGGGGATGCGGTCATCGTTCTCGACACCATCATCCTCAGATGCTTCCTCCGAGGGTGAAGATGATTCTGAAGGCGAGTATGGCCAGTCATCAAAGATTACGCAGTCCAGGGATTCGGATGACGATGTTCCACTTGCTCAGCGAATTCCTACTGCCCTCAAAGCTCAAAGGACACTGAGACTCAAGACAAAGGAGGAACGGGACCAGCGACGGAGGGACCGTGCTGCACGCAGAGCTCGCCAAGAGACGCTTCGTCCAGCAGGCGCAGCAGCTCCTGCCCCTCAGCTGATGTCAAGCTCACAGGAAGCCGCGTTGCATGCTTCTAGATCGATTCGGCGGCCTCGCACACAGACCGTGTCAGGGCCTTCACATCGCATGCCCTTTGCCGTAGAGGACCTCACGCAGCGCCTGCAACATGTGCAGGCTGCGGATTTACGTAGCGAGCCTGTCGATCCGGTAAGGAGTGCGTCACCTCCCAAGGTGAGGGCGCTCCGCCCCATGCGCTCGTTCCACCAGCCGGAGCGGAGGCGGTTCGACGATCATACGTCGGTGCCTTTGCCCGGGCCGCTTACCAGGACCACGACGCGGACGCGTGACGACACGCATCTAGCAGTTCAATCCCGACGCGCGGTTAGCGAGATGCCTGCCGACATGGAGCACAAGCTCGGCCGCTCGATGACGCGCAGTCGGCCGAGGGTGCATGAAGACGCGCAGCGCGCCTATAGCGAGATGCCGCCCGATGCCGAGATGAAGCTCGCTCGTGCGCGGAGCCGAGTGCGGAGCCCTAGTCGGAACCATAACGAGAATGCGGTTCCGCCTCTGCCTAGGCATTCTGAGGATCGCAAGTTGACCAAGGGCGGAGGGCGGGCGTCGTCGGAGCAGCAGAGAGCGACGACCTCGGTGCCGGTCCCTGTCGTCAAGGGTGTCGTGACGCAGCAGCGTATCTTCATTGGCGATAGACAGAGTTACAATATGGTTGAGATTGGTGCGTCGACGAACGCGGGAGATGTGGTTGATATGGTGGAAGCACAGGGTTCGTTGAAGGGCTGGGTTGGTACTGGGGGTTGGATGCTTTGGGAGGTTGCCCAGGATTTTGGAATGGGTGCGCTGATCTAATAGTGACGGACATGGTGCTTCTGCTAATCGATACTGTTAGAGCGCCCTATACGAAGCTTTGAGCTTCTCGCCGATGTCGAAACTTCGTGGAACAAGGATAAGATGGTAAACATCTTTGTGCTCAAACTGACGCCTTTGGCTTCCTTGCTTCGTCGTACGGTAGGTCATGCCGTTACTCCAGCGAATACCTCTCTAATAATACTGTTAGGCTATTCCCTCAGTTTCCCCTCTTCATTCCGGCTATGTGGAATGGGAAATCAAACGCGGCAAATGGAACAAACGTTGGTTGTCACTCCGTGAGCATGGTTTGTGGCTATCTAAACGCGACAATGTAAGTGGGTATTTCTGAAGATGGGCGAAGCTTCTGAACCGTTATCGATAGGGCAAAGACGAGATGTTCCTTTGTTCCCTATCCAATTTCGACGCCTATTTCGTCACCCGCCTACACAAAGCGCCTAAAGCTTTCGTCTTCGCTCTGAAATCAACAGAAAATATATCCCTCTTTGAGAACACTGCAGACTATTTGCATATCTTTTCTTGTAACAAGAATGATGGGGATAGGTGGATGGAGAGGGTCCTTCTTGCTCGTGTGAGTTACCTATGGTTGTCAGCTGATCATAGGCCTGATCTTCCTTTTTTGTGTAGTCCTATGTCCTGCATCAGGAACGTAATGTCCTGTTTAACCCAAAGACTACCACTGGGCTGTCCCGGGCTGGGACACGGAAAGGAACAGGTCGTCCTGTCCAGCAGCCGCTTGTGAATGTTGGTTCCACGGATTTGTTTGAACCTGGTTCGCTGCTACGCAAGTAACAGTCAGGGTATGATCATGACAAGTACGACATTGACACGCCTACTATTCATGCTGCCGCCTATGTGTTGTAGACTTTGTATCCTTACTGTCATTCGTTTTTCTCTTTTCGACATCTATGGTAAGCATTAGGTTTTTGTTGTTATAACAATAGAGAAAAAAAGTGAATAATACATGCTATGCTCTGAGAATACTGGTTGAGTCATTCAGACATTGCAAAGTTCCAATGTTTAATGTCAAATCCTGCGTAACGCTAGAAAATAGGTAAGGGTTATAACAAGCATTCGGAATATAAGTAGAAATAGGAAGTAAATACACTACTCATCAACAGAGATACCTGCTCTGATTTCAGCAATACTTGTCGCCTAATAAAACAAATCTAAAACACTAGTCCCGTTCAAACGAACTTAAGTCCCTCCTCTTACTCTTCCATGTACTAACACTTATACAGTTTATGCAAAAACGTCGTCCAGCCATCGCTCGTAATCATATTCTGGTTCCCCCGCCTCGTTCTGTACACCGGGCATGACTTCCTTCAAATAGTCCACGGATGATGCCGGAAGGTGGGCGATGCGCAAGTCCAATTCTGTTACGAAAAGCTGCACATACGATGAGGATGAGTTTTCGGCCGAGGGAGATTAGGCAAACCTTGTCGGAAGCAATGCCGCGGAAAGCCTCACGCAATTGCTCAGGAGACGTTTGATCTTCAGTTATATCCACCTAGAAAAGTAAATTAATTAAAGTCGGTTGACACTAACAAAAAAAAAAGCAGCATCATTCACCAAAAGATTAATGAAGGCCTCGAAGCTCACAGCCCCGTAATCTTGCACCACTTGGTCATATATGTAATTCATATCCTCGTCCTGCACCCAACTTTAGCTATGATGAATATCGGCAGGCATCGCACTTACAGAATACACAATGCCTAGACTCGCCAAGGCCGCCGTCATTTCTGACTGATTGAGAGTATTCGACTCGTCCTTGTCGAAGTACCTAAACGTGCTTTCAAACTGCTCTAGCTGGGCGGGCGTGAGATTGGTCATGTTTCGTGAAACGATCTGATAAGGCGACCTCGGTAAGTGAGCTATTAGAGTCCACGTCAATGAGTCGTACCTGGTTATCGATGAAAGCAATCTTTTTGGCAATACTTTGCACAACAAGCTCTAGCTCAAACTCTAGATCCTGACAAGTGAACACCGTATAGTCGTTTTCTTCGACATTGGCAGCCGCGCACTCAGCTTCAGCCGAAGCGACGTCAGCTAGGGTCTCCGAGAGGGCTGGTATTCGAGTTTGAATATGCTGCATTTCTTGTTGTTGTGCCTAAAAGAGGGTTCACCAATATTGTATGAGCAAAATGCGAACTGGATATACTTCAAGAGGGCCATCAACAGCAGCTAGCTCTGACGATATAAGATGCAAACGACGCTCAAAATCATTCGCAACATCTGCAAACTGTTTTCGCAGCCTTTCCTTGATCCTGAACCAGAGAGAAATAAATGGAGATTACATGCTTTGAGAACCACATACTGTCGTATCTGGGCATTGATGGACCGGGAGCGTTGCGCCTCTGAAGCCAACAAAGTTTTCCACGCCTCGTCTAGATCTGAGAGAGCGAGACCCTTGGGAGGAACGTACTCCCGTAGTCCATATGTCTTCAGTTTGGTCTGAACATTGCCAAACAAGGTCGCTATATCCTGTTTCTCAGTTACCCACGTCCGCTTGGTGGTTTGTTTGTAAGTGCTGAAGTCGGCAGAGTGACTCTTCGCGTCTATATAAGTACCTGAAAACATACTTGCGGACCATTTCGCTTGGATTTCCGAAAGGGCACGAAGAAGCTTCCACAGTTTCGTAAGAGCTACGGCAATAAAAGAGAATGTTTACCTACCAACTTGACGCGGCGCTCATAATCGTTACGTGACAACCATACAGATTGCATCAGTTCGGCAAATTTGTCAACTCGTCGAGACACAGTTTCCGCTTGGTCTACAATCATAGTAATAAGCGCAGGATGAGGTAGAGTAGGATGCTGACAGACCCATCGATGAAAAAGCATGAAAGAAACTTGCGATATAAGTCATGACACTCCGTTCATCAGGATGGTTCGAGTCGCATAAATCTTCCACTTCGAGAAGTTGCTGGCCAGTAACTTAGTAACAATCGAAATCTGGCGAGAACTGCATACCGGAATATTCAGGTGGTCAGCAGCAACTTGGAAAGCTAATCTTGTATTAGCATGCCTGTCATTCTAAAGCGTTGGCGTCAGCCGTCCACGGAATGCAGAAAGTAGAAAAGCATAACCAACTTTATCGAGCTTATCATAATCCAACAGGTCCGGTCGATGACAGTGAATCAAAGCACACCTTGCGGACACAATTAGGATACTGAATGAGATGCGACGTTTATATACGAACAGGGCCAGGCCGTCGGACCAACTGAGTGAAAAATCTTGTACGTTGACTTCCTTGTAAGGTTCCGTCTTTCGTTGACACCAGAGTAGGAGACCCTCTTTTGCAGAAAGACCTTCTTCACTATAGCAGAGTATTAGACAAGAGACTGCAGGAAAAAGTAGCGATAACACGCACCTAATATCCGCAATCGTGAATCGTAAAATAAGAGTCCATATCATCCCCAGTATGAGTTTCAGGTTCCCATCGATAATATCTGGATACCGACATGAGCTAGCTCCCGCCAAGGGAACATTCTGGCGTACCCTCCGGCCCAATATTTGTAAGTTTAACACCTCTTGAAGTGATGAACTCCAGAGCCTTATTAACATTTTCAGCCTTTTGTATCCGCATTCGGGGAGCCTTATTGTATCGACCAAGAGACACGTCGCCTGAGATGTCGCGGACAGAAATGTGATAAGGACTTCATGAATACTTGCAGGACGCACCCATGATTTCCTGTTCCCATCCTCGAACCATTCGTTACGGAGAATCCACAATCAAGCACACACCATGAGCTGGATGAGCCGAACGCCATCAGACAGATCCTTTACCAAGGATGACATGGGCGGATAACCATTAAGCTCGAGCTTCGTATTGAGCCTACATAAACGGTGAAAGGCAGGGAGAGAAGGAATATTGTGCCACTGACCATTTGCAGAACGTTCGCTCCTGTACATCGCGCGACCTCGCCTCCAAGGATTCCATTACACAGAAATCAGTAGCAATTATTTGGGCGTAAAGTATTCGAACGAAAATTGAGATCCTAAGCAAAGGTGGGAGAAAGAGGCAGAAGACGAAATGCGTCCAAATGCGTCACGCGTCAAGACTTTTTTCAAAGTCCGTCGCGCGGCGCGTTTCTTGACTCTGGACCACCATCACACCGGTGTACAATGACAACCCAGTTCGACAGGATTTTCCATGGCACGTCGCAGGAGATTGGCAGTACGTTTGACCTCATACGATGTGACAATGTCGTTGATAAAATTCTCAGAATTTCGCGTCGCAGCGACTGGCATGGCCTGGAAAGGTGTAGAGTCTGAAGGCGTTACTGCGATGCAAGCCCCAGAAATCAAGTGGGCCCAGTGGTTGCGCGTCGCTCGCAATTTTCAACTCCGAGTTGGCTTAGCTGGCCACAAAAAAGAGACCTTCGATGGCTTCATGCGAGAGGTGATACATTCGTTGTGTTTGTCTGATATACCCTTGTGCTGATGCGTTGTCAGGATCACGATAAGGTTGAGGCACTCATGCGAAAACATTTCAACATCACGCTGGAGACCAAGGAAGTGTCGTTGAGAGGCTGGAACTGGGGCGTGACAGACTTCCAAGGTACGCTACCAATCTAGTCTGTATTTTGTCTGACATTGATACCATCACACAGGCAATGAGCTTGCATTCATGGTTGCAGACAGAACGGCGTTTATGCTGAATCTGCAGCAAGTTAACAACTCCAATATCGCTGCTCGCACCGAGGTCGCACTTGAATTCACTCCGGGAATCTCAAAGTCTAAGCATGCAGACGAGTTGACCGAAATCCGATTTTTTGTTCCTGGCACTCAGCCCAAGGTGAAAGGGTCTGAGAACGGGTCCCAAAAGTCGGACGATGAAGATGATGCTGAAGAGCAGAGCGCTGCTCAGGTCTTCCACGACTTGGTGAAGGAGAAGGCAGAGATCGGTGCACCCTCCGCCGACATCATTCTCAGCTTCGATGAAGTGCTTGTGCTCACTCCTCGAGGTCGATATGACGTCGACATGTACTCTGGGTTCTTGCGACTGCGTGGTAAGACCTACGACTATAAGATCGTCTACTCCAGTATATCACGTCTCTTTCTCCTACCCAAGGATGACCAGCACGTTCTCTTCATATTGGGTCTCAATGACCCCATCCGCCAAGGACAGACGCGATATCCGTATCTTGTCATGCAGTTCACTCGCGAGGAGGAGATCACGGCTGAATTGAACATGTCAGAGGAAGACATCGAAAAATATGACCGGCTGAAGAAGAGCTATGAAGATCCTACATTCGAGGTCGTGTCAAGTCTGTTCCGTGCGCTATCCGGGAAAAAGATAATTGGTGCTGGGAGTTTCCAGAGGTGAGAATTACCCTCACTGCTTCTGTGACTCTCATCTTTATCTTTCATAGTCGTGATGGTCACCCTGGCATCAAAGCTAATCTCAAAGCCACACAAGGAGACCTTTTCTTGCTCGAAAAATACATCTTCTTTGTTTCCAAGCAACCGACGCTTATTGAACTATCTGAAATTCATCAAGTATTTTTCTCTCGAGTCGCCACAGCTGCGCGGACATTTGACCTTCGGATCGTCACGAAAAACGGTCCTGAATACACGTTTACATCTATAAACAAGGAAGAACAAGAGAGCACGCAGGCCTACCTCAAAGACAAGAGGATTAAAATCAAGAGTGAACAAGTGCCAGACGCGGAGTTGTTATTGTCTGCCGCTGTGGGTGATGATGACGATGATGACGAATCTATGCGTAGTATCGACTCGGACAATGATGGGCCTAAAAAGGTGCCAAGGAATCGTGATGACGATGACGATAGCGAGTCTGATGGTGAATGACCTGTCTTTTTAAATCCCTTAACATCGCTAATCCTTATGCCAGAATCTTTCGAAGCTTCGTCCTCCGATTCGGGCTCTCCGACAGAGAGTGACTCGTCTGAGGGTGGGGCCGCTACCGCCTCTGACGCTAGCGGAGATCGTGACTTCAAGAAGAAAAAGACGAAAAAGAAAGTCAAAGACATAGATGGCGCTCCCAAAAAGAAGGCAAAAGGAGCCGAGAGTGATGTTGAGGATGATAACGAGGTCGGAGAGAAGGAGACATCCAAGCCGAAGAAGAAGAAAGCCGACAATGCCATGGATGTTGACGGAGACAAACCGAAACCGAAACCAAAGTCCAAGCCCAAGGCTGATGGTGACGGGGACGGCGATGCTATGGATGTTGACGAAAAGCCCAGACCCAAACCGAAGCCTAAGAAAAAGGAAGGAGAGGCTTCGGAGCCGCCGAAGAAAAAGCAGAAAACGTCGTCCAACTGATCTAATATAGTCGTATTTCATTCTGCAGGCTCTGTTAAATTATATCTTTCTCTCTATTGTACACTAACGGACACATAATAACGTCCCTTGACTTGAGGACAGTTGTCGAAAGATGGATAAATATCTGCTAGAATCAATCTTCTGGAGCATCCTCAGTCATTTTTAGACTGGTCATTGATCCTGGTGATCAAAGAAAGGCTGCCACGCTCACGAAAATACTGTCCATGATATAACAAGTAGTCTCCTGCTATACTATGAAGATGGCGTAGAAGGTAGGTATGTAATGTTCGTCGTCGATGCTCCTCGACAGAAACGCAACAACGACCTATCTACGAAGCACTGACCTTATTTGGGAAATGCCAGTGGAAGAAAGGTTCAGGCTCAAACTAGTTTGCGCCCGTAACATACGGAACTTTGATCTCCTCGTGCCTCTGCAGTCCCTCTGTTCATTGATTAGATTCACTGGCAAGAGCGTCTCTTAGATTCTAACTGTTACTAAGAACTTGAAATTGAGTATCAACACCCGTGTCTACGTCGTACGAAACAAGGGCCCCTAAGGCATCTCGCGTCTCGAATTCTCGTTAGTACGGATCACTACCTAGCCTTTATGTAAATCAACCGAAACAAGGCCTTCTAATAAATCGATCAAAATTACTACTCAGGCGGCTCTGTCCAGACATATACTCGGATCATTTTGCCTATTAGCACTGGACATGACTAAAATACAAAGCCCTTACCTTCCCGTCTTTCACGGATTCTGACTTGGATTGTCTAGAAATATTGTCGAAACATGTTACGGACGTCGAACTTTGGAACTGCAGTCCATCAAATGGTACCCGTGGTTCAGCACCTGAGTGTACAAAAGGACTCAAAATGTAGGATTGGGACAGCAGCCTCAGCAGCACCCACTCTGTTCTCGCATACACATTTCCCACTCACAATTGTGAACCTTTTTTACTTCTTGATCTGTATGCCACATCTTACCTGGCCATAGATACAATTCAAGCCTGCTAACTTGGTCAGCGTGGCCTTCTTGGCTTCTTCTGTTGCAGCTATCTGTCCCGGTTACAAGTACGCTCAGCAGCACGACCATCTACACACGGTACTGACCTCCTATGCACAGCTATGGAATCATAGACCTCGGGTATGACGTCGGCACTGGAAAGGAGGGCTGTAAGTGAACTTAAAATCCCCCTTCTGTGCGGCAATTGATGCGAAATTCCTAGACGCCGTGGTGGATGATTCTTGTAACCAGGTGGCTGGAGCCATTACTACCAATGTCTGCGACGAACCACTGTTCTCCTGCTCGCCGGCGCCTATCACGATTACAGGCCTCCATTATGGTGGTCAAAAGTGTGTACAGTTCTTGAGATCGTCCTTCGACTTACTCATTCCGCTTGGTATAGCTATGCTTGCAGAGGCGACGTTAACTCAGGATCTTGCAACGGTGCTGCCGTCCAAGTTTGTGTAAGTTCTCTGTCTTGTCACTTTGCGAAAGCTTTGAAAGTTAATGAATGTTACAGTGCCGAAATGATGGAAACTGATGCCCTTTGACAAACATCCATCTTCGCTAGTAGCTTTCGACAATAGATGTCCTATTTCTGCATATATACAGGTTTACCATTTGACTGGTGAATGGATGATCATTGAAATTTTAAAAGCTTTGAGGAGAACAAAACAATGCAGCGAGAAGGGGGAAAGCTCGTATGGCAGCGAGACTCGAGCCGGTCTCACGGTTGATGACAACCGGTCGACTAGAGGTTTTCGGGAAAGGAAAAGAGAAGGTCGCGATATCATTTATTATCATAATGATAATTACCACAGAGTTAACGTGGCTTTTGGCAAAATTCACACTGCATGAGACGTATAGCAAAACGGTTCCAGGATGAAAATTTTCAGTATGTATGAACTGCCGGCTCTGTTTCCCTCCATGGGAAGAAAAACGCGACGAAAGTCAAGCACTAAGACATCCGGTATCTCTGTACGCACTGCTTTGGCACAGACTAGCCGTATAATAAGAGGGCAAGAGTCTGCAATTTGACATGAGTGCGATGAAAAAAAGTTGAACGGCCATCTCCGGCGGTTTTGAATGGGCTCCACGTGGCTTGATCTCGGCATCGGCCCGGGTGCTCATTGCGTTTTCCCAATACTATTGACTATGGTTCAGACGAGCAAAACAAGTGGACCATCTCAGCTGACTACGACGAGAAGAAGGGCATTCATACGCCCGCTGGTCGTCCAGGAAAGGAAGAAGATATGGCACAAGCAGCACTGATACTTTCTACCAACCAATATGCTTACGACCAGGTAAGTCCCTATCGACTATCATGCATCCATTCAACAGAGAGATACCCACGTCAGCGATAAAAGGTAGGAAACAAACTGCCTTGGCAAGCATACATACATATCACGCTTGTGGCGAGCAGTAGCGTCTGCCTTATTCTGTCAGCGACGCGTATCAACTCCTCTCACTAGTAGGGATTCCCTGCATCCCCACTCAGATCAAAATCTTAAGATGTAGAATTGGACGTTGTTATGAGACCAACCTAAGTTTGTGCTAAATAATGGATCTTGAAATATCCGTGAGACCCGAAAAGACCTTCTGAAGACGAGGATAGGCTGCTTTTATACTCCTAGCAAACTCCTCACACCGTGGCCACCCGAACAACGTCAGAGTCTCCACCTTTGGAAACAGCACGATCGACTCTATAATCCGCTGCTTCACCACACTCTCCTCCTTGGCATTTATCGAGGAATCGATATACAAGGCTGTGATTCCTGTAAGGAGGTGCTCAAATCTCGGAGTCACACTTAGCCACTCCTCCGATATGTTCAAATCTGAGAGAGGCAGATCAAGAGTGGTGATGGCACCATGGAGGGCGACGTTTTGGAAAAGCATCTGCACGACATTTGAGGGTGGCGGTGTAATAGGGAAGGGGGTGACCGAGCCATAGCAGGTCACGCTGTGAAGGTGGAGCATGGAACCAGGAGAAGAGAGCAATTGAGACAGACACTCCGCCGAAGAGCTGAGATCTTTCAGCTCAGGAAGGGAACCTGGGGCAAGGGTCGCATTGTCGCAGGTCACTCTGAGCGTGAGATTGCGGATGGTAGGATGGCGCAATAGAAAGGGCATGATGTCGCTGAGATGCAGATCAGGACACCGGATAACGAGTTTTTGCAAGGATGAGAGAGAGAGAGAGGGAAGCAGGGCGGAAATATCTACATTCTCAAGCGACACTGCCGTGAGGGGGGACAGGTTCATCGTGCTGACGGTCCAGTCACGGAAGAAATCTGTGAGCATAAAATGAGCGCGAGATATGGTGATATCCTTGAGTGTGCCAACGGCGGGTCCATCGAACTTGGTCCTGTCGTCGTACTCGACTTGGGGTGCGCAGGTTATGTCGAGTGTATGTGACTGCACGCGGTGCAGGTGACGAAGGAGGCTCGAAAACGCTGCACCACAATCTGTGGGAGAATACGTCGATGGCTGCCGGAAGACAGCTGGAAATTCTGGGAAGCGCAAGAAAACATATTCCAACACTCTCCCCGTCTTGAAAAGCCTCGTTACCTGCTCCATCTCCTTCACACACTCTACCAGCGAGAATTGGCAAGAGAAGAAATGCACGGGGTGCTTCATCGAGAAGGAGAGCCGGAGAGCAGGCACGCAGTTGAATGGTAGACGGCCCCAGGGACCACCGAACCGCATAGCGTTGGCGCATAGTCCGGTCTCGAGATCATCTGTACGCGGGAAGAGGATTTGCGAAAGTGCTAAGGCATTGATTCGCCTACACAGGCATGAAACAGCAATGAGGCTCGAGGTATCGAGGTCTTGAAAAATGATAAGTAGGAGTTCGTTCGGGAGATTGTTGAGAGTGACAGAGGGAAACATCTTGAAATTTACTGAAGACGGTGAGTGATAGAGTACGAACAGATATCCGGGCCGGTAGACCCGCCGTTTTTTCTTGATTTGCATGCTTAATGTGCTTGCCTGTCTTCCTTCAACGTCCAAGTTCTTTCATTACAACAGGCTCCTCCTTCAATTTGATGTGTGGAGTATCGTAGTAGCTTAGCTCCTTGGTGATTCGTGGGTTTCATTTGCATCTTCAATACTTGTCGCTAACGAGGGCCTCATTCATCTACATTCAAGCTACAGTGTTGCAGAAATAGGAACAGTTGCAAAGTTCAGCCCTACAGTCCTGATGAAACCGACTTAGAGTCTAACTTGGCTCGAAGCACTCGTTCTTCATGGGCTTCCCCTTCCTGATGCTTCGAACAACGCGGAAGCCTGTGGCTATTCTTCGGATCTCAAAGCCAAATTAATTCCAGTACGCCAGCCTTGTGCTGAACACGAACATCCTTACTATGAAGTATCTTTGACTTGACTACCAGTGGACCTCACGGCGCCTGATTGCTCCAGAAGGATGACAAAGAGGAGCACTGATAGGCCGGATGCGTCTTCCTAGATGTTGTTCTTCAACTTTGAAAGACACCGCCTTGTGGATACTCGGTGTGGCAGTGACTGCTATTCGGGACGACTGCTTGAATAACTACGGGCTAGCAAATTGTCATGCATAGTTTTCGCGCACGGATCCCCTTGCATTACTCGCGAGCGTTATCTGCGAGACTGCACTTTCTTTGCGTTTTGCTTGCGTACGCATCTTTCTGAATATGTGTGTGAGTCGGCTTCCTCCCTAGTTCATGGTTCAGAAATGAAGTCTTACTTGGGATTTAGCAGGAAAGCCCTCCATACTTTTCGCGGGAGTTCCTTCTGGCGCTATTTGGTATTAAAACACGCTGTGCTGTACTCGGGACTTAACCTTGGACAAAAAGGGTCGAGCCGAATGCACTGGATATATTATGTGTAACCATGACATTGTTATCACGGTCTAGATGTGGCATGATTTTCATATTCTGTATGTACTTTTTGCTTCGATTTACGACAATTGACGACTCTTGCCTACCAGGATACTATACATAGTGACACCATATCCCCTTGGTTACTACTGTGGAGATCGCGAATCTCATCCGTCATGCCTACACCCAAATTTTCTTTTTTTTTTTTTTTACCAATGAATCATACTTTTCTCGCAATACCGCATGTGCTATGCCATTACAGCAATGTCAGGGTACAAGCTTTATCGTTGCCAAGACTTCCTACTTCGCCTTTCGACTGTCCAAATATGCGAGGAGTCAATGCGTCCATGAAGCCCTTCTTCGTGGCAATTCCCCTGCAACGCATCGTTTTTGGACCCAAAATGACAGCCAGTATAACAACGCGTCAACCATCAATGGTATAAGAAGGCTGGCACCCTTCTTGGCTGCAGCTTCGAACCTCCTGGTTCTACTCTTGACTTGTCCCTCGTTTTCAACGTGAATCTATTTGATCATGTTCACCACAATCCTTCTCCCACTTCTTGTAGGCTCTTCTGCGGTCTTCGGGAACCCTTTTGTTGGATCAGTGAAGCCACGACAGACGATTTCGTGTGTCGAGCTCCATCTTCTCAATCCGTAAATTCGCAATGACGCAGAATCAATTATAGCCGCTGTGGAACTTTTATTAGCGACGAGAGGATCTTAGCTGCAGAGACACACTTCAGGAACAATAAAGTTTTGAAGACCCAAAATGCATCTAATGCGACTATCGACGTTCAGTTCCATGTCATCTACTCGGACCAGACCGAGGCAGGTGGTTACGTCAAGTGGGCATTGTTTTACACTCTTTCATTTTGCGAGCCGCTTCTGACTGGGCCCTGCAGCGACACTCAAATATCTGATCAGATAGATGTATTGAATGCAGCTTACGCAAATTCGGGACTTTCGTTTACGCTTGCCAACACCTCATATATTGATAACACCAACTGGTTCTCAAATGTTGGTCCGGATGAGTGAGCGTTGGAATACACTTGTCATCGAACTGGGGACTTGACACACCACTGTTGACAGATCTTCACAAACTGAAATGAAACAACAACTTCGTCAAGGAGATGCCGCCACACTCAATGTTTATACTGTCGGTTTTGAGGCTGGTAGCGGCGAGGGTCTCCTCGGCTACTCAACCTTCCCTTGGGATTATGAGAGTGCCCCCGAGGATGACGGTGTTGTCATTCTCTTTTCCTCCCTTCCCGGAGGTTCCACCCAAAATTATAATGAAGGTCAGACGCTGACGCACGAGGCCGGCCATTGGGTTGGGTTATATCACACCTTCCAGGTGCCATTTAGTCGCATTCCTTGTTCACATGACGATTTATTAAATACTTTCTAGGGGGGATGCGACGGTGACGGTGACGATGTCGATGATACTCCGGCAGAGGAATCTCCCGCATCAGGATGTCCGACGAACCGCGATACGTGCTCTGGCGCTGGAGTTGATCCCGTCCGTGAGTATTCGGTAAATACAGCTATTCCGGTTGATCCTGACGTGCATCTGCAGATAACTACATGGACTATTCATATGATTCCTGCATGACGGAGTTCACTGATGGCCAAGTTACTCGTCTGCAAGATCAGATGCGAACATATCGTGGAGTTGCTTTCTGAACAGGACTACATCCCTGTAGTATACATTCCTTCATGAACAAGTCAATACCTATTTTTATTTGCCGAGCTGCGTCGTCTTGAGGCAAGACTTGATCACTGAGTTGCCGAGTTGCGTAAGGCCTCATGCGGGAGAGATGCGGAATCGGAGGCAAAATTGACCCAACGTGCTCCGATTTCCCACGTTCGTCAACGTCTCTTTCCTTCCCCTACGTTTTTTTCTTCAGTACCGTCATGTCTCTCCCTCAGCCTGTCCCACCCTCCTGGAAGGTAATTATTTTTTCTTGTTTCTCGAATTTATTGTCGATACGCATGGCTCTCAGGATCTCGGAAAGTCGTCGAACGACCTCCTCACTAAGGATTTCCCTTTCTCCGGCGCGACCCTCGAGGTCAAGACCAAGACACCTTCAGGCGTCGTGTTCAAGGTTGGCGGCAACAGGGACAACAAGTCAAACATTATCAATGGCGACATCGAGTCCAAATACACCAACCGCAAGCACGGTTTCACCTTCACGCAGACTTGGACCACCGCCAACATCCTCAAGTCCCAGTTCGAGATTGAGAACCAGATTGCCAAGGGCCTCAAGCTTGACTTGAACACGACTCTCCAGCCTGAGAAGGGCAACAAGTCGGCTCTGATCAATGCTGCCTACAAGCAGTCTGGCGTCCACACCCGTGCTGCTCTTGACGTGTACAAAGTCGGTCAACCCCTGTGCTTGAATTCGCGTTCTCATCTTTTTTTTTTCGATGTAGGGGCCTACCTTCACTGCTGATACTGTCCTTGGCCGCGATGGGTTCCTTGTTGGTGCAGAGTGCGCTTACAACGTGACGGAGGGCAATATCACCAGATACGCCGCCGCCGTTGGCTACAACGCACCCGAATACGCTGTCACTATTCACGGTCTCAACAACCTGAATACCTTCTCTGCCAGCTACTACCACCGTGTCAATGCCGATGTTGAGGCAGGTGCCAAGGCTGTTTATGACACCAAGGCGACCTACGGCGGTGTTGCGCTTGAAGTGGGTGCTAAGACGTGAGTGATCTATCATTCAGGGTTAGGTGCAGATCCCAAGTTTATATATAGTTACCTCGATGCCAACACTGCGTTCAAGGCCAAGATCAACAACTCTGGTGTCCTTGCCCTGGGTATAATCATTACTTTCATACACCTATGTCGTACTCAATATTGTTCTATGATACAGGCTATGTTCAGAACATTCGTCCTGGTTTCAAGGCTTCCTTCGGTCTTGCCCTTGACACTCAAAAGTTGAACGACACTACCGCTGCCGGTGGCCCCTCGCACAAGGTTTGTTTCGTTCGTTGTCTCTACTAACTCCTGATACTGATGTCCAGCAAGGTTGGTGCGAGCTTCACTTTCGAATCATAGATAAAAGCAGGACGGCAGTTGAGGACGAGAGCGATTACCGGAATGTTTACGATTCTTTCAGTGTAACGACTTTATTTGGCCCAGCTCAAATAAATATTTTTACGGACTGTGGGTGTGAAAACGTATGCCAATTTATGATCGTGATGCGATCGTCATGTGGATGTGGGCGCTATTCGTTCCTATCAGCGCTTGTCCCTGTCGTTACAGACCGGACCTACGTTTCTTTTCTCTCTTTTCTTCTCTCTTTCCCACGTCTGCTTTTTTGAAATGGCAAATATCAATCGCGGCCCTGCAAAATGCTCCTTGACGGGAAAACACGCACTCCTTCCTGCAGTCCAGCCCAACGGGGCTTCGTTCACTGATTATACATAACCACAGGCTCCTTATAGCATTTTTGCTGGACGTTCGGTCGGGGTTCAGTGGTACGTGGCTTGCCACTGGTCCACGATGCTCGAGTGAGCCCGACCCGACCCCAAGATATGGCGTATATGGCCAGCCGTGCTCCTCCACACGCTGTTTGCAGCTCGTAAGGACTTTCCCACACTTCTCGAGGAGGATATATGAAGTGTATTAATGTCTTCAAAGTGGTTGTTTATCTCCAACTGAAGGATTACCTCGACCTACGTATCCCTAATGTTATGCCCACAGTCCTTGGTGCGTGTCCTTTCCTTCGTCAGTGTTTTCTTATGTAAGTGTTACAGGCGTTGTCATCGTCTTTGTGATTTCATACCGTGCTATGAGCGGGTAAGCCCCCACTATACGTGACTTCCGTGCTTCTGGGTGTAATTTGACGTCCTTAGTTATGATCGCTACTGAATGGGGAGAACATGTTGGTCCGATGTAATTCAACGTACAGTCGCACTGTGGGTCGACTCGTTTGGTTCCATGTTCCTCCTCGCTTGACGCCAAATATGCCTCAGGAGATTGAGTCTGGTCGGACTGATCGGTCGCCTGGGGAGATGATCAAGGTCATGGCAGAAAAAAGAATGGCGTTGGATCTTGTGGAGACGTAAGCTCTTTCGCTTTCTGACATACATACTTACAATGTTTTCTCAGGTTCGCTGTGGCCACGAAGCACCATATCAGAGGTATTATCTTCTACATCCAATACATTGTCAATTTGATCTCCCAGGGTACCAGGCGAACTCGGAATCTATTACGAGGACCTCTAAGATCTTGTTCGACCTCTTCACGATGTACGTAGAATATCTCTGTCCAAACCTCTCCATTTTAAACTTCTCGCGCCCGGCACGAACATACGGCCGAGCAGAAAGCTGCAGTAATGTCCACTGCCCTTCCTGTTCCTTCCAAGGCGCATCGTATTGCGTCCAATCCATCTCTTCCTCGGGCACAGCTTGTCTTCCTCTATTCCATCGACTTCACGTCCCAGCTTTGACACGGAGGATCCTATCATCCCGCCTATCAATGCATATGGAACATTCCACCTTTCTAAGCACACTTCCAGCATTTCTCTCCGGCATCAACTAAGGCAAAATACTCCCTCGTTTTCTGTACACCGAGCGCTCCAGCCATCCCAGCAAATAAGTAGCGACAATGTGATGGACCGAGTCTCCGGTGACCTCATTCCTTTTTCTGGCTTCTTCAGTACCATACGTGGATGGTTCAAGGGAACTAACTATAAATCTCTGCTGAGCACTGTTCGTCACCTCTCGTTGTGTTGAAAGTCCTGATCCTGAGGTTTCTTCCTTCGTAGGAACTGATCCATATGGCGTGGACAGGAGCCAGAGGAAAAGGGGCGGACCCATACAACCTGTTGTCAATGGCAAAAAGCATCGTCCCCGAGTCGCGGGCGGAGGGGAGAACCTTCCTCTAGAGATTTTGAGGCGCTTGAGTGAGTGATTTAGCGTCTTGGAAGATCGGAACACAGTGCCTGGTGAGGGATCAGTCCTTTGGGTTTTTGGTTCGTGCTCATTTCATGTCACAGGAACAAGTCTTGGATCTATGATTGGACTGATAGCTTCTAACTCTGTCGAGTTCGTTATTTATTTCGCTCATTTTGACAAATTGTGACTTTCCGAATTACAGCGCTGGAGAAAATCTTGACGACACCCTTGCCTTTGTAAGTACTTTAAGACTACTCGTGTTTATCAAAGCTCACTTCACTGTATAGCGTGTATTCTGTTCATATCAGGTATAGTGTATTGCCGGCGGTGTATATTCCTTTGCTAATATCCATGGACTTCTTCGATTGTTACTAGACAGTGAGTGTCGCCGTCATAACCTAGTTCCTTTCTCACTCGCTTTCAGCACTGTATGGCTTTACCCCTTCTTTCTGCCTTTCCAACTTGTTTCGACGTTTGGCTGGCATACCGTTTCAGGCGTTTGCATCGCCGCATTGATTTATCTGGGTTTCCTCGCTGCTGGTGAAGAAATCGAACAACCTTTCGGTTCGTCACACTACTCCAACGTGTATGCGATGCTGACCATTTCGCGTAATATAGGCTATGACGGAAGTTAGAGTCTTATTTCTCCATTTGATGTAGAATACTGACCTACGGGCTGCTTAGAACGACCTCGACCTTGACGTGTTCTGCCACGAGATAATTCATGTCGACATTGAAAACTTCAAGAAGTCGCCCTGTTTGAATGCCTATTCCCAACCACCTCAGGGGCAACAGCCCGTCAGGCAAGGTTCTTTGACCTTGGCCGAAACTACCAACTGCTTGACAAAAGATCCTGACGATGATAGCGACAGTAATGATTTCGAGCTCAACGGCAGAATTGAGGGACTCGGAAGTTCTACTGGGAATTCCACCGCATTATGAACATAAGGAATCACAATCCGCTTTCATATTCTCATTTTTCACCTTTACCCTGATTTTGGGCTTAGATATACCATACGTACCATACATTTCCTTTACCCCACATACATACTTACATTATACCGTTCCTGTAATCAGTTCCATTACTATATTCTCTGACAGACGGCATATAGCCATTCAAAGAAGCGTTTTATATTGAGCCAAGGCAGTGACTACAGTATTAAGATGCTTCTTTTTTCTCCTCAGCTGCAGCCTCCTTGGGAGCATCAGAGACCTATTGACGAAAAGTCAACGAATGAACAGAGACTGCATGATTACGCTCACCTCCGCCCGCTGAATAGACTCTTTTACCTCCTCGGCAGATATGGGAGTCCCTTCATCATCTGTCACGGTTGCAGACTCGGAAGTAGTTTCTGCCACAGGTGCAGCCTCAGCAGGGGGTTCCGGGGAGGATTCTTCAGCAGCTGCAGGTGCCTATGTTGTACGGTAAGTCTTCAGAGACAAGGGCTGTGAAGGAGACGCGCCTCTGGTTCTGGTTCGGTCTGCCAGCAACAAATTCAAATCAAATCAAACGAGTAGTCAGAAACCAAACGTACCTCAACCTCCTTCTCCTCAACAGCCGGTTCCGACTTGTGTTCAGACTTGTCATGGTGGTGGTCCTTTTTGCCGTCGGGCGCGAGAAGGTATAAGAACTGGCTTTTCGTCAGTTGACACGTCGACCTCCGCTTATGCTGTCGCTCACCAGGGGACCAAAGACGACAGCAGAACCAATCTGTAGAAGTCTGGTTATTCTCCCTTGTATGTGTAAAAGGAAGGCATAAATGGCGAACAATCCAAGGGGTATCGCTGGACCGTCCTGACGGGGCATGAGTCGAATTGAATCGCTTGCAGCTGGGGGCGGCGACGCGGTTGAGGGCAGTGCGCCTCAGCGTAGCGCGTAACGACGAAGTGAACGCGCGAGAGGCCATTTTTTGAGGGACCGCAGGGAGTCTGGTCTAGTCTATGTGCGAGACGAGGTCAAGTCGTAACTGCCGGAAAGGACCGGTTCGATCCGAGCACGTACGTTCGATCCCGCCAACGGCTCAGGATTCCGTCATCAGTGACGAGTAACATCATTATGAATCACAACAGTAAGGTATCATATCAAGCACTATTATCTACCAAAACAATACGTAACAAAGGACAAGCGAGCTCTACCAGTTCAGTCCAAGTCGAGACAAGTACACCAGGCCCATCGCTGCTTGGAAGGGGTCGTTCTGACCAAGCTGTTCGTCCAACAGACAAGCCGAGAGGACACTAGCGTCATTGGGATAGTTTTGGTTCGCAAGGACGCTGAGATGCCTCAAGGGCGTGAGCTGAGGGTTCAAGGTGTCTGCAATAAGTGCTGAAGTCGGCGGGTAAGAGTGCTGCAATACAAACGATTAGCACGCACGAAGTTACAGATTTAGGAACATACATGACGAGGAAACTGAAGCTGATCCATGAAAGATGGTTGTTGCTGCATAAAAGATGCCTGGGTGTAGGGCATAGCACACGAAACTGAAGAAGGTATATTGCCATTATAATGCATGTGGTCAGCGACTTGGGTGCGCATATAGTCGTCCGGCAAGTTCTCTTTGGCGTCGAAAGGCCAAGGGGAAGGCATAAACTGAGGCTGACCTAGCATATGGGAACGGTCTGTAGAAGGAGCGATCCAAGGCTGCTGACTGGAACTGCCATCGGCGTTTATAGGTGCTGTCCAGGCAGGCGTAGGAGCAGAGATAGCTTGAGAATGGTTTGTGGATATAGCTGTAGATGGTGAAGAGCCAGATAGTTCATGATACGCGTCAAAAGCCTTCGACACAGGTAGCGGTGAACTGAGTAGCTGAATCTCGTCTTCGTCGGGATACTCTAGCTTGGGAGTAACAAGTTGTTTTACAGACATAGCTTTCTTGGTTCTCTTCGGCGCAGATCTCTTGGGCGTGGTAACAGTGTCAAGAGCAGGTTCTTGATATTCAGCCTTGAAAACATCTTCCTGCTTGACGCGATTCTTCTTCCTCTGCCGCATAAACCAGTTGCTGATCCACTTCTTTGGCCTAAAAGTTAACGACGAAATGATGAGGAACAGCCATGCACAATTGAGAAGAACGTGCAAGCCAGTCTGTTCAAACAAACTCTCCAGCTGCTCCACATTCACAGTTTGAAACTTGGTATACGCCTCCTTCAATATCTCTGTCTGGACCTTGTTGGCACGGATAACGACTCTCTTCGAGGGCTTGTCATCGCTCATGATGACTTGTAAATGACAATTGTGATGAGCGAGTGTGGTCGCATGAAGAAGGAGTAAAATACCTGGATGCATGGTGGTGGTAATCAAGAAAGGAACCACAACCCGAATTACAAACGGCGGACCGGACCACGATCGTGATTATGACCACCACGACGTTCACCATCCAGGACCTCCAGAAGCTGCATGATTTTGCCTGCGACCTTGCCCGACGCGCTGGGCGGTACCTCCGTGAAGATCAGATCCGTAGACAGACATACGTCCTGGCGACGCGGGAGAAGCTGAACTCTGTGGATCTAGTGACGGCCGCCGACGAAGGCGTAGAGAAACTTATACAGTGAGTAGAAAATTTTAATGGGTCCGTCAAGAGGATGCTGAGATATCAATGTGCAGTGATTCTGTTCTGACTGAATATCCAGACCATGCCGTAGGCAGACAGTCTTCCTGCTCTTCGTCTGCTCATCAGAGATACCATAGTTTATCGGGGAAGAATCCTATACCGCTGGAGAGGAAAAAAGATTTCTTCTGAAGGATGGTCCGACATGGTAAGCGCTCCCCATGATTTACGTCCTAGCCCGTAATCTCATATGACTCGTACTCAGGATTGTCGATCCCATAGACGGGACTGTTAACATGGTTCATATGTGTAGGAGCATCCCTCCTTGACGAGATCACGGACTGAAAACGTATTCTTGATCCGACAGTCCCGATGACAGCGATATCCATCGGTTTCTGTCTCAATTCCATACCAACCGTCGGCGTTGTATTCGCGCCTTTTCTAGGGGGAGAAGGTCTGTTCGTGATAAGCCATAATTTTCGCACTGACGACGTATACAGGAACCCTATACTCTGGAATACACCACCCCGAAGGTGGCGCCTGGATCTCAGAGTTCGGACCTAGTGGTCCACTAACGCCTCTGCCCATTATAAAGCCTCCACCACCACTTCCAGAGAATGCGCCAAAGGGGTACGTTAACGCAGACAATGCTCCCATATCACTGATTACTTTTCAGGTGCTTATTCTTTGGTGAATGGGGCAAGGATCGCAGAGATAGCCCTCAGTCAAACCTCACCAAGAAGTCCACTAATTTTGTCAACATGGCTACAGAAATAGGCGGCCGAGAGGGTAAGGGCGGTATGGTTCATGGCCTGAGGAGTCTTGGAAGGTCGGCTCTTTCATCAGTCTAGCGATTATACGAAATTAAGCCCCCGTTATAGTTCAACCCTCGATATGGTGTACGTTGCTTCTGGTCAAGGTGATATTATGTTTGAAGGTCAGTCTGCCAGTGCACTTTGACCGTGTCATATGTAATAATTTCCTGGCAGCGGGCTGCTGGGAGTGGGATGTCTGTGCGGGCATAGCCATCCTTCTACAGACTGGCGGTATTGTCGTGGACTCGAATCCGCCAGACGGTCTTTCAGATACCGATCCTATCCCAATGGCTAATTTGGGAGGACGGCGGTGAGTAGTGTTCTTATTCACTATCGACATACCTGATCGTTGGTCGCAGATACCTTGCTATCCGTGCGTGTTCTGAAGATGCTCAGGGTCGTTCTCCAAGGATACAGCAGGAAGCATTGGTGCGTGAAGTGTGGAAGCGGACAGAGAGATTGAATTATGAACGACCGATATAGCCTATTGAGGTGTAGAAATTTGTAGAGGTTGTAAAAGCATACCACAGTATGGTACGATAGAAGGAGTCTAATTTGTATTTTCTGTCCTGTGTACGCGGCATTGGTACGTCGTCATTAAATGCTAAAAAAAGTGAGTTGTAGTCATGATGGTGACGTAATCGAAGGGAATGCTCGCCCATTGTCTCCGTCCATCATCGTTGACTATTTTCACTCGCGGGCTACGTAGGACTTCCAAGATGCCCATCATCAGATACATCACTAACGACGTACGCATTTACTCGACTCGCCGCTAGTGTACACGTTGAACTTCGACAGGAACTTGCAGCAGTGATCAAGAGCGACAAAGTGCCTCACAAAGACTACCTCATCGTCGACGTCCGTGACGACGACTTTGAGGGCGGGAACATCAAGAATGCAATTAATTATCCCTCAAGAAAATTCTGGGACGACGTCGATGAGCTCGTGAAGAAAACGAAGGAGGTGCCGTTGGTAGTGTTCCATTGTGCGTTATCGCAGGTTCGGTGAGTTAGCTGATCTTTGCAAGTAGAGTTACAGCTGATGTTGATGATGGATTAGAGGTCCTAAGGCTGCTCGAATATATGCTGAGACGCGGCAGAATGTCCTTGAAGAGAGTCCATTAAAAGCCGACGTTGCGATTTTGAAGGATGGGTTCACACAATTCCAAGTCAAGTTCAAGGTATGTTGGTGGTCGAAGGCTGTATTATGAAGCTCATCATAGTATCAGGATGACGCTGAGCTCGTAGAGAAGTGGGACAAGGAAGTCTGGGCACCTGAGTGGAGTTGAAGATACAGTTACTATTATGTAGATTCTTCGTGCTTCACAGTACGCTTTGGGGTGCTCTCGATCATTTGAATGACCTTTTCACGCTCCTTTGCCATGCGGCGATGGCAGATATACCTGTGTGACATGGAGGTAAGCCGCGAGCGAAGAAAATTGGGTGAATTTGGCGTACCAAGATACGCCAGATATTCCAACAAAGGTCGTTATTGCCCAATGCCCAGCAACAATTGGAGCTATCAGAGTCTTGGTGAGAGAAAACACAAGAGACTGGAAACTACGCACCAGCAGTCGTCCCACGAATGAAACCCACACCGACACCGCTGACCAATCCTTGCATGAATGCGTTCTTGGCACATGGAATTTGAAGTATATTGGTCACGGACTGCTAATGGTTCACCTCTGGGAACGAAAGAAAGAAACCAACGTACATTGTATACATCGGTACGCAAGTGTCCCGTCGGCTGGGGTACGCCTGGGGGAGGCGCTATCGCTTGAGGATTGGATGGAAGAGGCTTGCTCACATCGGACATTGGGAAAGGAAGGAACGTGATGATCGGCGACTCTTCCGTGAACTCCCCCATCACTAATGGGCCACCTTCAATTCCTACAGCCTTGTAGTCCTTCTTGTTCACAAGACCGCCGGTATACAACGGCAGACCTGGCGCGTACATTTCGATTCCTTTAAATATACCGGCCACGTCCTCAGGCATACGTCCAGGGTGGGGAAATGAGACCTGCAATTTGACCGAGGTCACCGGTCAACGTAACCCCAGCAAGTTTTTTCTTTCTTGTCAATTTCAACTGTGGTATCTCAGTATTTCGCAGGATGACCTCGTTATCGTAGGGACTACGAGGCTTCTAAATCCTGGTCTGTCGGGCTGGAAACTGCAACGTGCGGCAGTCTTTGGTGACAACTTTGAACTCTCAAAACCGAACTTGTCACGATCACAAACACCTTTATGGCCCTCCTTATGCGCCAGATCCATGCTATAAGTCAGGCATATTCCCAAACAACTCGCGCAAACCTCGCCCGCCCAAGGCCTATCTTTTCCCAGGCTTCCATTTTTCATCAAATACACTTATAGCGAAAGCGTACCATTCCGGCTCCTGTTCTAGGCAATTCAGGCCGCGAGGAGGTTTCTTCAAGCACCTTTATATTCTATCCGATGCAGGACACGCTCTTTGCGAGCATCCGTAGCTAACTGTGGACCTATTCTATCCTGTCGTTGCATTTTTGGTCATTGAGTAGACCTGTGAGAACAAATTTTAAGATGCCTTGGCGAAAAGTTGGTCACCGTTTGTTCTGACAAGCATTTTTACAACATTTGGAGCCATGTTTATTATGAGGTTTTTTATGCAACTGGCATGGTTTACGGTTCGTGTTTTTCTCTGTTATCAAAGGAAGCGCCCTCTAATTTGTTCTATCAGATAGTAAACACTTCGGTTGCTATCGCAAGGCTACAAACCGCATGGTAGGCGAGAACGAAGTTGCAGCATATACAGTGATGATTCGTGGCCCTGAGAGCGGAAAAATGCTCCCGATGCCAAGTTCGACTCATGTGCGTATCAGCGTCGCTGAGAAAGAAAAATAGAGCGATGATCTACCTATCAGCATAGGTGCTGATCCTATTACTGACCTATCGCTGTCAGCCACGACTCTTCATCGGAATCATATTATCTGGTTGGGAACAAATGTCACGCATTATCACTGAACGTTCCCCACTCTCGTGAATATCTTTTTTCGTTGTTGGCATTCAAACGTACGGACAATAACCGGTGGATGAAATCTAACACCGAAAGTCGACCAATTATCTGCAGATGTAGAGTTTGTTGTATCATATTGAATGATTTATCTGTTCCTCCCTGGCCCATCTCTTCTTCAGCCGAAGACAGATACACTCGAGGCGCGGTAGTAATGCAGTGTATATCTATTGGACCTGGCCTCTTAATTTTACTACGCCGCACTTCGGAGCCGGGGAAAGTGAAGCTCTAAAGGGCTTCCATTCGAGATGGGTCACCATAGCAAATGACAGTACGTCGACTTTGACATGATCTTCATAACGACTTGATAGATTTCCAAATGATTCGCGCAGAGCTATTCTTAACAACACATCAAAAAACACGAAACTACAGCCATTCTCCCCACCGCGTAACTAAAGTACGAGTCGCGCTGTGTTAAAAAACCCAACATAGCATGCTTCCCAGCCATTACAGACCACAAGCGGACGCGTCAACTTGAGTCGCGTTAGCTTCCACGCTTCCAACCTCCGCATGACCGCTGGTCAAATCATTCAACGCCGCCTCTGACGTGAAAAAGCCGATATCAGCGTGATCAATCGTCACCACGGTGATGTTCCTATCGTTGTATGTCAACAGCCAGCAGGTCCCACAGTTTGAGCTGTTCCATCCCTCAACCACATCGGACGATGCGATGTAAGGGAAGGTGGGAAGGGAGCCGTATGTGGTGTATCCCTTGGTCTCGAGACCGTTGGCGCCGTTAGAGCAGGCGACATTGCCTAGCGAGTTGTCACCGATGCCATAGCCAGAATCCCAGCCTACGGAGACGGCGAGCGCAAAAGAGGGGATGAGGGCGAGGGCGGAGAAAAGCTTCATTATGAGTGCGCGTAGTTGCTTTGGTGGAGCAGGTTTGTATTGAAGGAAGACGGGCAGAGTTTGCTGGACTTTATAGCTCGCAGACGGCCCGCGTCGACAACTAATAACGTCAAGGTGTCATGCTCTTGGCCTTTGGATTCGAATCTTCCGGAGTAATGAACTTGCTCGGGACATCGCGAAGCCAATGAGATGGAAGAGCAGCGCGGTCACAGGTCACCGATACAGGTCTCGGTACGTACTGCGTTGGCGCCCATGCGACGTAAACTTTGGTCTGGAAGCTTTCTGGCAGTAATCTATAAGCATGAAAGAACACCGTCGCCATGTCGAACAAGGACTGTTAACGCTTCCGCGCTGCAAATTTTGCCCAAGGTTTCCAAATGGAGGGTCATGTATGTATTATTGATTTCATCAGCTCACGGCCTGAGGATAGCAGATATGGGCAGACCGGTCGGCCTTGCGCTGAGAGCACAGAGCCATTCTGTGCATCGGAGTGGTATGGAAGGCTACTGAGTTTGGCTCTGACTCAGAGACCTTGTGTAAATATATAATTGATGTGCTTTCGAGCCCGCCTAGCTCAATCGGATAGAGCGTCAGACTTTTAAGGCAATAGTCACATCTGAAGGCTGCGAGTTCGACCCTCGCGGTGGGCTATACTTCTGTTTGAACTGATTTTACTTTCTGTTGGCCCGTAACGTCCAAGATCTCCAAATGGGAATCGCGAATGTTGAAAGTTGCAAAGTCAATTTCCAACAATGGAGTCCGATCTGAGTGATGATCGAAGTGAAAGTGATTATAGGTTACGGTTGTGCAAATACACCCAGTGCAACAAACTCAAGCAGCGTTGACCGTCACATTTTATTTATTCATTGACTTGACTGAAAGCCGCCCACAAGCAAGCAGCACCATTTCCTGTCTTAAAAATATTTGGGCACTAATCATCTGAAGATGGCCACGGCCACGAACGACTGAAGATTTCTGGGCCCACCGGATGTAAATGCTTGGAACCGATGGCTTGTAACTTGCCAACGATTTCATCTTTGGCACCGTCATGGCAGATGGTCAATGGTCGGCCCGATCGCAATGTTGTTAGCAACGAAAAAAGATAGAGTAGCCTGTATCTCCAGGTTCAGTCATGGTGGGAAATCTACCCTCAGCCAGCAGGGCAGACTACAAATGGTTCGAATTTTGATATCTCTTTCCCAGCATCCTTATGGGTCGATGACTGAGAAACGTAGGTCGCTGGCTAAGATCATTCCATTGAACGACTTTGCCTTCATAAAAGTTCGTTAAACTCTTTAAGCCTATTGAGAATCGAATTGACTTCTTTGCTATTTATTCACACTAGATATGCCTTCCGTGGTTTAGTACCTCAAGCTCATCTCGCCAGGAACTGAGAGACTCTCTCGGCTTCACGTTTACCACTCTCGGTAGCACCTTGCACACTCCCGCGATGGTCAACATCCGTGTGCTCTCCAGCAAAGCCCAAACGCCCGCCCCAAACAGGACGCGATAATTCGAAGAAATCAAAAGGGGAACGCTCGTCTCCTACAACGATTGGAGTGGTCGTCGCGCCTAACGTAAAAGGGTCAGCAGACCAGCTTCAGGGATGGTCATCAGCATACATGAATATAGATCGGCACCAAAAGGGGAATAATTTACCTAGTAACAGTAGAATGGGAAAATGCTGGCACGTCAACCTCTTTGCCAATTTTTTCTTTCAGAATTTCATGAGCTACGTTGGCGACAGTGATCTTGTCCATCTTTTCAATGTCAAGAGCAGCGGCACAGCCGACGTAGATGAGTATCGTCGTCTGTAGCGTCGCGCAGGTTAAAGGGATGGAAGAAAGAAGCTTCTTCGGGTCGGAAGAGGACGAGTTCGAATATTTGTCTGGAAGGATCGTAATTCCACCGTACGACTCTCCCCACCATATCTTTGGGTACGTTAGGAGAATCTTAGCCAAGGTTCCAACGTGCGTCCGTTGGATCGCGGAAACTTTGCGAGAAGGAAGCGACGGGGAGAAGAAGAATGGGGAAGCAACCTTGAGCACGGCTAATGGGATCGTGCAGATGACAGATAAAGCATTGTACGACACGCCAGATGTTGTCTTTACGGTAACGGAATCCGAATTTTCAGAGAGGGATACAGACGAGACGGGTGCATTGAGCACGAGTTCGGCACCAGATGCAACGGACGCATCCAGAAGTGCCTGTGTGACGGCCTGATATCCTCCTTCTGGGAAAGCGTCTGTTCCCGCAAACTTGTTCTCGTATCCATTCCACCGCAGACTGACTTGCTCGAGGGTGGCACCAAGCCCGCCCTCCAAACAACGAGCCAGCGACTCTGCTAATGGCTTTTCGGAATCGGAGAGCCCCTCAAACAGCCTTGAACCTTTGCTGAGCAATGAGTCAGCTAAGGAGAGGTGAACCTCAGTCGTGCCGCTTTGAGCGACGTTGAGCGCATTCCTGGAGGCTTCAGCAAGATTAGCTTGAAGCTTTTCAGCAAGCGCCTCTGGAATTAAGCCTACATATAAATTAATGACTGATGTACTTTCCCTTAAAGAGCATCGCACCATTTGGACCAATAAGAAGACTTGGCTTTGGCGCCGGGAATGTCATCTTGATGCCCAGATCTTCAAAAAGTTTCCTAGTAGGAACGCCTTCTGCATACCCATGCACAAAGCTACAGCCAATATCGATGGGGAATGACTGCCCTTCCTTGTACGATAATACCCGGCCTCCTATGCGGTCGCGAGCTTCGACGATAAGTACAGAGTGACCCGCTGCTGCGAGCTGCCTGGCTGCAACGAGACCGCTGAATCCAGCGCCTATAACAAGACAACCTACAGGTCTCCTAGCCATCGTCATGATGAGGTCCAGGTAAAAGCTGAGCTGTCATCGTGAAGGGTTGCAGACAGGAACGGATTTACGACCCGCATTTTCCGTCCCGTGGTCCCAGTTGAGTGCGTCAAGTTGCCGCTCGCCCGAGATGTGAAATGATTTTTTGTTGGTCTGACTCCATTTCCAGTTAACTCTACATCCTTCGACATGGCCTGAGAACAGTCGATTATGCCCTTAACTAGGTCCATCTCATACTTATTCTTGGAAGAACTTTCAGAAAGATCTGTTCCCAGCCCCTTTGTCGACTCTGATGGGGACTTTCTGTTTACTTTGCGCTTCCTGTTTCTGGACTTTCTGGACCCTGGTACTTGTATACAGGCTCAATTAAAAGTTATTAACGCAACATCGCCACTTGCTTCCGCCAGCAGTAACCATCTGCCATCTTCAAGTGAGATTCGAGAAAGGAGAGCATAAGTACATCGCGAACGTAAAGGATACACGGACCACTATCAATGTCTTTACAAAACGTTGCAGCAAGAATTTGTAATATGAACGAGAAAGCATTAGAACATGAATTCGTCGAAAAGCGTGATCGTAAAACCCATGAACGCGTAATAAAGCGGTCAGTCGTAAGTGAATAGATAGCTCGATAGCATAACGGATAGAGAGCGATGTTCAGAATGCCGTAATCAAGAAGAGAGGGCACGTATGATGAGGTGAAAGATAGAGACAAATGAGAGAGGATGAGAGAAACGATTCAGTTATGCGTGATGGCGTGTTAGTCGTCGGGAGACCGACTTCCCTGGTACGAAGGATTTGATGGCGCGACGCATCATTGTCACTCGACTTTCGTCTTTGCGCGCAGGAGTCGAAGGCGTAGCGGGGGTGGCAGCATGTGTCATAAAGCCTAATTCATCGACGGATGCAGCCCGCCTGACATCATCGCTGGAAACTGGTGGGGGCATCGGGGTACGACGAACCGAAGTGAACGGCCGAGAGCTTGATTTTGGGCGAGCCATGCCCTGAACAGTATTGTAGACAGGGCCCGCATTGTCCGACTGGTAGCCCTTGCCAAGACGTTTCACCCCGGACGTTGCCATGAGGAAGCGATCATACACGCCTTCCAGTCGGCGTTGATTGGGGGAATCGGGAACAGGGACGTTCTGAGTGCTGGGTTTGCGAGAAGGGTACGGCTCGACATGTAGCGGTGATGAGGTCAACTCATCAAAGGACTTGCTGATAGGACTAGGAGTAGTAATTTGCTCGCTATCGAGAGACTTCATCGATAAAGCAGTATCGATGAACATGTTTCTATCCAAAGGGGGGGATGGTGCGGACCTAGAGGATGACGGGGACAAGGGAGATGACATCCGCCTGACCAGCGCTCCGTCCATCGTTGATATGGGTGCGATACGCATCTGCAAAAGATCTGCATGAGATCTGCTCTTCTCCTTGCGCTCAGCAGGGGACCCTGATTGGCCAAGAGAAGCTTCTGGGGAACTCGCTGACACAGTGGCCCTTCGTTTCTTAGTCGGTGTGCAAACCAGTGGTAGCTCTTGGTCTACAACATTCGAAGCAGCTTGCACGGATATGTCATACCCAGATGTGACAAAGGACGTCATTGTTGGACTGGGCAGAAGATGATCTGGGTCATCAGCAAAGATCTGATTAGCTGGGATAACTCGTCTAGGCAGTCGCGACGAACGATTGCTCCGATTCTGCGTAGACGGGCGTAAAGGAGCTGGCTTAGGTGTCCCAGGTGGTGACACAACTGGTGGGGGGAAGAAATTCTGTCTCGCGTCATCGACAACCTCTGCCTCGTCCGTTAGTGTATTCAGTATACCGTTGGAACAATTCACGTACTCTCCACGTTGCGCATCCACATCGATATCCTGTCTTGATTTCCTGTAGGTGTGTCTTCTGTGGATGGTTGGGCCAGTAAAGCAGGGGTAGAGGCCGAAGCTCCTGAAAAGGTCGTGAAGACATATCTTCCTGGACACAGATAGCCGACGTACCACCCAGCAGACGCGAGGCATCCCAAGACTCCTCTGCGGCTGTAGAGTTGTCCAGCAAATCAATCGAGCAGCTTGGTCGCTTCCTTCCCGCAGCTTGGCCTAGCGTCGATGCCTTGCATAAGTTTATCGTTTTATCTATGATTAATGAGCAGGGATTGACAGGGAAAAGGGTGATTTGTACCTATGGATGACTTGATGCTATGTTTGAATACATTTAATGCCGATGTAGAGTCCTTCTTGAATAGGAGAGGGGAGCCAAATGATGTATTCGCTATGTGATAGTGGTCAACAACAGAATCAATGACCACAGTGAAGACCAAACGTACCAGGAATAGACGGTGTTGCGATGCGCGAAGGTGGAGGAGTCGGAATGATAGTTGTTCTATTTTCCTTATCACCGTCGCGGCTCTTCTGAGGGCGTCCAGCAGCTATTTCAAAGGGCGTCTCGCGCTCAACTTCCTCCTCCGAGACCTCCAAGCGCGACATTTCTCTCAGCTTCTCCCAGTCCTTCACACGTTGATTTACGAGGTTTGCCTTTTCTTTGCCCTTGCCCTTTTCTCTCTTCAGGTTACCCGCATTAACATTCGCACCAGTTACATCACCAAGCACTCGTCCCCGATGGGGATCAGCTCTGATTGGAGCGGGCACGGGGGGATTTCCACGAACGCGCGAAACGAATGGTATGCGACTCTTATTAGGATCAGCGTTCCGGGAAATAGCATGTAAAACCGGCTTAGCGGACGGTGATGACGGTGGAGAAGCCTTGATTGGGGACAAATCGGTGAGTGGAGGGACTGGAACGCGCTTCTTGGCATAGGTTTGAACTAAAATAAGTCTCAACGTATGGTTATCGTTCAATTACACGGTAAACTCACTCTTCGACGCGATCACCTTCGGTTGAGACTTCGACCTTGCCACGGTATGATGTCCATCTGAGTCAGTGGCTTTCGGAGACTTGGACGAGAATAGAGCTAGCGGGCTCTTCAGATTCTCCTTGCCCTTTGTTGTCTGAGATCTGGATGGTGTGAACTCAAGTAGCTTCGACATGTCCTTTTCAAAAACAAGCAAAGAGGTATTGCTTGAAGATCGTCCTGAAAAAGGTCAATTGGCTGACAAACAGTGATGGTTGAGACTTACGATGTTGAGGGTCTTCCTCTTTACGTGTTTTCCAGTACGGGTCTTGCATTGCCTGCGATGCCGTACACCGCAAATCGGCGTTAGGAGCAATCATTCTATGAAGCAGTTTTTCCATGCCCTTGGACATTCTCCAGCTGCCTATCCATTTTCCCCGTAGCTAAGCAACAGGAAAAAAAAAACAAATTAGATCATTGACATCAACAAGATAAATGAGCTTACAGTTCTGGACCAATACCTTTCGAGGTCTTCCTTGGTCGTAAACTGTTCCTGATCACATTCCTCGAACGGTGTACGTCCCGTAAGGATCTCGAAGAATGTTACACCAAGCGACCATACGTCGGACTTGCGGCAATCGTGTGGTATCTCTCGTGCGCGTTCGGGTGACAGGTACTGTCATTCGAGATCAAAAACATTCACGTGACCACAATAACGGAGAAACTCACTTCTGGAGTACCATAGGAAACCTTGCTATGAAATGCCGTATCTGAATCAGGATCATATTTTTCTGCAAAGCCGAAGTCAACCAGGACTGGAATATTTTTCGGAGAAATCAGTATGTTGGCTGGCCTGGACAAATATTAGCTGCCTAGGCATCTTCAGATGGGTATGACCGTACTTAATGTCGTTATGGACTACTCCACGGTTGTGCAGGAATTCTACACCAGATAAGAGGAATCGGAACCAGCCGCGAGCTTGAGACTCGTCAACTTCCACAGGGACAAGTGCGGGGAGGTATGCCCTGTTGCACAAAAGTTAACAGATGAAATAACGCGTCGTTAAGGCGTTACGGAGTAAAGGCGCCACATGGACAGAAGTTGTACAGACGTACATAGTGATCAACGCGTAGGAAGGTGTAATGACGAAGGAGTAGAATGGGATGATCGATGGATGTGGATCAGACTTGAAAGTACGGATGATTTTCATCTCGTTCCATCTGCTAATAATTAGAGTGTGCAAGCAGCGGAAATCTTCACTCACAGTGATTTGACGCGTGCGACGGTCGTCTTGCTCTTGGTGTTGCGGTGGACGAGCTTGACGGCGATCTTGGGCTGTAACACTCTGTCGAAGTCGTCAGCAGTGTGCGACGTCGGACTGTTCTTGGGGTTACAGAGCCAAACACTTCCCCAGTTGCCGAAACCAATCTGCAAGACATCAGCTGTCATTCACGACATACGAACATCAATGGACGCCAACCTCTTCGATGAACCTAAGTTTAGAAGATAGTACACTGTCAGATAGAGAAAAGATGTCGTTCACTTCATGAGGAGGGGAAGGGGGGGAAGCCGGGTCCATAGTGGAGCCTCGCAGCAGAGAACAGACAAGCAAGGTGAGGTGCTAAGAGACGCTCGAAGGTTGGGAAAGATCAAGTCCCGGTCACGTGGTTATACAAACAAATAACGCGACCAACCACGAGTTGCATTTTTCCCTTTATCAAAAACTCGTGGACTGCGCTGCCGGTTACCCTCATTTTCATTTGTGGAAGAGGTGAAAGCTTAATTTGTACCCTCAACGGCCGACACTATTCGGTTCAGCAGTTGAGGGTTGCATTAGCTTTCATACGCAACTGACCGTTGTTACAGATTCTAGCTTGCTGGCTGATAACTTACATGTGTCTGCGATAGCAATCTCTACGCGACGATTTTCGACAGCGCCTCCGATATTTTACTATCAATAATTACGGCACTAACCCGTTTTATCCAATATGTATTCGCTGTGCTTGCGGCTGTTGTTTTGATGTCGACGTCATGGAGGCCCTTTCCCGCCGCAACATATCAACGCCTGTTTCCCAACACCCGACTGCAAGCGAACATCTCAGGGTGGGACCTCTACGGTGACCGGTCGATTCAGAGAACCTCGACATTCGCGATCGTCAACCATCATTAAGAGGTACGTTACGTTTCAGCTTATAATCTCTTATAATCACAATTAAAATGCAGTGTTGATACATAAGTGTCGGGGCCTATTGCATCAGTTTATAAACTCTGCTCAAATGGTTGTGTCTATACGAAGTACATAGGTGTATTTTGTGAAAGGAAACTGCGGCCGTTCGATCCGCTGTATCAACATGTATGATGCTTTGTCCATCATCCTTGTGCTAACACGATTTTTGTGTCATTTCTGCAGGCTTGGTCTGGATGAAAACTCATAATCTTTCCGTTCCTCGTACTCGTTGACTGCTCAACCACAGCTTTTAGCTATTCCGTCTTCGCAGACTTCTTCACTGGTTCCCCAACCAAACCTATGGTGTCCAAAATTTGTCTTGCGCCCTATCATGATGCCATTTGAGGGTGCCGCAACATTACTTACTGTCGAGATTTTCTGATGCGATTACTCTGCATGGTCCGGCTACACGCTACGAAAGTATCTCCAATCGGATTGGCTTGCTAATCTTTTCTCGTAACCATCTACAGTGATGGAGGGTCCTAACTCATGATGGACACTACCCGATGTGCGGGCCAGACAGGGTTCATCCCCAACAGAGGGACCGGAAATACGATTTCTCCTCCCGTGCACGACACCTGAAATACTACTTCATTGACTTTTGCTTGTCTGACATCTACGAATCCGATGATCTTCCGGAAATTCTGCGCGCGCTTGAGGAAGGGGGTTGAAAGAGGTTGAAACGCTCAGACGCAGAACAGATCCCTTTGCCTACTATCTTGGAAATGCTTTCAAGGCCTTTCTTCGCATAGTAAGTCCATTCATACATGCCCTTGTGATGACTATTTGCAGGATGTTGAAGTAGAATACCATGTTAGAATAGACTTCAGGGGGTGAGAGATTGAGATGGTTTAAGTCTGTGGAACTTATCATCTCTGCCATGACAGAGCCAGATCCTGCAAAGCACATTAAGATTGATGATGCTGTTGAGAAATTTATGCATATCCAGAGTTCTTATTGCAATCACACTGAAGTCCAGAGTTGTTTATGACATTGATTTTACTATTCTTCATCTCTTCATGTTATATGCATGTTGACAGCCTCTGCTTCACACTGACTTCAACTTTCAAGTTTCCAACTTAAGAAGTTAATCAGTGGCCTCTGTTAGAATCCAGCCACTCACTATATGCCACTCTATTTGTATTTCACTTATTATTTTATATCTCAATTTTACATACTAATTCTAAAACTTAATTTTGATAGCAAATAGACTGCACCAGAATCCATTGGACTGACTCAGAATTGATTACCACTAGTATATTGACAGAGAATGCATTATGAGCATAGAGAGTAATATAGGAGAATGCATTCCAAAGGCTGAAAAAGCAGCTGGCTGAAGACATAGTACTGGCTATACCAACAAGAGCAGAGAGATTCCAAGTGGAAGCCAACTCAAGCAATGAGGCTATTGAAGCCATACTCTCACAAGAACAGGAGGACAAATGGTGACTGGTCACATTCTTTTCTAAGGCCCTCACAACTATGGAAAGAAATTATAAAATCTATAATAATCTCTTTTCATATGATGTGTTTATTTTGTATAGTGAATCCTAGTTGTATGGCTTCAGAGTCATCAGCCTCTTTGGTGGTTTCATCCTGAGGTGGTTGCACTCTGAGGAGCTGACTTTCCTGATCTGTCTAAGAGTTTCAGAATCCAACTGGTTATAGGGGTGCCTGTGGTTTTGGCCAGGTGATCCAGGGTGCAGCACCTTGGCTTAGTGCAGCAGATCATATATATCAGATGCTGGTAGTTTAGACCAAGGGAGCTATGTATACAGCATGTTTTAGAGATGTCAGTAGGGTGTTTGGCATGGGTCAAAATTTGTGTCTGAAGGCCAGTAAGGCCTTCAATGGGTCTTCAGGATGTGTTTTATTATAGGTATAGATGGCATGGTCAGTAGCAGCATATTGTAGAATATAATATTTCTCATCATTGTCTGCAACTAGATATCTTCTCCCTAGAGAAGTCATCAGTCAGCTAATGTTCTTCTACAGTGATGCTGTGCCTTCCTGATACAACCTTTCAAACCCCTCCTCTCTTGTATGTTGAATTTCTTCTTCAAGTACTTCTTTATCCATATCTCTGTACTATACCCATAGGTCAATTTTGACTGAGATATCTTTCTCATCCTTGTCACTCTCCTCTCTGTTGTCCTCATTATCTCTGTTGTCCTTCTTGAGGGAGTCAGTGGGCAGATCATAGATGGTTGGCTCAGGAGCTCTGATGTTCACTAAAGAGCTCTTGGTCAGTTCAGGATCTTATACTAGTGGTTCTAGGAGAAGGCTGCTGATGAGGTCAGAAAGGTCCAGCCTCTCTATCTGCCTCACATGTTCTCTCTCTCTCTATTCCCTGGCTATATTGGTGTAAGTCCTCATAGAACTGCTTGTTGAGGAAGAGGGTGGCAATATATCTGTGTAAAAATCATCAGAGAATCCAGTTAGAGATTTTAGCTCCTGTGAGTACTTGAATGCTATATCCTCCAAGGACAGAGCTGGCATCAGAGAGAAGAGTGTCAGTGTTGTTGATACTTTCTGTGTAACTGGAAGAGAGAGGCTTTATGACTCTAATTCATCAGGTCTCATCAGCACTGATTTCTTGTGTGGATCCACTCTATGAGTCACTTTTGTCATCTGGTCTCCACTCACAGAGGCTATTGTCTTTGCTTTCAGTATATAATCTGTAATGTTCTGATGGAGTCAAGCTCCACTCTGCTGTCTGGACTTTTTGCTACTCTTATCTGTACTGTGCATTATAGTAATCTTTGTCAGCCTTCTGCTGTCACCAATTGAGTTCTTCCTTCTTAAGCTGGTTGAAGTACCCTTTTCTTTCTATTTGTTTGATGTCTCAATGAGCACTGTAGTCAAAGGTGGATAAGTAGTAGTCACTGAAGGTTGAAGAGAGGAGACTGGGGGTCAAGAGTTGTTTGTTATGATTTTTCTATTATTTTTCTTGATTAATCCCTATTCATGCTTAGTCAGAGTGCTAAACACAGGCACTTAAGACTGTGAGACAAGGCTTAGTCAACACAAACAGCTGAGTCAGTCATTGTCTTTCAATGCAACAGTGCTGACTGATGACACACAATTGCTCTTTTATGTATAGTAATGATGCTCAAGGACAATGAGCACAAAGGACCCAATAATACACATCTGAAGGCACCACTGTCTTTGCTCCAGTATGTGCTGACCCATCCCTCTCCACCCTGGTCTTCAGGGAGCCAAGTACTGAGTCCAGCTGGTAGAGCAAGAACTGCTGGCAAAATGAGACTTTCATAGCAGAGGGCAGAATCCCCAAGTCTCTTCCATGCCCTCCAACTCTCCAATATCCCTCTCCCTGATAAACCCCCAGTATTGACACCACATTCAGAGATGATGAGTCCATTCTCAGACACTACAGGCTACAAGTCTCTGGGACTGCTCACATCTCTGCCTGTGCACTCCAAGGATTCCTCAGGAGCTGAGTGGTTGGGCAGTTACTCGATGACAGATACAGACAAAACATTCAGCTCTATCACAAGCAAGTGGAGGTGGCAAGAGTGACAGGGGGAAACCAATACAATAAATATATCAGTAGTCAGCTGGCCTCTGTCTACCACAGCCTTTCTGATGTCTCAGGCCCTACTGCTGGCCTTAGCATTCAGCCAGGACAGTGGAATGACAGTCTGACCACTAGGGAATGAGGAGAGTTTCTATGCCCTGCCCACCATCTTTCTCAAGGGGGAGGATGTTGAGGATGAAGAAGGTGAGGAAACTGAGAGTAGCAATCCACCTTGCATCAGGGAGGATCTTTTTTATTTTCTGCAAGAAGATACAGATGAAGAAGAACTGGAAAAGACAATACAAGAGGTGAGAACTCAGGAGTATCAGAAGTTGTATCTGTGGAGGGTGAACTTTTTATGGTGTGATACCATCTGGGTGGCATCACAATCAGGACAATTATATTTGCAGTCATCAACTAATGAAAAAACAGAAATCTTGAGGCATGCAGCAACTGACTATGCCACTGTCTAATACAACAAGGAACATCCAGAAGACCAGGTCCATCAGCCACCAGCATACCAGATGCTGAAACTGATACAACCAATGCCATGGTCACCATCCATTACCTCAAAATGAGCCATATATATAGCACTCTCCATCTGAAGTATGTTTTTATACTCCATCCCATCATTCCAATCAACAGCAACATGGCTCTCACTAATCTGACCACAGCCTATGAAGGCACTGACCTTCTACTCAAATTTTTGGACCAGCAAAGAGAGCTGCATTCTAGGAATCCAGCCCCCTCCCAACCAGGCAAGCAGGAGTGGCACCAGAAAAGAACCAATCAGAGATGACCCAGAAGCAGTACAGCTCAGATTCACCATACAGGATGGAGTCATAGTTCAAAAAGAAGAGCCACTGTGAGAAAGCCCAGTGGCAGATGACAACTCGCTTCACTCCTTCTCTGGACTGCTACAAGAGTGGCAATGATTTCTATTTTTCAATTGGCTCAATATAATAGATGTATTACCTTATGATGCCACCATTCTCCAGTGCTGCTCTGATCTCTTATAGAAACTCCACCCCTTTAAAGGGGCATCCAACAATGTTGACTGATTTCTCATAGACTGTGAATAGTACTTTGAGATCTACATTGGGTATCTGGAGACTGACATGAACAAAGTTGTATTTGCCATCTCTTACCTTGAAGAAAAGGCAAAAACATGGTAGATCCTCATCTCTCTCAACTTCTGATCATCGACTCAGAAGCATTACTGGTACCCCTTATAGCCTGTCTTCAAGCAAATGCTCTATGACAAATTCATTGATCTGATAATACAAGAAGTATACAAGCAGAAGATCAAAAATATAAGATAGCTGATAAAGCAGCCACAGACTACTTTGATAAGCTGGAACAACTGGCCAAGCTCATCAGAATATAGAATGACACTATGAATGATGGACAAATAGTCGAGGCCCTCAAGTGAGAGGTCCCTTCCTCTTACATCACAATGATTTCAGCTATTGGCATCTGAGCTTTCATACCAAATAGCTATGAAGAATGGAAGGAATGAATTGTCGAGATGTATAAGGAGTGACAAAGGCAGAAAGTGAAATCAATGATACTGAAGACTATACAAAGAAGTCGACTCTGCTAACCCCAAACAAATTGTTAGAGACAACTGCCAGAAAATCATCAGGATCCTTTATGGCTCTTGCCTATGGAGCACAGAAGACCAGAACTGGAACAACTTATACTGAGATGGAGAAGCTAATGAATATAGATCAGATGAAGAAGGAAGGCAAGTGCTTCAATTATGGACAGAAGGGCCACATGACAAAGGACTGCTCGAAGAAGAAGAGAACCTGAGAAGACATTAGGGCACAGATTGCTGATCTACAGAAGGAGAAAGAAGAACTTGGCATAAAAACCAAGATGGAGGAAGTAAAAGATGCAGCCAGTCAGTGAGTGATTCCATTGGACTGGCCAAAGAACTTTATGGTGTGCAATTTCCAGCTGCTAGTTGGACTGATAGTACTTCTGTAGTTATCCCTATATCTACTATGCATTCAAATATACTTCAGACTTCTATTCTGCACACCAATGAATCACAAAAAAAAACTCAAATGCCTCAGAGCTAAACAGGAGCAGTGAGCCCCATCATGTGGCTTAAACTATTTGACACTGAATAGATCTGGAGGGCCATTAAGAATGCCAAAGATGAAGCAATGACAAAAGCCATACTCAAAAACTGGATTCATTGTACTTGGACTGAAGAAGTGATTGACAAGATGGTAGAAGGGATGAAGAAGGCTGAAAGATGCTGAGCCCTGGAATGGCTTGACAAACTCCAAGGACTGTGGAAATATGTCTGACGAACCAAAACTCTGAGATAAGACTTAATTGCCAA